ACAAAGCGACACGACATGTTACTTTTTTTTCTGAGGTAAAGCCTTCTAGTAACAGAATTGTTAATTAAAGACTACCTTTGAGGCAGGATTTCCCGTCGAAAAGACGTTTATTTACAAGGTGAATTCTAGACTAGAAATACGGTTTTTATTGTAGAAGTATTCAAGTGTATGCTGATATGCAACATCAAAAATTATTTTAATTTCGTAATTCAATTATTTAACCGATTTGCATACATATCCTTAAGTGAATCATACTCCAATACGACAAATATATATCAGTGATTAATACGTCATGCTTTGATGCAAATCAATACTACTACTTTTAGCGACTTAAAACTTAGCGCTGTTGAAGACGACACATCTCAGCATTATGAGGATTTATTCATAGAGGTAATCCGTTGCAGATGAGGCCGCGTCTTGAATTTCGTGTTTTTGTATCTCTTCTAGTAAAACAGATCTGAGGAATGGATCTAGCGAAGTGCTAATAAAATCCTGACTTTCGGTTTTTCTTTATTGGTTTTAACAGATTCGTTATCATTTTTGGCTTTAGGTGCTCGCTTTGTGACTTTATCCTTTCCTTTTATATTAGTTCGAGGTTCTTTGACAATATTGACAAAGTTTTTCTTTACAAAATCTTTTCCACGTTGTAATGGTGTCCTTTCTTCTCTCTTTCTTCTCAAAAGATGTTCAATTTTAGTGGGTTCAGCATTTATTCTTTGTTGAGCTTGTGTAGCTGTTCCTTTGCGAAGCCTTGTACTAGAAGTGATTTCAGATTTGTGAGCTTCCAAATCGGCACTTGATTCAATAAAATGTATAATATCATTTGCCAGTATGTCATTGAGCTTGTCTTTAAAAGCATACATTAGCACTTTGTCTCTTTCAATAGTTGGCTTTACTCTTTTAGTTGAGGTTGAAGGTAAGAGATGAGCAGCTTCACAGGGATCACTATCATCATCATAGCTACGCTTGCTTCCACTGGACAGTCTTCCGCAAGGTGGTTTGTTTGGACTATATTTCTCACCGACAGCTCATTGCTTCTTTTTATCTCTCGTATAATATTAGGCTTTTGATGCTATTCAGGAGACAAAATAAAAAAAAAGGTGCTGAAAAAAAAGATCACTTTTTCGTATGTATTTTTTGAAAAATGTCATTGTTTCAGGCTACTTTGGATATTAAAAAAACTAACTCATCTGTAATCATTTGGTTCATTTGTCGTTATAAGTCAGATAGCAATACTACAGTGAATAGAGAAAAATGAGACTTCAGGATCACTCAACTAAACATTTAATACCAGCTTTTTAATCCATTGAATGGTTTGTAGATAAATAAGAAAGAAGCCACATATAATCTTCTTATCTAATTTGAGAAATCATAACTTTTTTACTTGGCTGATAATGCTTTTAAAGAGATCGGGATGTTACCCAGTCGCTGTATTCATTAAACGGTGTTAAATATATCACACGAACTTACAAAAGTTAAACTCGATTTGAGACGTAAGCACTAAATATCAGTAAGCTTATTAAACCAAGCTGTTTTTCTGGAAATTCTGCCTTGATCATCTGTTGTCTGGTGTCATAAAAACCTTTATTCGAATAAACTTGCCTGAATAATTGTTACTGCATTTTTTAAGACTGTCCGCAAATATCTCTTGATTGTCTGAATTATATTTGGTCAGGAGGGACCTGTAAAAAATTAAACTCATTTTTCATATCTTTTAAACTATTTCACAAGATGGTATTGAATGCATCTACAGTTAATCAGACACATAGATACTCATAACTCTCTTGTTCAATGTAGGGTGATCAATTTGACTGTGCCTTGGACTTGATGCGTCGTTTGCCTCCTCAAAACGTGGAGGAGAATTTGGCTAAACTTTTCGACTTGGTCAATCCTGACTTGGCTGACGAATTACTATCGGCTATTGACCAACCTTTAAAAGTAAAACGTTGCTCAAAGACTGGAAAGGATTATCTTATATGTGATTATAACCGAGATGGCGATTCTTACAGGTACAAAGATGGAACTGATTTTCAAAATAGAAATAAAAAAACACGAAACAACAAAAACAAACTCATGTATTATACTAGATCCCCTTGGAGTAATGAATATGAACCCGAGTTATCAGATGGAGCCATTCCTTCTCCTAGTCTTCGAAAGTTGGAAGTCGCTGCTAATGAGGCTTTTGATACCTATCGTGAAATGTACTATGAAGGTGGTGTTTCATCCGTTTATGCATTTGAAATTGACGACAAGTTTGCTGTTGTTGTGTTGATCAAGAAAGGTAAATAATAAGTAAAACATCTGAATATATGGAAACATGTAACGATAGATTTATTTAGTGGGCGATGGCGCTAGACGTATGAAGGGTGCCTGGGACTCTATTCACGTATTTGAAGTTCAAGAGCGTGGACGTAATGCACAATACAAGCTGACTTCTACTATTATGCTCTACATGATTACCAGCAACCAGGACCTTGGTAACTTGAATTTGAGTGGTAGTATGACTCGACAAATTGAGCAAGATTTCCCTGTTGATGATCCTGCTGCACATATTGTAAACATTGGCCGCATGGTAGAAGATATGGAAATGAAGATGCGTAATTCTTTACAAGAAGTTTATTTTGGTAAAACCAAAGATATTGTGAACGACTTGAGAAGTCTGAGCTCCTTGGAAGAGACAAGAAGACAAGCAAAGATACAAAAGGAGTTGGTCGGTCGTTTGATGGACAGAAACAAATAAAATTTGAAACTCCTTTTTATTTAAAACGCGTTTTTTTAATATTTTTTGTTTTCTCCCCTTCTTCATTTAATACGAAAAATGCGCTCTATATTTGTAGTGCTTGCTTCTGCTATTGCAGCTTGTACAAGTGTACTTGCTCAAGGAACTGCCAACATGAGAACCCATTCCATTTCCATGCCTTATATTGGTAACTCTTTTAAATAAACGAGATGTTTTTAGCTGTACTCAAATATGAAAAACTTTAGATGACGAACTTCAAAATAGATGGTTTGATTTTGCTGGAAACACAATTATTAACACCAATCATCAAATTCGTTTGACATCAACAAAGCAATCTCAACTCGGTTACTTGTGGTCTCGTTTGGTAAAAAGAAATCAAGGAACAACGAGAGAATCCATGTCTAATATTTTCAGTTAGCCTTTAATGGGTGACCATTTTCAAATAGAAGTTGAATTTAAAGTAGATGGTAACTCAGGCCATCTTTATGGTGATGGTTTTGCTAGTAAGTATCACTGTTTTTTTTTCTGACAGCCCTACTCTCTTTTTTTTTCATTTGCGTATTGACCTTTCTTTCTTGTACAGTGTGGCTCACAAAGCAAAGAATGACAGAAGGTCCTGTCTTTGGTTCTGTTGACAGATTTGAAGGTCTCGGTATATTTTTTGATACTTATGATAATGAAAGAGCCCATGTAAGCGATCTAAGTTGGTTTGGAAAAAATAGGGTGTATACTGATGGATCATATTCTTTAGCGCCATACATTCCCTTATGTAATGGCTATGCTTGGTGATGGTACTCAGTCATATAACAATGACAAGGATGGTAGTGACAGTGAACTTGCTGGTTGTGAGGTACGTGGATAAGAGACACACTAAAGGAAGAAAGACGAGGAAATTAAACCTCCATGTTTCTGTATAGGCTGATTTCAGAGCAAAGGGACACCCTACTCGTGCACGTTTAACATATCACAAGAAGAACTACCTTCAACTGGATTTGATGTGGCGTACTGAAGATGAATGGGATCTTTGTTTCAAGACACACGATGTTGTTCTTCCCGAACAAATTTACCTCGGTTTCAGTGCTCACACTGGTGAAGTGACTGATAACCACGATATCATCTCTGTTGTAACTAAATCCATTCCTCCTGCTGCTGTCGAAGCTGCCCCTCAAGCACCCAAGACCGTCAAGAAATCAAGCGGCAGTGGTGTTCTTTCTGTTTTATTTAAGATTATTTGTGCTGGTGGTCTTGTTGGTGTTCTTTTCGTTGGTTACCGTTTCTATGATCAAAGAAATAGAATGAAGCGCTTCTAAAAATTGAATTAGTAGCCAATCACATTTGAAAAAGTGTACATAAAAAAATCTCCAATTGTCTACAAGCACCCTTCCACAAAGTTTTTTTTTTTAATTTTTTTTTTTTTTTTTGCATGATCATATTCACTATTTTAAAGTAATGATAGGAGGGGGGAATATTTAATAGATAATAAGTAGTAGTAGTAATTGTTATGATTGCGAGATAGATAGATATCTAAATGGAGTAAGGAAGGTGGTTCATATGTATTTTTTTAAGCTGGTGATTCAAACAAAGTGATCAACTCCTTTGTAATTTTAGCAATCTCGTAAGCCTCTTTAGCAAGGTCTCGTTTTGCATTGGCTGTTGCTGTAGCACCCCTCACAAAGTAGCGGCCTTGAATCATTGTCAAACGCTCTGAGCATTTACTGAGTTGGTTCAAGAGAGGATCACATCGATGACGGTACGCGTAACCAGATGAACTTTGGCAGGTTGCTTTAACTAGCTCGGAGATAGTTGCTACAATTTTTACAATTGAACTAATTATTGTGTGAACCTCGCCATTTTGTTGTGTTAATCGTAATGCGCCTAGTAGGTTTTGGATGGTTTGCACAATATTATCTGTTTCTGTTTTAAGATATTTCTGAACGAAAAAGAAACATTAAAATCTGGATGAAAATAATGTGAAAAAATCAGTTACCACTAATTCTTCTGGTGTTAATCCACTTTGTTTGGGAGCATGTGCATTGTTTAGTTTTGGTGAATAATTACTGTTTGACTTTGGTGAATATCCATTTGTTTGTTTATAGGCTAACAAATCCAATTGCGATCGTGTATCTTCATGTGATGAATAAGTGGAGTTCTTCGAGGGTTTATTACTACTGAGCATACTTCCATAATAGCTATTAGTGTCTGATCTATCATTGTAGTCATTGGATGATTTCATTCCTAATAGCTTTATTAAGTCGACAATTACCGAAGTCAAGTGGCCAGCAGATCTATCCAATAGACTGACTGGGCTAATACCCATTCCACTTGCATGATATTTGGCGGCTACCAAAAGATCAGATAACGATACTGAAAAGGATGTCTTTAATTCGTAGAGTGAATTCCTTGATTCTGTGAATAGAGTCCCCTCTTGTGCTTCAATCTCTTCTGTAATAGAACGACATACTGTCACAATGTTTTTCATAACGTTTATCACTTGGGCTGGATTACTCGATCTAACAGGCAAGATTAGGGTTATTTGAACGCACAAGTGTTTATTTTTTCTTTACCTAGCAGACAGTAAAAGATCATCAATAGAAGCTTGATAAGTGAGAATATGATCTTGAGATATAAATCCATCTTTTGAAGGTTGAATAAAATTCTCCTTGATAAGATTACCCTTGCCGTCTGTTTCGATCATAGATGACGCTGATAACGCAACACCTTGTTTAGTTTACTTCCTCCCTCATTCTAACTGTTTTTTTTTTTACCTTTAATGCTACGAAGTTCAATACGTGTTTTATCATATTTCATTTGCCAGTCTTTTAATTCAGCTTCCAGTTTTAATATCTGAGCATCTGATTTTTCTTTTTCGGATAAAAGCTCATCGTTTATTTTTGCTAGTCTTTTTAATTCATCTAACATTTGTTTTGTCTCATTTTTCACATCTCGTACGGCCTCTTGTTGTTTTGTGTAATCCCGATCCAATTGTTTATACTTGTCGTCTAATTTTTTATATTGCTCTTCCATTTGACGAATCATCTTTTGGTCCTGTTCTTCCTTCTATTTTTTTAGCCAATGGAATATTAATGTCCCCTCTTATCTTTACTTTTCAGTTTCATTGAAAGTTACCTGTTTAGTTCGAATATTGGACTCTTGATCCATGCCTTTTTTATCATCTCGTTCCTGAAAGCCCCAAAAAAAAAAAAATGTAAGCAAAAAACTTTTGTCGTCTATAATAAGTTGCAGAATGCTTACAGAAATATCAGCCTGTAATTGCTGTATTCTATTCGTCATGATATTGATTTGATACTCGTAATCTGACTTGATTTTTTCGATTTCGCCACTTGACTACGAAGTAACACAAAAAAAGATAATTAAAAAATTTAAACACCCCTTCCGCTTAATTTTTTTTTTGGGTGGACTTACATTGGCTGTAGATCTATTACTAAAATAATCTTTTTGTTCTGTGGGTGATCGACCTTTATTAAAAGTGTCGTCATCTAAATTTTCTACGCTGATCATGCCTTTCACGGGTATAATGTTGGTAGATTTACTAGGCTGACTATAGGATACAGGAGGAATTTGAGGAATAGGAGGTGGACTTTCGGGTTCCTACACAAAAAAAAAAAAAAAAAAAAGAATCAGTAAAATATATCATGTCTGTATGCATGTTTAAATTTACTTCATTTTCAACAAGCGCTGTATATCTTCTTGTTAACTCGTAATAAACATCACTAGCAAGGTCTTGGAATCTACCGACGGGTAACGTAGCTAATTTCTGTCTTGCTTGATTTCTCTTTGGATGGAATTCTTCTTTCACTGCCAAAAATGGAACTAAAAAAGAACATTTAATAATGGTGTTACTTTTTCTGAAAGGATTATAAAATTAAACATACGAAATTTATCATTCTTGTTCCTTCGAACCACTTCGTCATACACATCCATTGCCAATTCATGGAATTGGAGATTACTTAATCGCGTTAATTTTTGTCGAGCAGCCACTCTCTGTGGATGTGCTCCTTCACTAGCCTCTATAATTAAAATAATTTTTCATTTAAGTTTATGCTCCCTCTATTTTTTTTTCTTTTTTTTTTTTACCTTGAGCCAATAATTCTCTGAGATAAGATTTTAATTCCAAGAAATAAACACGGGCAGTGCTTTCATAGTTGGCCGAGTTAAATGCTCGATTCGAAGCAGATGCTAACGATTGCGACCTAGAGGCATGAGACCGGGATGAACTTGTCGAATAAGTCTTTATTGACTGCGGTCCTCTTGACAGCCAGTCTTCCGGAGATGAAGGCGATTGCGGTGGGGATCTCGAGTACGCCATTAATATATGTTTTGTTGTATATAAAAAAAGAGAGAGTTAAAACAATAAAAAAAGAAAAATGGGCCCTGTGCTTTTTTTTTTCGTTTCGTACAACAAGTAATAAATGTGTGCAACAATTACGCGGTAAATGTTCCACAGTAGATAATTGAGCTAAACGTTATTAAAGGTACACACATGTGATATTGCATTTTAATTAGTTTAGCTTTAGGATAGTGTTTCGCACTTTATAATAATGACAGGCATGGTTTTGAAACCTACAATACATGGATAAAAGCAATCATCCTGATATATCTGCTATACATTCAAATTACATATTTCTTTCCCCTTTTTGTTTGTTTATATCATTTGTATTTAAAGGATGTATATTTATAACTTTGTTATCATAAGCTTGGGATCCACATAGTCAAAAAAAACTTTTACTTGGCTTTTTTTTTGCATCAGAATGTACTACGCGTCGTAATCCTAGTAATTTGTCATCTTATAAATTGTCTATTAAGCCTTTTTTAATTGATACGCTTCGTTTTGTAATGGCCTCACAAAAGAGTGTTAATTTTGTAGTCTCTATGCAGAAATAAATGGAAAGATTCTTATTTGCATAGATTACTCAATTTAATCATAAATTACCTTGATGAAAGTAATTTATCTAAAGCTAATTGAGTACTATGTAAAAAATTGTTTTCCGGAACGTCATTCAGTAAAAAGAGTCCATTCGGATGTTATGTTTTCTTTTATTCATTATGAAGAAAAAAATCAATAAGGACCTTCTTTTTTTTTTTTTTTTTTTTTTTGAAAGAAAAAAGTCCCGTTTTCTATTAGAGTGTATTGAAGTGCCCCTTTCTCACTTTTTCAAAGCTAGATATTCAGGTAAAAAGCTCACCGGCTGCTCAATAATTCCAGGGAGAAAAAGGTTGTCATGGCTGTGTTTCCGAGGACAGGGCAGACGTAATTAGGGTCCGACATTATGTAAATGACATCAACAACGAGTATAAATGGTTACTATGCTATTAAACTTTCTGAAGTGACGCAGATGCTTGGTAGAAATCAAAATCTAGGCCCTTTTGCAGAAAAACAGTTGCTATAAATAGTAAGGGGCACTATAAAAAGAAAGGGGGACGGCGATCTCAAAAACAGAAATTTTTAGCTTTTTTCTACCAGGCCAAAGAAGGTTCTTATTACAGTCATATAAATGAATTAAATTGCGTATATTTTAATATTTTAAATTTGATAATTCATGGTTACATGACTGAGGTATCACCAAAACGTAAAATTGAAAATCAGACGATCGACCTTTAATATCTCTTTTTGAAATTGATATCCAAATTGCGGGGAGTGAAGGCAATAAATCCGTCTGTAATTACGCCGTTCTTATGGATTGAATTTTCAGGTGTAGACCAAGTGAATTTTCGCACTACATGGTAATGAATATTATAATTTTAGCGTTCACAAAAAAAAGAGACTAGGCAGAGAAAAACTTACACATCATGGATATCATCACTCGCTGTTCATTGAAACTAAAATTCATACCAATACATTGTCTTCCACCATATCCGAATGCTAGAAAAGCCGACTTATTTTCCTCTCCTTTAAATCGATCCGGATTGAATACATGACTATCTTTCCACAACTTTTCACTATGATGAATATTGAACAAATTGACATTAACAGGCATGTCCTTAGGTATAAACGTTCCGGCTAATTGTGTGTCTTTAGTAGTCCAACGAGGAACAATGGTGGGAAGAGGCCCATTGATACGCAATGTCTAAAATATGTGTATTTAGTTACATCTTTTATTTGCGTCATCTCCACAAAATTACTAGTTACCTCTAATATGATTTGATTGATATAGGTCATATTCTTAGTTTCTTGAAGTGTGGGGAGAACATCCACCGGTTCATCCCCCAAAATGGCAATTGCTTCCTCTCTTGCTTTTTGTTGGATGTCCTAACAAATTTTTAATATATACAAATATCATGTTTTGGCCCAGCCTTTTGTATGCTTACGGGATTTTGCGCCAAATGATGTATTGCAAACGACAGTGCGCTTGATGTAGTATCGTGTCCTACAAATAAAGTACTTTTTTGTTTAGTCTTGAAATGACCCGATGCAATTTAACAGTTCTCTTTTTTACCTGCTATGAAGAAAAATCGCAAGTTGCTCTAAATAGATAAAAGAAATAAATAAACTGTCAAACATAATAAGATTGAGATATTTTACCATTAATTCTTCATCCGTCATAGCTCCTTCACCTCTATTTTCACTTTCGATCAACAAGGTCAATAAATCCTTTTCATTCTCCTCCAAGGCTTCATTTTTGTAATCCTTGTCCTTTAAAGAAAGACGTTTTGTGTCAATGACCTCTTGCAGCATATGGACAAAGCGATCCAACTCGTCATGAATGAGCTTTCGTTTAGGAAATAGCCAGAGATATTTCTTGTCAAATTTAGGGAACACAAAGAAAAACGGGTCGCGAATACCCACGTTGCATATATCATACGTGCGTACCCATGGGCTATGTTGATCCTGGATGGCATTAAAGTTGAATCCTTTTTTTTTTGGATGTTAATCATTTAAACCCTTATGTTCTAATATGCATTTTTATCTTATTACCAAACCCTGCTTTTCCAAGTGCGTCCAAAGTCCATCTTTCTGTCAAGTTTGAAAAATTGATGGTTTCACCCATAGTTTCCATGACTTTGAACATTTCAATCGTCAACTCGCCAAATAATCTGACTGGCATCGATCTGTGAAATGCAGGGTTGGCCATTTTTCTCTGTGTCTTCCATTGATGACCGTTTAAAAATCCAATATTCGGACCTCCCATAAATTTATCGGTCAAGGTGTTTTTTGCCTCTTCTGGAATGTCCAATTTTGGATAAATATCTGTAGTCGTAGTACATGAAAAACTTTTAGCTTCTTTTTACGTGTAACTCTTTTTTTTTTAAAAAAAAATAAAACTTGCCTTGGTTCATGAGCATCTCTTTTGCAACGTCCGGGTTACAGATATAAACCTCCCATCCTGCTCTGTTATACTCCTACCATAGAAAAAAAAATTGCGATCCACTCGCTAATTCAGATGCTATCCCAAAATCTGTACACTCTTACTATTTTACCAAATAAAGGCCATCATGATTGTTAGGATCGTCAATGATAGGCTTATATATACGATACGCACGATTCCAATAGGGTTCACCGCTTATGACAGATCGAAGAATCGTGAGAATGCTGACATAGCGTATATGACGTAGCTTTTTGGGTGGCGTCAAGGCCTTGTTGATCATGTAAAACAAGGACATGGCAACAGCAGCGCTGATACCAATCACCTTGTTTCTTGGTGTGAGCCTGGGAACAACATGTTCATTGTATAAGACGATGGTGCGCTCTGCAATGACTGAGGAAGTAGGAAAAGACATAATTGAGAAAATCTTAAAGTATCAAAAAATAAGCATTTATCTGATTCTTTAAGTCTTTATATACAACAGACTTGTATGACTCATTTCGGTTAAGATTTGTCTTTTTTGGGGGGGCTCTTAGAACAAGATCATTTGACTTGAAACGGGAAAAAATGAGCTGTTATTTTTTTATTTTATGGAGGACTTAATGCTTCTATTTTAGGATAGTAACATGTTGCTAAATTTAGCAAACAAAATAAACCCGTTAATAGAAATTTACTTGCAAACATAAAACATCAAAATCATGGATCTACATAATAATTGTTAGCACAATAAAGATATGCTCTATGGCATTGTTGCTACAATGAACCTGTTGTAGTATACATTGCGATAAGGATTTACAGATACGCTTTATTACTTTGTTTTTGTGAAACAAATGTATTGTAAACCACATTCACTAATTCAATGTTTGTGTCTCAAGAAAAGAACAAAGACTTCTGGTCGAGGATAAATTATAACCGAATATATTTGACTTAAGTAGCACTAACGGAAAATCGTGTGTCATGAGAAGCATCACTAGAACCGTAAAATAATATATGAGTCAAAATTGCTCGTTTCTCACGCATGGCTGGTTACAAATATCTGTGTTTTTCCGGAGTCACTGATGATCGTGACGGAAATACAGAAATTTAAATAAAGATTTATAGCTTTTTTGTGAGTTTGTGTACCGAAAAAATAAACATTGCACATATGCATACAACCCGTTTAGAAAATGTTTATTAGGAACGCAGAAAAAGAAAATAAATATTTTTTAATAACGCTTTTTAAAAGTGATATCCAAGTCCTGAGGGCTCAGCATTAAATAACCATTTGTGAGGACACCATCTTTATGAATTGAATTCTCGGGTGTTGACCAAGTAAATTTCCGCACTACACAAGAAAGAAATAGTGAGTATTATAAAATCGCCCCTCATGTATATCAATAAAATCTTACAAAGCATAGACAGCATCACACGCTGCTCTATCAAACTAAAGGTCATGCCAATACATTGTCTTCCGCCGTAGCCAAATGCCATCAACAAGGTTTTACTTTCTTCATTTTCAAATCTATCTGGGTTGAATACATGACTGTCTTTCCAAAGCTTCTCGCTGTGATGAATATTAAATATGTTGGCATTGATGGGTGTGCCTTTAGGAATAAATGTGCCGAATAGCTCTACGTCTCTGCTAGCACATCGAGGGACTAGACTAGGAAGAGGCCCATTGATACGCAGCGTCTAAAAATATTAAAAGGTTTTAAACAGATGCTTATTATTGGCAATACATGTTTCTCAATTTTACCTCCAACATGATTTGGTTGATATAGGTCATTTGTTTTGTTTCTCCAATTACAGGCAAAATGTCCACTGGCTCGTCTCCTAGGATTCTGATGGTTTCTTCCCTTGCCTTTTGTTGGATTTCCTGATAAGAAAACAAAAAAGAAGGTTAATTTAATTGCGTTTGACTTTTGGTGATGATTCGTTCACAGCTTACAGGATGTTTTGCTAAATAATGAATAGCGAAGGAGAGTGTACTCGATGTTGTATCGTGGCCTAAATTTTTAAAAAACGAGTGTCAGATTTTTCTAGTTTGGGAAGGAAGTAGGACTATGTATAAACCTGCTACAAAGAAGAACCGTAGGTTGCTCTTTTTTAAGGTGGGTGGGGGGACAATTAATAATTAATTTGCGTAGTAGACTTTTTCTCATTCATACCATTAACTCTTCGTCTGTCATAACACCTTCACCTCTAATTTCACTTTCGATCAATAAAGTAAGCAGATCTCGTTCATTTTCTTCCAAGGCGTCATTTTGGTAGTTTTTATCTTTCAAGGAAAGACGTTTATGATCAATGACATCTTGCAGCATATGCCGAAAGCGATCCATTTCTTGATGAATGTAGACACGTTTGGGGAACATCCAGAGGTACTTTTTATCAAAGACGGGGAAGACAAAGAAGAAGGTATTTCTAAATCCCTCGTTGCAAATATTGTAGGTACGCACCCAAGGACTATTTGGATCCTTGATTGCGTTGAAATCGAAGCCTATAAGCAATTTTTTTTTTTTAGTACAGGGGAAAGTCTATAAACAACTCTTATCTATTACCGAATCCAGCTTTGCCAATGACTTGCAAGGTCCAGCCTTCCATCATCTTTGAAACATTAATGGTATCACCCATGGTCTCCATCACCTGAAACATGTCTACAGCCAACTCACCAAATAATTGAACAGGCATCGCACGATGAAAGGCTGGATTAGCCATTTTTCGTTGGGCTTTCCAGGCTTCACCGTCCAGTAGGCCTATATTGGGGCCTCCCATAAATTTATCAAAAAGTGTATCCGTGAAGATGTCTGTCCCTTTTAATTTAGGAAAAGTTTCTGATTTTTTTCTCTCTCGAATTAGTTCTTGGTAGGGCCATACCGGTAAAGGTTTTTTTTTAGAAATTTTACCTTGTTTCAATAGCATTTCTTTGACAACCTGAGGATTGCAAATAAAGATTTCCCAACCAGTTCTGCCATATTCCTAAATATTTTTTTTCTGGTTAAACAGTGGTCGTAGAACAATCACAAAAAAAGGGGGGGTTCTTACCAAGTAGAGTCCGTTGTGGTTTTGAGGATCATCAATGATTGGAAGATAGACCCGATAAGCACGATTCCAATAGGGCTCTCCAATAAAAAGAGACCGAATGAGACTAAGGGGGCTAATATGAGGAATATGTCGAAGATGTTTGGGAGGTCTTAATGTCTTTAGGATGAAATAGGTCATAGACATGGTAATAGCTGCTGTGATTGCTATCGCTTTGTTTTTAAAGGTAAACTTTGGAAGTACATGGTGGTTATACACCGACACAAGTTGGTTTGTAGAAAAAGACATTTTATAAAATGATAATGAAAAGAAATAACGCAAAAAAAAAAAAAAAAAAAAAAAAAAAAAAAAAAAAAAAAAAAAAAAAGGGAAGGGAGCAGCCATATATAAGTATTTACTCAAGTGGATTATTACGTTAGAGAATATGATTCACAGAGTGGGATAGCTTGATAGAGTCATATAGGACCCGTGTTTTACCTTGTGGCACTTTTTATTTTTCGGGAACGGGTTTGCTCGTGCGCGTGACTATGGAAGAAACGGGTGGATGTCAGAATTCCATTTATTTACATGGCTACCCAAATATCTTCGTTTTAAATGGTGGCATGGGATGATAAAGGCATTCAATATTTAATGGGTAATCACGCTACGTCTCATCATTTTTCTTTGTTATTGCCTAATTCCTTTTTTTGTTTTAGTTTATTCTGGGGTACGGTACAGCATGTATTGGGATTTTCGTTGTCAGATTAACTATATACATCTAGACAAACAAACAAAGAGAGGAAAAATGGGTATAAAAAGTTTCTTTTTTTAATTCTTAATATCGTTTCTTGAACTTAATGTCCAAATCCTGAGGACTCAGTGTGATATAACCATAAGCAATCACACTGTCTTTATGAATCGAGTTTCCTGTCGTGGACCAAATGAATTCCGGCACTAGAAAAAGGGGGAAAAGCAATGCTTACAAAGCATGGATAAAATCACACGTTGTTCGGTCAAATTTCATGCCGATACATTGTCTTTTACCGTACCCGAGTGCAAGCATTAATGATTTATTTTCTTCATCTTTAATGCAGACAACCTGAAAAGCTTTACATCTCATATTAATTACCGTGACCAGTGAGGTAAACAGCTCTAGCAAATCTACCAGAATTTATAACTGCTCAAACGCTTCTAAGAACCACGAGCAGTTTAAATGCTCTACCAAATTGGTTGAAAACAATTCTTTAAAAATCGGCCTTTACCTAGACAAAAACAAATATGTTCCTACTCAACTAGAGAACCCCTTTAATCAAGTTGTATATGTATTAATTATTAATACCAAACTTAGGCATGTATATATTTATACTGAATACCTAATTATGCAAAGGCAGTATATTGTGATTTTTTTGGTAAACGAAAGGGCCTGTGTCCATGATTTAAGAAAATTATTCATTTGTATGAGCTTCTTTGAGTCGCCTGATAGGGCTGATATCTCTGATGCAAGCATACAGTCATCTTGATATTGCACTTTAACAGAAATTATAAACGATCTTGATACTTTAGTTTAAGAGAGACCAGATAGAAAAACAAACTCTATTTTAAATCTAATATTTAAAATAAGCTTTTGGTTACATTATTCAGTAAGTATTCCAAACAGACATGCTATATTTTTACATATCGAATGAACTCACATATTATATCATGAAAACAGTATAAATTTGAAGGCCTATTTCAAGCAGTAAAAAGCAATTTCTTTTTTGGCCCCTATTCGGTTCTAATTGATTTTACTACATCTCTTATTATTGTATTTTCTCTCGCTATATTGCTTGGAATACAACACATGTAAATTTTGTGATATATTAAAAATCTAATCTCACTCTCCCTCTCTATCTCCAGCACTAAAGTCATTTGATCCCACAAATATGAAGCCGTATTTGCTTTTTTTTTATCACTTATATTTCATGGGTGTAGAGAGTCTTTCTATTGAATGCTTTGTAATGTCATGTAAAAAGTGTGGTATTTGACAAAATATTTATAATAGAAAAGTAATGAGATAAAAGTATTTCTTTATTGGAGGTAAAAATAGACTAAAAGAACTCTGCTGCTATGAAATAATTGATCCTTTTTATACTGCACAACTCTCCTGAGTTTTAATGATGAGTCAATCTTTCTGGTTTTGGAATAGATCTATACTTTGTTTCCCGCCTTAGGTTAAATGAATACTACTCGTTAGAATTGTTTCCAGTTAACGTTGTCCCATATCAGCGGATCGGGAGCATGAGTATTTTAATAAATCTTTAGTATTACGAGACACTTATTTATCAGATCATGCAACCGTTACTGTAAAAGATGCATACTTGTTTGTCAAGTGTAATTGGCAATAGAACATAATAGTTGATCATTTATTCATTATCTTTGTAATGAATAAATTACGATCCCAAATATAAAACGTCTTATCGTTATTTGTATATTTGGTTGTAGAAGATAGGTATCCATTAATTCATACACTATTTCTTTATACTCTTTATCAGCAGTATAATTATATCAATATATAAGTAAATGAACCATTTATATTAATAGCTGTTCTATTCTCTCTCTGGGTAGCTAATACATTGAGAGAACTATTAATATTAAGTTTCTCTTTCTTATAATGCTTGATTTGATCTGAGAAGATTCTCTTCTCGATCGGTGATATCGTAACTCAGTGGTATAGCATTCTGTATCCAACTGTCATTCGTATATCGTATTTAGGCCAATCATGCAATCTTTAATATAGAAGTATGTACTCATAGTAGGAGAAGTTGTATAGCAGTATACATGCGTATGCTGGTATGCAACATCAAAGGTTGTTTTAATTCCATAGTTTATTTATTTAAACAATTTGCTTAATTATTCTTAAGTGAATCGTACCCAAATACGACAATGTGTACTGGAATTGGCGCTAAGACTGGATCCAGTTGTATAGCGTGATAAGAGATGATTTTCGTGGGCTTCTGTAAGACATTGAGTCCAATTCATGCGACCAACCTTTGCTTTGAATCTTTTGATAAATGCGATTTCGGCTGCTAATTGAGGTGTTGTAGAAGGACGTTTGTTTCCAACAGGTAACTTTTCAGGAAGTTCTAAATCGCTTTGAGAGTCTGTGGATATATCGGATAACTATCTTTGACACTAGCGTTGTACGTAAGGCCTTTTTCGATTAACCTTTCTGCCTTTTTGATATCAGGAACACCTGTTAAAGACTTCTTAATTCGGTTTAAGCACTTGTCATTACTTGTCAAGACTATATCCAAAGTCTGTTGAACGTTACTTTCATACTGGGTTTCTTCAACGGTTACCTCTTTCGCTATCTTGTATAAAAATTTAATGGTGTTGTCTTCGCTATATGAGTGATCAAAGAGTGTTACCTTTTGTTGACAGAAAAAAGAAGATATTGCCTGAAGGGTTTCCAGAGGATAACTTCCAACATCATCGTTGTTTTCAAACACTAAGAAACATTGCTGAGCCCAAACTGGAGATGGAAATGATCGCAAGTATGGAAATGTCTAGACCCCCGTATTTTTTTTTAAACGTATTTTTTGTATCACTTACATCAATTCTGGTCAAGAACAGCAGGCCAGTATGAACAAAGCCATTCACAGTGCAAACCACTGTTTTTCACAGCCCTTGAGTTTCTAAAAACTCAAGAACCCTGCCAAGGGGGCCGCCCTCCTATAGCAAAGACTAGCCGCAGCTGCAACACCGCAACAATATCTTTTTTTTGGTTTAACATCTTTTAAAAGAAACAAGAATCATTTCTTACTAACCTTTGTACATTATCAATTACTTTCATAAACGATAAAAGAAATATGTTAAGGGAAAAGAAAAGGGAGAAGAATAAAGTGTGTGAACCAGCTTTATTTGTAGGCTGATAAACAAGAGCTTATGTCAGAATGATTTAATTACTTCATTATGTTTGAGCCTATAATTAAAATAGAAACACTTGCAAAAACCTCCCAAGCAAGTCAGAGCTTGGTAATTGTCTATCTGCGTTCCAGTAGTGAAGCAGATTTTATGGAAAACAGAAATCGATCATCCTATGAAGTTTAGATGATATGGCATGTCAATCGACGTGAAGACCATCGCGTGATTCTAAAAATACGTTTATTTGAAAAAAATACGTTTGAAAAAAATAAGGAGTTCTAGACATTGCCCGCAAGTGTCGCTGATTATTGGTATATTGAGTGAATTGAGCAGATAATGATTTGGGTGAGATCTTGCCAACACAGAAAATTAACACAACGGGCTTTGAATCATATCGTTCAATAACATTTATCGCATACTGCATTAGTCTCATCATAAACTTTTCGTCCACCATTGCTTGTACCTCGATTAGGACAGGAGGAAGAGATTTTGAACATCCAATTTAGGCTCATATAGAGTGTCGCTCCTTGTATTGTTGAGCCATTCACTTGACGCGACTCCATAGGTTCCTGCCGGTAAATTTAATAATGAATTTACTATTAGATCTACGCCTTTCTGTACGCAAAGTTGCGGTCTTCGAAGAGATGAATTCATTCTTCGGTGGAATTAACAGTGTACTTTGTGAATTTGTCGAAAACAGTGTCTTAGAGAGTCTGGTGTCAACATTCGAGTTTGAGCGTAGGCATAAATTCGGAGGTTGTTCAATACTGGGGTATCGCCCGAGGGTAGCAATAGAGCAGGGAAAACCTAGAGCACTGGTTTGGCTTTGAGATAGCACGTTGGAGAATCAATGAAGTACATTGCCACTGCGAATGGGAACTCCCTCTTTTTTTTTTTTTTTTTTTTTTTAAAAAAAAAAATCTTGTACAGAACATTTAGCCGATATCTCGTTTTGGTAAGAAAGTGGATGGTAGTTCGAAAGTTAACAACTCGTTATCTTGTAGGAGCATAGTTAAAAAAAGTGAATAAAACATTCAAAAAAAAAACCTAAATGGACATATTTTCAATGTCTAATTCGCTCAATGTTGACAAGTAAATAGAAAAAAATTTAAACGTTTTTTTTTCTTTTAAGTGCCAATACTGCACTGTAAAAGCTGGCAAAACAAGAAACTCCGATTGGCATTGCCAAACACTTATTTCTTAACCCCCAATGGAGCCGGCGATGATCAGATATCAGGTCTCAACTATGCGTCATGCAATTTATTTGACTGTTGAAACAATCACGTGCCGCGAAAAATAAAAGAAAGGCCGTTTTTTTATTTCTTAACTTTTCTTTCCTTCCGCAGCAAAATGTCAGAAATCAGTTCACCACACCAAAAGACATCCAAAGAAGGGGCTGAAGTCCGCGAAATAAGGCACAATGAACGCAGAAACATTAGTCCAAAAAGCAATGCAGATAACAGAGTGGTTATAGTTATTGATGACACACCACCTGCTTCACCCATTCGCGAAAGTAGTCAAGCAAAGGAAGATCGTGGCAATCGAACTAAGGAGATACAAATGACGACTAACATAGGAAAAGGTAAGAATAATACAAGTAACTATAAGAACCCAGATAAAGCATCAAGAAAAGTGACAGTCTCTATAGGGGATAAAGCCACGAAAAAACAAAGTAATAATGATGACAAGGCCATCACCAGACAGTCAACATCTCCTGTCGCTCGCCAAATTGGTGCCCATGGATGCAATGCTTCACCACCGCGTAACCATAATACGGATACAAGAGTGGATTATAGAGCTGAGAACAGGGATCGTTTTTCTTACCGAAGCCCATCCCCTCGCCGTCATCGTACACGGTACCCTTCCGGATTCTATCGTCGACCATCTTCGCCCCTTGACATGAATAAGTATCGTCAAGAAAATTCATCAAGACGCCTCCGTCCTTCGTTGTCTCCCCAACGCCGAGGTCGCCCAAATCCACCAAGACGCCGAGTTCGTTCAGCGTCTCCCAAACGCCGAAGTCCTTCACCTACAGTACGAATTCGTAAGCGTTTACCCTCTCCACTTCTCCGTGATTGTTTACGCATAGCAAGACTTTGTGGTCAATCGATTCCAGAACGTAAGCTCAAGTTATCGGAAAAACAAGACCGACAGAGTAGTAGGATTTATCCTTTTTGTTTGTTTGTTTTTGTTTTTTTTTTTTTTTTTTTTTTTTTTTTTTGATAACGTAATGATATCTGAAGCAATTAACCCTTTACTAAACTATATTTATACACATGCTTTATACTTTTTGTAGTACCAAGTTCGCCAGTATCCAGCCAAAACCGCAGCATACCGGCACCCCAAGCAGAATCCAGTTTGCCACCACTTAGGGTGCCCGTATCTAACCCACAACCCGTCATGACAACACCTCAACCAGGACCCAATCGTTCATCATCTGCCATGCGCCACTCAGCATATGGTCACTTCACTCCTAATTACATATCTATTATTAAATCGATGGACGCTTTACCGATAAAGGTTATGGAAAACTTTGGACATATGAATAAGACATTGCCAGCCGGTCAGGACACAACTCATTTTGAGGCTAAAGAAGGTGGACAAACAGGTATGACAGATGACACTTTAATTGAAACAGACAGGGATGATAATGTCATTGGTAAAGACATGTTAGCTATGAAGGAAAATACACCAGAAGCTGTAGAGGTGCCTACGCCAGCGGCGACAGAGTCGTCTAAACCAGTACTTACAAAAACCACCAATCCAGCAGTCGCAGATAAAATCCTGCCAGTCGTATTGTATACACCTAAACCAGTGGTAAGTATGTTTAGTTACCTACAGAACCATACTGACAGTAGAAATAAGGAATATGGGAATCAACCATCCCTTAAAAATAATGATATCAACAGCGGCAGCGGCAACATCCCAATAGCGCCAGCTTCTGTGCGATTTGTTGAAAAACACTCTGCTAGCGATGATTTGGGTGGTACCAGGAAGAAGGTGGCAAGACTGTTACCACCATGGAAAGTGAAGATGACGGATATGGGGGATATATATTATTATAATCCTATTACAGGCGCAACTAGTGAAACGAGACCCGCATAAACATATAATCAATGTAAAAATAAACGTCATTTTCATAATTTTTAATACAGAAAATAGCGCATGACCTATTCCTAGAAATAAAAAGACACAAGGTCTTTCATATTCTCGACGTCTCGCACAAATGGCGCACTCTCATCTTCTTCCTTATGCAGGGGAATTAGGGAACGTTTGTCAATTACATTGATTGGTATGCTGATAGTCAACAATCAAATGACTACCGATCTTTAGTATATAATACATCTTTTCCTCTCTTTTCTTATCAAATTGTGATAGTTTTGTCTAAATAACAAATTCAATTTTATAAAGAGGATGGATATTGACACAACAGTTTCGACTGTAGCAGCTGTATTAGGAGGCTTTATTTTATTATATGGAGTATGCTCTCTTGTAATTAAAGAGAAGCTTTATATATCAGAAGCATGTAATGAATGTCTTTCTTTAACAAAGTGATTTAAATAGCTCATTTTTTCTTTTTTAAGCTGTTGCTATTTTATGCGGCATTTTATGTGGACCGGTAGGATTCAACCTTATCAACATTGATGACTGGGTTTATAAAGAGGATGTGTCACGACAATTTACACGAATTGTAATAGCCATCCAAGTCATGGCTGCTGGTGTTTCTTTACCCAAGGCTTACTTACAAAAGGAATACAAGTCGTTGCTAATTTTATTGGGACCTGTTATGGTCTTTATGTGGGTTGTGAGTGGCCTTTGCGTTTGGTATTTCATTCCCGGTTTAACTTTTGTAAGTGGCGGTAATTGGATCAATTCAAAAGTTTTTATTTTTTTTTCCCTGTTTTAAACCTTATTTTGTTTTTTTTTGCGCTATTTTAGCTGGAGGCACTCATGATTGCGTCTTGCTTTACGCCTACGGACCCTGTTAGTCTTTCAGTCACATTTATATCATTACATGTTATTAAACTTTTTTTTGTTTAGGTTTTGGCGAACTCTATTGTTCAAGGCTATTTTGCAGAGCAGCATGTGCCACCTAATATTCGCCATTTAATCGTTGCAGAGAGGTAAGCTCTTTTTTTTTTCGCAGCAATACATAAATATATTTTATTAATAACTGTTTGAATATTAGCGGTGCTAATGACGGCCTGGGATATCCGTTCTTATTTTTGGCTATTTATCTTATTCAGATGGCTACAGCTGGCGACGCAGTTCTTAAATGGTCCTGGTATATTATGGGATACGAAATTGGTTTCTCCATTTTTATTGGATTTGCCGTGGGATATGTCGCCAGAAAAACCTTGCGGTTTTCCGAAGAAAGGTAATGATTGACCTTCAGTAAACCTGTGCAAGTCTTTTTTGGGCTCACAAATCATTTATAGAAACTGGATTGATAAGGAATCGTTTTTGGTTTATGCAATTGCCTTATCTGTAAGTTATCATGCTATCCCATGAACATGAATAATCATACTTATAATAATTCTGTAGTTATTTTTGATGGGTTCTGTCGGGCTGTTAGGAAGTGATGATCTTTTGGCTTGCTTTATTGCAGGAAACTCATTTACATGGGATGATTGGTTTAGAACTGAAACAGAAAATGCACACTTGACAGAAGTGATCGACATGCTTTTAAATCTTAGTATATTTGTCTATATTGGTCTAACCATGGTAGATACCCAAAGTCCTCTCTTACAACGCAATTATTAATTTTTTTTTCTATTGTAGCCTTGGTCTGCATTCAATAGTCTCGAGACAAATTTGACTATTTGGAAATTACTGGGACTCGCAGCCGCTGTATTATTATTTAGAAGGTTACCCATCATCCTAGGATTGTACAAATATATACCCGCGATTTCAAACTGGCGACAGGCCATATTTATGGGGTGGTTTGGTCCCATGGGTGTAGGCGCATTATTTTATTACACAATTGCTATCCAGTTTTTTGAAACAGACGGAGAAAATGCGTATGCCAGACTCGTTATTGAACCGATTATTTATTTCATTATATTATCTTCTGTGGTCATCCATGGTATCACAATACCTATATTTTTCTTGGGATCTTTTGCCACACGGACGCTCACTAAAACAAATTCAAAATCGTCCTCTTTACCCAATGAGGTAAGTGTCATACAGATTATGTCAGAAAGTTTATTCTGATGATATTGGTTTTTTTTATAGACCTCCTTATGTGACGAATCTTATGTCACGTATGGTACTATCCTTCCAACCAACAATTTGGATACTTCAAAAATGGATGGTGCCTGAACGAAAAATGTTTCCAACGTTTGAATTAAAAGCAGCTTATCTTAATGAGACTCTAAGATATTTAAAGTGCTTAGTACCAGCACTTTGTAAGTTATTACTACTTATGACAGGATTACCAACACTCTCGCCTATTTGTGTTACGGTTTACATGTTACTAATAAAGAAAATAAGTATAATTAAATAAACTAGTTCAGTTCAGCCGTAAACAATAACGAGATCTTAAGACTAGAACGGGTAATGTTCTTTTTAAATAAAACAATAGAGTTTCATAGCATATTAAATCGTTACATCAGATTTGGACTCCTCACTACCAACCTTGGGTCTGTGTAATTCTTTAGGATTTCTTTATTACGTAATAATTATGTGTAAAAGTAGGACAGCTGAAGCCGCTATTTTTAACTTTGACAGGACACTCCTTTTTTGCGTTCATGTCCGATTACAAAAAAGACATTCTAGATCTCAATTACTGTCTGTACTCTAGTCTAGCAAGCAGTGTTTTATTTCGCGATGATTGTGTCATTGCATTGAATCCTCAAAACCCGGTTCATCAGCAGTCGAATCTTTGCTTCCGCATCAGGCTTTCAGACGAAAAGGATCTAGGGTCGTTCATAGATGAGACCGCTGCTGCTTTCAAGATGGTGTCATGTCAACCCAGGTATCATGTTGATGAACTTTCTACGCCTTCTTTAGAACGAATTTGCGCCGAGTTCCTGAGGCTGGGATACAAAAATATTGATATTGACACAGATTTAATCATGTCCTGGGAATTACAAGGCCCAGTATTAAACAACCATGATGGATGCTGCCGAAAAGCAACGATAAATGATTTAGATTGCATCACTAGAGTATTTTCAGCATCGTTTGGATATGACGATTCGAATTGGCTCAAATATAAACTAAAAACTCAATTATTGATGTCTGATACCTTTCAGCTATTTGTTACAGAGGATCAAGGCGTCATTGCTTCAGTGGTCATTCTTCATATGCCCCTTGGATTACCACATTTAGGACACGTTAATTCTGTTGCCACACATCCCGATTATCAACGTAAGGGGATGGCTTCAGTGTGCTTAAGTTATGCGCTTCAACGTACTTGTAAAGCGGGCCAAAAGTTTTACCTGGAAACGTACGATGATTTGTATCATGCACATCGTATGTATGAAAAGGTCGGATTCAAGCATGAAGGCTTATTGAAATCATCTATGATCGCTTTTAATGACAACAAATAACAATGTAGAATGTAGAAATAAAGGGGTTTTTTTTTTATTAATTTATTGTTCATGTGTGTCTAAGGATTATCGCTAATACGGCAGTGAGTATAAAAACTCCTGCTGGAACTCTTTCAATATATCCGTGGTAGTGTCATCGTATACCATACTAAGGCCGTTCCCAAGCAAACTTTATTTTCAAAAACAAATCGCTCAATTTGTAAAAAGGTTTGGTCCCCCCAGTATAAGTACTAGCTTATAATTTTACTATACTCAGGATAGTAATGTGGCCTTTATACAACCAGTAAATTAGACATGCTAGTTTAGTAATTAGCAATATTATTTTAAGTCATGTCACACTTGTTTTTACTTTTTTGTAATTTATACCCCCCCCCCTAGGGGGGTATAAATTACTAATTTGTAAATTGCCCAACCCCCCCATAAATTTTGGCTGGTAAATTTTTTTTTTAAAGTTTAAATTACTATTTTGAGCGAAATACTTTTGTTCCCAAAACGTGAAAAAAGTTTTGCTTGGGAACGGCCTGAAATGCTTCAGTTACTGTTTTCAGAGCGGTGGTAATATCTTGCTTTGTCAAAAGTTTCGGTGTTGAGGATTGCGAGCTGCTAACACTTTGTTCTGCGTTCAGTGTTGGACTAAAATGATAAGATAGGTTTGTATCACTGCTGTCTTCTGTCACCAAATTTTTTATCCTAAGCCATCGCTTTTTGTTTTCCCGCGCCCTTCTATTTTGATACCACTGATTGACTCGTCTCACGTCCGAATCATTCTTGCGTTGTAGAACACCGAATGTAATAGACTCCATCTCTACTTTACTAGGGTTGCGATTGCAATGGAATTCATCCAACAATTTCTGTGTCTGCTCATAATTGAATCTACGACGGGAAGAAACAACTGTGCCTGGAGTAGGCTCTTCAAACTCATTTTCTTTTATCATAAGGATTCTTTTTTAGAAGATAGAAGGGTGAAAGAAGAATGCGTTACATAAAATAGAATAATCATCAATTATTAAACTGCTGTAATCTCCTGTTTTAATCATGATTTAACTAGTAAGGCTCGTGCAAAGATAAGGTTACTGAGCTTTATATAAACGGCCGTATAGAAGCTCATCACTTATTTACAGCAACAAGTTTGTATCAAGATCAATTGCATCATACATATATCATAGAAGAAATCAAAAGTAAAATTTGATAAGACAGTGACGGTCTTCATCTATTTTAAAGGATCGTAAAAGATCAAAAGTGATTGAAAGAGAGAGAAAAAATTAGTAAGTAATTTTTTCCATCAAGCACAAAGGGTGATATTATATCATTATGCCCATCCTCAATACATCTCGTAACAGGATATATCCCTGGAACCAGTAATAGCTCTTTTTTACAAGATTAACACATAGCAAGTAAGGTAAGATATGATTTACTAAAACCTGTAAAACGTTGATATATCTTCTATAAATAACTAAATATGAGAAAATGGAACAAAGAAGGTTAAGTGTTCACACTGCGTGATTATAATTAAAGACGATAGAGTACGCCTTCGAGTTCCAACTTTAATAAAGCGCAAGACGCACTCAAGAGAAGCTTTAGCTGGGTATTATATTGCTTTTTACCTTATGTATATCAAAGATAGACATAACGGCAACACAAGAAAAATAATTGTAGTCTGTGTGGCGGCTCTTTTGGTCCCTGGATATGTTAAACAAGTCTTTCACTCCTTGTTGGCGTTTGATTCAAGTGCAATAAATATTTAACCCGCTTACTGCTTTGATATGTTTCATTATAAATAATTAGAATATTTAACCAAATCCCATTTATCACCTCATGATAATGGAGTAGCTACAAGTTGACAACATAAATTAACTGGACTCAAACGATTAATAACTATGGATCATTATTCTAGTGAATTTCATGCAAAGCTTCGAACTATAAACTCCAACTCTGTTAAAAAGATGATCATGGCGGGACTAGCCATAAACAAAAGATGGGCAGGGGTGAGGACTTGATAGTTTTCCTATTGCTAAAATCCACAGGCGTCAAAAATTGACTTATTGATAACTTTCAGAATTTTTGATAAGGATGAGTTTTTCCATCCAGGCAACCTAAAAGCCGTACTTTTCATATTAAGTACTGTGACCAGTGAGAGAAGCAGCTTTAGCAAATCAATCAGAGTCTCTAACTGCTCAAAAGCTTCTAAAAACCACGAGCAATTTAAATGCTCTATCTAGTTTGTTAAACACAATTCTTTGAAAACTGCCCTTAACATAAACAAAGCAAATATGTTTTTTATCAACTAGAGAGCCCCTTTAATCAAGTTGTAGTTACATGTATTAATTATTCATACCAAACTTATCCATATATATGTTTATATTAAATACCCAATATCATGTAGAGGTGCATTTCTGCGCCCAAAAGGTAACAGCAAGTTCTGTTTGTTATGTAAAGGCGGTGTATATTAATTGTTTTGGTAAAACAAAAAGGCCTGTGTCTATGTAAGAAAATTTTACATTTGTATGAGCTCCTTTAAGAGTCACCTAATAGGGCTTGCGTCTCTGATGCAAACATATCGTCATCTTGACAATGTACTTTAGCAGAAGTTATAAACCATCTTCTTGATATTTTAGAATATAGGAAAATAAACTATATTTTAATCTAATAGCTTCACCTAGACTACGAGGGGGGCGGGGGGTTTTCTTGTATATCTAGATAAAACAACAACTTTCAACAGCCTCTTGATCAGTAACATTGATGCTAAAAGACTCGGGATAAAGTTACTTTTACGACAGACTAGATAAAAAGCAAGTTGAATAACTAAGTAAGTTGTGCATACTGCATTCTCTGAAATAACCGATTGCAATTATAAAATCAGGAACAAACTGTTTAGCCCATTTGTGATACTCACGAAAACGCATTTTGTAGCCATAAATTGTAAGTAATCCAGATGTATTTAAATGATATTTATTAGGTAATATGACAAATGGGAGGGGAAAAGCAATGTGTTATATAATGTCTTGACGTTTTTATTTTTAATCAAAGATGTCGCCGCCCTTGACAGCTGCTCTGTCACTTCTCTTTCCCTTGTTCTTGAGGTTGTTACCACGAGTATTTCTAACATTTTGCTTGTTGGTTTGACTCTTGAGAGTACGAGCAACTTTGCTTTTGAGCTCTTCGTCTTTAGCTGCCGCTGCTGCAGTCACTGATAGTTTCTTGGTAGATTTCTTGGGTTTCACATCACGATGAGCTTTAAAATCACGGTTATTTAAACGTTCAATCTTTTCACCACGTCTGGCCAGCTCTGCCTCTTCAGATAATTCTTCTTCGGCGCTGTCATCCTCCTCTTCCTCTTCCACCACTTCCTCTTCCTCTTCAGATTCAGTTTCCTCTGTATTACCAAGACGCATATTTCTTAATTTGATCTCCATCTTTTCTTCTTCAGTCATTTCTGAGGGTATATCTTGCTCTTCTTCTTCCTCTTCGTCGTCATCGTCATCATCGCTGTCCTCCTCTTCTTCCTCGTCGGACATGTCTTTGATTTCCTCTTGGTATGCTTCTAATTCCTTTTGCATTTTCTTACTGAATCCACTAGCAGCAACTTGAACATCCAAACAGAACTCACGGTTGACATCCTTAGTGAATCTGGGATATAATGCACTTTCATAGCCAAATCTACGACGGAAAAAGACACGAATACACTCGACATCACGGTTGAAATAGCTAGAAAGAGAGAGAGAAGAATTAGAATTCTAATCTGAAGAAAAAGAGAAAACTAAATTTACTTACAATTCAGCATTGACATGAGAAGTGGAAACCATTTGAGGGAAATCAATTAATACAGGAGAACCATCACTCTTGATCAAGATATTGAATTCGTTAAAATCACCATGAATCAAACCATATTGAGCCAATTTAACAATCATACTCATCAATTCTGAGTAAAGTTTACCGGGGTTTCCGACCTCTTCGATTTGACGTAAAGGGAAAGCATCAATTAAGCCCATGACGACACAATGTCTACTGGCATCAATAGGTTCAGGTACGGGGAAACCGTTCTCATAAAGGACCTTCATAAAGGCGAATTCTTTCATGGCAGCTAATCGAGACATATACATCCAAGAAGCAGATTTACGATTTTGAAGATAATCACGCTTGGATTTGATGGTACGGAAAGACATACGACCCAATCTTTGAAGCTTTAAAACATGTTGATTATCGTCTTCATCTGCAACTAAATAAATATCGGACTCTTTACCAACACCAATTTGGTTACCAACAGAGTAGACTGTTCCTCTCTTGGCAAATGTCTTTAAAGCAAGATAATCGTATCCACCGTAGGTTAAACGGTAACCATCGTAACTCATATTTTGAACTCTGGCAATCAACTTTCTCTTTGCTAAACCACCCACAAGCTTGTGACTACCACCAGCACGTAATTGGGCAATTTGGGCAATAAGTGAACTAGGAACAACTTCGTGATTTTTGGAACCCATTTCGACCTATAGCTTTTTTGTTAGTTTCTCGAGATCTCGATCTGATTCTGGCTTAATGTATACTTACAGCTGTCAAAACTCGAAAGTCTTCGGAGCTCATATAACGGAGGGCTTTAGCGTCCAATTTCATTTTTTAATTATATTTTATGGGTTAGATCTATAAAAGCAAAAGGTAAAAAAAAAAAAAGCTTCCATTCTGTTTTATCGAAAAGTCGGGTTTAAAAAAATGTCAAAAAACTCAGTGACTTGTTCTCGAATAATAAAGTCACGCCCGCTGGCTGGCTTGCCAACAGGCCCCAAAATGGGATGTAACCAATGGAAGAGTTGAAAGATTTCTTTAGAAAGCATAATTACAGAACTCCCGTTCTTTTATTGGTCACATTCATTTAACCTGAGTTTCTTTGGGGGGTGAAGGAGATAAAGCTCGATTTCCCTATGTTACAAGTATGAACAATATATAATATCTGCAAAAAAACTAGAAAAAGGTTTACTGCTCATTAGTGTGTTATGCAGCAATATCCAAAAGATTAATGCTGATTGTTCAGGAGGGTGGCTTATATCGAAATGAAAGTGCGCGTAATACTTGACTTTCAAAATTTTCTCTCTCCCTCCCTCTCCACTTTCCTCTTTTTGCTTTATTTTTATACAAACATGGAGTTGACTATATTATCACCAGTACCTACAACAAAGGTCAAAAGCGATCGTATGGAAATTGACGGTGAACAAGCTCATTTGGTCAACCCAGGTGAGACAGTTACAACAGATCAACAATTCATGAGGTAAAAAATAAAAATAAAAAAACAAGTGTTATGGCGAAGAAACTGACGATTGCAAACAGAGGTCATGGTACCTATACTGACGGTGAAGGAACTGTCATTTCTTCCGTTGCTGGTGCTGTGGAAAGAGTTAATAAATTATTGTCTGTCAAACCTTTAAAGACTCGTTATACCGGTGAAATTGGTGATATTGTCGTTGGCCGTATTACCGAGGTACTTTTTGAGTAATTTCGTTTTTATTCATGCCATGTACTCATCACAATAATAGGTCGCAATGAGACGTTGGAAAGTTGATACTAATGCTAGACAAGATGCCAACCTTTTATTAAGTTCAGTCAGTCTTCCTGGTGGCGTACAAGTAAATAACGAAAAGAACGGGACACAGACTAAAGATGTCATTAACCCTATTCCCAATTGTAGAGACGTAAAAATGAAGCCGATGAACTTCAAATGAGACAATTTTTTGCAGAGGGCGATGTGTTAGTGGCCGAAGTACAAGCCTTTTACGGTGATGGAACTATGGGTCTCCACACTCGTGGTTTCAAATTCTGTAAATTAAGAAACGGTTCTTTTGTTTGCGTTCCTCCTGTACTCGTTCAACGTTGTAAATCACAATTTCACTCGCTCCCTTGTGGTGTTGACGTGATCCTTGGTCTCAATGGCTATATTTGGGTTCATAAGAAATTCAGTCAAGTGATTGGTGACGATACCGATGCTACCGTCTATTATTCCAGTGAAAACGATGTAAGAGATAGAGGGAGAGAGAATAATCGAGTAAAATAGGCACATGTAAGCTAATGGAATGACTACGATTTTATCTAGGACATCACCTTGGAAGAGAGACAAGATATTGCCAGAGTTTCGAATTGTATCTCAGCATTAGCTAAGCAATATATGCATATCAACGATACGGTTATTGTATACACATACGAGGCTTCTTTAGATTATACTGTAAAGGAATTACTCAAGTTGGATGTCATCGAATCTATCACCAGCGAAGCTAGTGCAAGAATGCGTTCTACTTAATGATAAAAATGCATGAAAAAACAACAACTTCCTTTTGTAAATACTCTCAATAAAATAAAAAAATAATATTGCTAACGAATACATATATCGCGCACTACCTATCCCCAGCCTTAATTTATTAAATATCTTTTGGTTTCCATGATCCGGGAGAAATTGAGCCGGAAGCAGCATCATCAATCAAGGTCCAGTCTTGATCATCATCTCCAAAACTAGCCGACATAATATCATCATCTGTTGCTGATGTCTTTTTTATCGAGGACATGGTTCTAGCTTTCGCAAGTTCCATATCGCGATAAATACATTGGATGGCTGTCTCAACGCCTGTTTCCTAGATACACATGAAATTTTAGTTACCATGAAGATTTTTTTTTTTCTTTCTTCAGATATACTTTACAGCTTTGATCTTTTGTCCCACTCTATTAGCCATTTTCAGCATATTTTCATCTGTGGAAACTACACGAAGTGCTGCTGATAACTGTTCTACAGTTAAACTTTTGATACACCTTCCCAATCCCATTTCCTCTATACGTTCACCCCAGAAAAACTGGTCAGCAAAGAACGGTTTGATGATCGTCGGTCTTCCTGCTCGGAGTCCAGCAGCTGTTGTTCCTGCACCACCATGATGAACAACGGCTCTAATCTTGGGGAAAAGCCAGTCATGAGGAACAGACTGGACACTCAAGATAGTACCCGGATGCTTCTTTAACATGTTTTCACCTTCATTACCTGTACCTTCTGAGAGTCGGGAAGACCACCCTTGAGATACAACTGCCCTTACATTCGACAACAGAACAGACTCGATAATCACTTTGATGATCTCTTGTGGATCAGATACGATAATCGATCCAAATCCTATATAGACAATCGGTCGGATATCTTGTGCTTCAATAAATGCTTTGAGTTCCGGATCTGGTGTCCAACCCGTCTAGAAGAGTGTTTTTGGTTAGAAAGAAGGGGGAAAAAAAGGGGGGGACTCGCTGAATCAATTAGTTGGTACCTGAGGATTATCCAAAAACCAATAGCCTGTACAATGAATCCAATCTAGCCAATCAAGAGGGCTAGGAACAATACTAGGACTGAAAGAATACAGATACGGGATTTTCCATACTTCCAATTTTTCATAGCTAGTGGCAGGTAGTCCCAAAACAGATTGTCGGAAAGAATTCGTGCGTGCAGCAATGGCTCTCCATATTGCATGATCGAATAAAACATAGGTCATGTCATTATAAATTCGACCTTTTGGATTATTTGGTGTGGCAAATGGATGAGGGAAAGATCTTGTTCGGGTCATGGGCATGGGAAAGGATCGGAAATACGGCACACGTAGTGCTTCAGCCATATGAACGCCAATCATGGCACTGGGACTCTCAATGATAATGTCAGTGCCTTGTACAGCTTTCCACGAAAATGTTAATAAGTCATCAATCCAATCCTTGAACTATGTATATATGGAGAGCGGTTAATTGAAACACAATTTACTAAAGTATATTTTATACTGTACAAGTCGAAGACCTTCCACAACAAAATTGACACTAAAGAAATTATTTTCAACGCAAATTCTCTATGAACAAATTAGTCTCTTGAAATCCCCTCTCATCTATACGCATATTTAAAAAAACTTACCATAAGCTCACCAGGATCTCCACCAACAGTTCTGAATTCAATGCCATGCTCTTCAATCCAGCCTTGAAACTCATCATGGGTAGCTATTCTACAACGATGTCCTTCCTTCATCAATCCTTTACAAAGAGCGATATAGGGTTGTACATCACCTCTCGTTCCAATTGTGATACAGGTAAAATGAAGTGACTTTTCCGGTTTTTTGTAAACAATAGTTTCAGTTGGTATACGTGAAAGAATTGGCAGGTTTGAATTCTTTGGAACCACTCTTTCGATATTGTCCTTGATTTCATCTTCCATCAACTTCATCTCCCAGTCCTTGATGTTTCTAGGGTAGAGAAAGTAAGTTATAATACACTTTTCCTCATGAAATTTTCTGACTTACTGTTCAATCTGATCAGGCTCAAGTTGAGATTCCAAAGCACGCTTATGTTGCAAAAATAATTTGGCAAAGCAACTGTTACGTCGAGTGATGGATGAAAACTCCAAAAAAACCTCCTTCTTTGTCTGCGTAAGAATACTAAGAGAGTGGAAAATATATCCCCTACTTCTGAGCTTCTGAATTCGTATAACATCAGTGAAAGGTATAATCATTTTTGCTTTTGTTGCAAACCCTTTAGAGTTAAATGATATATAATTGGTAGAGATATACAACTTTCCGTAACAAGGCAATGTTTTCATTAGAGAGCATCGATATACTGTATCCAAAAAAAAAAAAAAAAAAGACAAATCATTATTCCCCATCTAACTCTATTCCTTTGCTCTCTCTCTTTCTTTTACCTGTTAACAGTTTTTCAGATTCGGCCAAGACAAAGTATTTTTTAAAGTTGGTCATGGTACGATCATCCAGCACTTCCGCTTCGTCTGCTTGAAACCCCGTATGTGCTGGATTAAATGTATGATCCTCATCGTCATCTTCATCGTCATCCTCATCATCGTCGATTTCAAAAGCAGTGGATGGACTACCAGCCATTGTATTACTTCCTAATAATCCATACATCAACTTCATTCCAGACCTACGCTTCTCATGTAGCCAACCCAGTGATTGCTCCTCATCACCTGAGCTCGACGATTCCTCTTTTATCGAGGCATCCGACCTTATCGTGGATTTACTGGTGGACGTAGACGGATAAAGAAAGTCTTTGAGAACACCAGGAACGGCCAATGCATTGGCCACAACAGAATTGGATCGTTTAGGCTGAGCAGGTTGGGATAGTGAAGACCCAATGGTAATAGGCTGAGAATCAGCGTCGTACAAATCCGAGATAGAAAGCGATGGAGAGTTGTTTTCAGAGTCTTCCATGTAGCTTAAATGTTGCGACACGGTAGATTGATGCTGGTTCTGATGATTAGAATGGAGTTCCCATGCTGATTTTAAGCAATAGAAAGTATGCTCGATATCTGAGAAATATGCAAAATAATACTAGCAAAAAAAAAAAAGAGGATGTTAAAGGGCATAATTGATCTTTTGTGTGGGCTGGTTGTTATTCAATCACTATTTACCTCATCCATAACAAAACTATCATCAATACCAACGGCTCTTATTTTAAGAAACCTTTGGAACTCAAATGCCTCTGTTTGCTCAATATCCAGAATATTTTCAAAGGGTAATGTGATTTTTAAACTGCTGCCATTATTTTTCGCTCTAAATATTGCCTTTTGTAGAGCATTTGTCCTACAATAACAAGAGATAAGAATGAACATGTTTTTGTTAGAAAGGGAACCTTTTTTTTGTTGTTGTTGTACCATTCTATAACCGCAGCATGTGTATCTGCCTGAAGATGCCAGGTTTTATTCATTGTCACTATCCTAAGACCATATTTTCTTTTTGTGGATTGACGTACAGCCAATGCATATTTGAGATCAATTTTGCCTAATGGAGAATATGTATCTGTAGAACTTTCAAACCATGCTAGCACATCTTGTTTTATATCAAAGTAATAGCGTTCATAATTCGTCTTCATTTTTCCAGATTTTTTTAATAAAAGATAACCGGATTTACTGAAAGCAATCTAAATGACATGTGAGTCCTCCCTTTTTTTTATTATATATTGATGCACGTTATCCCCTCATTCATCACACCACCTATTTTTTTTTTTTTTTTTACCTGGCCTTTGGGCAATGAAGCGTAAAAGCAAATATAATTGCTGGTTAGGTACATAAAGCCCGGCACGATAGCAGATTGTACAATGTAACAAGGCCATTCGCCCTTTAATATCTCATGATTGGGCAAATGAAATAGATTTCTCAGTCTTTCTTCGACGCTTTGATCGCTATGATTTGATACGGTTTCTACTGGAGCTGCGGTAATGATTGGTTCCTCTCCGGTTGCTTCGGCCAACAATTGACAAATTTGATCGGGTTTTTCACATACAACTTGTTCTACCACTTTGGTTGTTGTGTCGTTATATGTTTTAGGTATGTCCCAGGTGTGGTTACTATTTGTGAATAAACCATCAGTCGAATGTCGTAAATCTAGTTTTTTTTTTTTATGTATAGAAAAAGTTTAAATTCAAGAAACGAGTCGATGAGTCTATTCGATTTTTTTTTTTTTTTTTTTTTTTTTTTGTGTTTACCACTCGCAGAACCTAATTTCAAAACAAGAGGGAAAATGTTAATCTAGTTGTGAGGGACAACGAGTCAATGGTACCTTTCAAGTCTTCACCTTCCTGTGTCTCAAACTATATATGGAATACAGAAATACAGGTTAATTATATTAGAAAACAAATTGGACCTGCTAAATACATACAACCTGTGCAGCTGCTGAAACAAACTGCAAGACATTATGATTTATAGAGTCCGTCATATGTGTAAATGCTTAATATTGATTATATTGTAGAAAAAAAAAAAAATGAAAAGAATAAAAGAGGGAAAAAAAAAAAAGGTTCCCCATTCATGCAATGACACTTGTCGTATGTCCGCCTCCCCCCGTCTGGTGATCGCTCCTTCTTTTATCACCCCAAAGTCACAGTATGATATCATTTGGGATGGAAATTATGCACTTTAAATTGCTTTTTTTTTTAGATATAAAAGTTTACTGGATGATGCTATTCGTTAGAGATGCCTAATGGCACTTTCTTGTGCTTGAACAAAACTTGTTACATTGACTCCATATACTTCTACGCTTTTAATTTATGGAATTAAATCATAAGCTTCGCCCCGCCTTGTTTAAGGGCCATCTTCATGGAATAAATGCATAAAGGATAATAACTAGTATACTCATATTATTTAATCAACATTGAGATTTTCGGTTTGATAAAAAAAAAATAAGCTTCGATCGTTAAAAGGTAGCCTCGGATAATGAATATAAATTATATGAACATAAACTTTAAATAAATCAAGGCTGTTTACAGGTCGGTTTTAATTACGAAATAAAACACACAGCCAATTTTTATAAATTAGGCACGGCCGGGGTGTGCGTAGCTATTACATGGAATAGGATAATCTTAAGTAACAATAAACATATGCTAACTATGTCTGCGCGTTTTCTAGTTTTTTTTTTTATTTTTATTTGAAGTCTCGCTTGGAATTGAATTCAATATTTCTGCTGATTTTAATCTGCGTAATTGTAATAACAGACTAAATGTATTATTGCTATTAAAGAAAACTGAAAAAGACTCTGCTGGAGGTTGAAGAATTTTAAAGTTACAAACCACAATGGCAGAAGCGTCATTTAAACGGTTACGCTTGACAATATAGTCGTCAAGTGCTGCCAATTTATCACACGGCAGTATCTGAGTTCTGGAAAAGCTAACTAGTATCCCGCCTTCAAGTGAATGGGAACTGTCAGAAGCAGATGAAACTTTGTTGGGTCCTTCCTGAAAGCGAATAACCTGAAATTATTGGGACATTCATCGTATCAACCGATAGATATTCCCTTTTTTTTTTGTCCTGGTAATATGAAACATGTGCCACCGTTAATATACAAAAACAGTACTGCATCCCGCTTCTCGGTGGTTGATAGTCTCCGCAATGTATTATATCTGAGGATACAGCCTATCAATGCTTTTTTAAACTGGAGGTTTTTTTTTTTTTTCATATGTCAACATCAAGCCGTACAACCAAGATGTACATTTCGAGGCCGTCTAGATAACTTCAAGAAGTTTGCCCCCATCAATCAAGTTTTTCTGATTTGGCAACTTATAATAGATTTCTTGACGCGTGTCAAAAATACTGAGCGAAGAAGCCTGAAATCAATCTGTTGGTTTATCTAGAAAGGACTGCTTATCCTGGTATACTATGCTCCTGTTAGTAACTGTAGCCAAACATGATAAGTAATAATTCGATTGATTTATCAAATAGATATAAATTTATTAAAGAAAAAATTGTAATCCTTTGATAATTGGTAAGGGTATATTTATTTTTATGTTGAGAACGACATTAAACCACCGGTATATGTTATAAGGAAGACGCATTGTATAAATTGTAACATCACTACATGATTGAGTGTAGGAAATTGCAACTTTGTCTATATTTTTTTTATAGAAAAAAAAAAAATATTATCAGTAATTCGTCTATTTCTAGTGTCAATTGCCATCAAATTCTAACAAGGCTTGGGCTGAACACAAGGGAACCGCAAGGAACAACGTGTCCGAGTCAAGATTCAAATGAGAATAGGGTGGCTGTATAAGGTACTAGGCTTAGGCAGGCACAAAAAGTCCGGCGTGTCCGTTTGGCCTACAAACGTTGGCAATATTCGGCGGAGTGGTGAAAGTATAGCAACTAGGGGCCTACGACGTTGACACACCTATCAATTGGACCGTTTTACTGAGCAAGTTCAAAAACTTATCTGTTATCACATTAGAGTCTGAACATTTGGAAGATTGAGAAAGAAAAAAACAAGTTCATAAACAAAAAACAAAAAAAAATTGCATGAAATATTTAAATGTCTGTGGCTTAATCCTTCAGGCTAATTATATGCGCACTAAACTTTTTCCTTTTTGACTTTTTTATTGTTTATTCAAACGATTCACAATAATACTTGATGGCAAGCCATTTGCTTTCAACAGTCTATTATCTGTATTCAACCCGTAGAAGAAATTGAAAGGGCAGTTCCGAGGATGTCTTTTGGAAGACGAGTGTATGAGCAGCTCAACACGGATATAAAAGTGATAGCAGACAAATACAACTGAGAAGGTCTTAATGAACTTGAGATGGGAGGACACACGACACGTTCCATCTTTTTTTTGTTGAGACTATGTCGGTCAATGAAGTGATAGCTATTTTATAAAAAAAAAAAAAAAAGCTATTTTTTGAAGCCGAGTTTTTCTGTTGACAAGGAAACCGTCAGACTCGAAATACAGTCTTTCTGTAATCAAAAAATGATTCTGGTAATGATCGTGCTATTAAAACGATGGAAGGTTAAAATTAAATTGATTGTGATAATTTTTGGATGAAAGGAGTGGAAAACAGGCTTCAAAGGACCTGACAGGAATAACAACTCCTAGTGAAACGATAAAGGTAATGTTTAAAAATGCCTTTTGGAAAATCATTAGTTGGGAAAGCTGTAATTATATAATAAAAGTTATTTTGCCTAGATACATTCTTTATAAGTCTTAATATGTTTTCAATTTATACCTTAAAACAACATTAACATCCTCGTACAGTATCATGATTTATTTCCTTTGATGCCAGAGAGCTGGATTCGTTTCTGAAGAAGACTCTAGCTGAGTTTTGAGCACGTTATATCGATAACAAAGAGATAAATGATTATTTTTTTCCTTTAGAAAAAAAAAAAAGATAAGAGACTAGAATTTATGATCATCAGAATAAGTTGTAGATAGGCTTTCAACAATATGATGAGTTGAACGCTTTTTTCATAGAAAAGGTCTGCCCACTATTTTTGTCTTTATTGTTCCCCCCCCCCCCCTGAATTATCAAAAGTACAAATTCATTCTAAACAAAAAAAACACATTCCCGACATAAACAAATTCTTGTTAAAGGTCTAGAACTATCACCGATTTAAGTATCTTGACATAAACAAGTCCTCCTTTATCAATCATGTTTTTGTTATCAAGTGATAGTACACGATTATATAAAAAAAAAACGTAAAGACCATCTTTAGGAGAGAGCAAAGTTGTTACTAATCCCTTATCTGGTAGTTCATACAGAGAGTCATCCAGCCCCACCCAAAAAAAAAAAAACACTGAGAGAACAACTTTGATAAAAGTGAGACACATTGCATGACTCGCGCACGAAACCTTGAGTAACCTTGATACTGGTCCTAATCAGGCTCAATGATTGTATTGCTCAGACATCAAAAACCCATTTCGTTATTCAAATGCAATACAATGATAAAATAATAGAAACTCGTAGTTCACTAAAGAGAGAGAGTGTGTGTCTGTGTGTGATTTCTAGGGTCTCTTTTTTTTTTTTTTTAAAAAAAAAAAAAAAGGAAGAGAGACCCACAAAATGGGATATATATCCTCGATAACATGTTACGAATTCTGCAAAAGAAAAACTTAATTTTGTCACACTGAATTACGAAATAACTAGTGGAATTCCGACAAAAACAAGTTCATGAAAGAAGAGTTGAGTGATCTATTTATACAGTGTGGGAGATATCCAGGTAGCTCATTTTAACAGTGAATACTACATTACTATTGTGCCTTCGAGTCTGAGTAAGTGATCTTAACAAGACTAAAAAGACCCCCTCCGGCAAAGGTCAGCCATTTTTTTTAAAGACTTTATTTGTTTGTCAATAGCAACGAAAGTGTGCTTTAGATCATGCCTGTCAGTATATCATGGATAAGATAATGTATCACTCTCAACGGGAGGGATGGGGGGAAGCACTCTTTCAGTGGGAGAAAAAATAAAGGGAAGTCATCTAATGAACAAACCTTATTCTAGTCTATACGTGTGTGTGTGTGTTTTTTTTTGAAGGGGGACGATAATTCTTACGATTCCCTAAAAAAAAAATGATTGGATGTTAGACACTTGTGTGATTTCCAGATTTGAAAATAAAAAATAAAATCGGTCGGACACACTTGATTATTAGACAAGACTTTTTATTTATGTAATTTACGAAAACATCAGATGAGTTACATGTGTTGTTGTATCACATGTCTATCGACGACATATAAGGTTTTTTCTTATTTCAAAAAGAGAGAGCCCAATGCGCAGATAAGATTTGTTTGATAAATATTTGGGGGCGGCATAAAAAAAAAAAAAAAACGGAATCTAACCCAAAGCTTTTGTTGTGGCACTACATGTAAAAAAAATAAAAGACAGACCCCCTATGTCCCGTTGTCTGAGCACTTTTTTTTTTTAATGCATAAAGAGAGTTTCATCTGCACAACACAACACAAAAAATGTCAATGAAGGATACCAACCCTTTCCCGCTGACGATGATGATCCATTTTATCACCGATCAATCATCATCGCACGCTTATTGTTGATTGTTTTTTTTTATTTTGTTTTAATTTGCTATAGAGGGGTTGTTTATTTTTCTTTTTTTTTTTGACGGATTGGAGTTTTCGTTTCACCTTGGTTTATCCAATCATAAAGACTGTTATTATACTCTTAGTCTTTTTATTCCCCCCCCCCCCTTTTTTTACAAATTGGCGGGTAAACCGAACAATAGTTAGACTACGACTACTACTAAAAGGGATGTTATCACCTTGGAAGAACCCACCCCCTTTCTTTTTGAGCGGGAGATGCACTTTTTTTTTCTTTGACAGTTGATAAGGCGACGATGACTTCATAAATATCTCTCTCTGAAATTACAAAAAAAAAAGGCCAAATTTTATATCTGATGATGATAATAGAGAGCCTTCAGGCGGGCTTAGATTAAAACAATCTACTATGGGAGAGCAGTCCCAAAACTATCATTATTTTTGAAGGTAACCAAGAAACGGTTCATACAACAGTAACCCCCCCCCACTACCCACATATATATATAAAAAAAAGAAGAAAATCCCCTTTTATTACAATTATTATTCTCATGGGGGTTGCTATACTACAAGCGAGACCAAATCCAGCCCGAGAACCAAGAAGCCTGTTTCACAGGTTCTGCTAACCGAGGCACATCAAATAAAACCTCTTTTGTTTCATGCACAGGTCCTACATTTTCATACACAGGTGTATCCTCCGTTGTATCCAACTCAATCACAGTAATTGTAATATCATCTCGGTAATTTCTTGATGGCTTTCGAGTCAAACGTTTAGACAATTCCAATGTCTCATCCTCCACCGCTTCCTTCTTACCCACGTTTTTATACACAGCCTCAAATAATAAGGCTTGACGCACTAAATGGGTAGCAGGGTTGGATTCACCTCCCTTTTTTTTCCATTGACTCATCATTGTGGCAGCCACTTGGTCTCCATTCGTACTACGTACATTATCCCAGCTTAATTCGTCCCATAATCCATCCGTACCCAAAATCACAAATCGGTCACCCTTCTCTAACTTGTGTTGTGACACAAGTGGTTTGGATTGGAGGTAAGGTGGTGTATGGTAATTGACAACAATACGGTGATGATAACGAGCAAAAGTTTTGTAAATGTCATAAGGGATAAAGGGAAGTACCTTCATCTGATAATCAACAGGTACCTTATACATAATATCACCAAACGCTAAAGAAACACTTGATTTTAGTTTTTTTCCCCCCTTCCCTCTTTTTTATAATCACACTTACATCCACCTACGGCAATCAGTCCAAAAATACGATTTCTCATGACAATCACATCTGCTTCACTCTCGGGATGTTGTGAAAGCATATGAGCACGCCATTCAGGGTTAGCAGGCGATTCTTCCTCTACCAATCGTCTACCCTTCCAATTTCCTTCCTCATCCTGACTCACAACTATAAAATGTGTGTGAATGTGAGAGATCGGTTGCTATCTTTTTTTTTTTTTTAAAAAAAAGGTCCCACTTACTGACGACACGAGAATCACCTGTGTTGGCAGAATAAATCACACCGTCATGAATATAAACCGCACAAGCACAAGATCCATTAATCGCTTCTTGAATAATCGCTTCTGTCGCAGCTTGATCGGGTTGACGTGCAATAGCGGCACGAATATCTCGTTCCGTGGTATGCTTCAAGTTCTTTGGAAACAAGTTGTAAAATCGTTGTTGAATATCCTGATCCAAATCGACAAAGGCAGTAGAAATCGCGTCTTCGGTGGAACCCTCTTGTTCGTTTGTTGTTATTGCACGAGCCATATAGATGGGTAATTGGTCCTTGATTAATCGAGAGCAATGAGGACCAATATGACCTACACACAAAAAAAAAAAAAAAAAGGTCATCTAAACGTGAGTTTCCAATAGGTAGGTTCCTAAACAATAGGATATATATATATATGTACCGTCGTAGACACCGGCAATGAGACCTTGACCCAATGTATGGATGCTGTAATTATCCTCTACGGGGTTATTGGAAGCTAATTGGTTGGAATAAATAGCTTTGACCTCGGGTGTAGATACCTTATTCGCAAACTGTCCTGACCGAAGACGTTGGTCAATATCTGTACTGGGTAATAAAGTAAACGGACGCGAGTCGTGGTATTTGGCTACTGGTGTAGGAGAAGGTACGGGTTTAACCACGGTAGGTTTAATGAAATAGTAACCTCCCGCTGCACCTGTTAAACCAAGTCCTGCAAGAGCAGTTAATGTTCGTACTGGAATGGCCATCACGAGAAAAACTGTAATAATAAAAAAAGATAAAAAAAATAATAATAAAAAAAAGGGTCAAGATCACTTCAGCTGACGTCAATCAGTTCTTTTCCACCCCCCAAAAGAGTTCTTTCTTTTCCCCCCCCCCCCACTCTTTTCCAAAATTGGATTAATTTAATTATTTTGGAACTGATTGGCTCCAAAAAAAAAAAAAAGGCGTAAAAAAATAAATAAAAAAAAAAAAACAAAACATTGGTGGGAGAAATGATACTGAAACAAAAAATCCCTCTTTTTAAAAAAAAAAGTAAATACTCTCATCGCATTACACACATTAAAGAGAGAGAAAGAGAGAAAAGAGGGTAAGTGTCTGTTACACAAGGCTAATGGGGGAAAAGAGTGTTGCATAACAGCAGTGTCACTTTTTTGTCGCTGCTGTTAAAAACTTCTTTCAACTGATAGGAATGACGTCTTTTTTTGAGGGAACTAAGGCCCAAAAAAAGATCCATGGTAACCCTTTTATGCGGACATTTAAACTCGGATAGCTTGAAAATCATCACCGAAACTTTATTCCTCTTTTCCCAACAAAGAGATCGCTTTATTATTCGCACCCTTTTTTTTTTTTTTTTTTTTTTTACATCCAAAAAAATAAAAATAAAAAAAATAATTACCTCTTTTTTCTTTTTTTTTTTTTTTCATAAACTTTCTTTTTTTTTTTACTTTACTTTCTATCTAATACCCCCCCCTTCCTCTCCCCCCCCCCCTTTGTAAAATGAAATCAACGTAAGAAACTAGGAAAAAAAAAAGTAACGGTACACAATGATTTTCTGACAAAAAAAAATGATTATTTTAGTTGCCAGACAAAGGAAATTGTGTATTTGAATCGTGTACAACAGTCTTCCGTCACCAAAAAATCTAGTTTAACAGACATCAAGGCTATCGCAAAGACCTTAAAAAGTCGTCTATCGCATCTCTCTAAACGATTCGTGCAACCGTCTGTCAACAACAACACTTCTCATCCTCATCCTCATCATAATAAATATGTATCCATGGAAACTTTGTCCAAGTTGTCATCTGCTGATTGGTCAATACCACCACCACCACTCTCCTCCACCACCACCACCAGTACCACCACCACCACCTCTACAACACCATCCACACCATCCACACCAAAAAGAAGAAAACCCGTCTTACATCATTTGGATTTACTCAAGCGTTATCTGACCTTTGTTGCCTCTGAGGCTCAGATAGACCTTCATCATCCTAACCAAATCGAATTCACTTTTACCAACAATCACGAACTTCTTCAACCTCAATCCACCCTCGATCATGCTTCACGATTAGGTGCTACCTTAATTGAAATGGCTGTTCATGATCCTCTAGAAAAGATTCAACCACCCAAAGGTAAAATATATACATATAAAAAAAAAAAAAAATTTGTTTACATGTTGGCGTAAAAAAAAAAAAAAAAAAAAAAAAGCGTCCATGAGAATATTTTTCTGACTTTTAAAAAAAAAATGTAGTTCTAAATGGGGCAAGCCGTCGTCGTCCAGGCAGACCACCCAAAGAGATAACGACAGCACCGATGATGATGAAAAAGAAGGATACGATTCAATGTATATGTACTTCCTCACGACAAGAATTTGGTGTGATGGTACAATGTGATGATTGCTGTCATTGGTTACATTTAGAGTGTCTTGCATTGGATGAAAAGGCATTAGCAGAAACCTTTCGTTGTCCAAGGTGTTTTATTCAAATGGATGATGATCATAGTCTTAAATTACTTTCTACTGTCACATGGCGTTATGCCGCTCGACATCAAAGCAAAGTATTGGCTTCTCTTAATCACCATACGCATCCTGAAGAAGAAGAAGAAGAGGAGGAGGATGAATATGATGAAATGTCTTCTTTGGGTATGGATGATGTTTCCTCTATTATTTCATCGGCTGACACTTACGACGAATCACAATTAATATTTGACGAAGGAGATTCTGATTGGCCCAGCAGCATCAGTAGTAGTAGCAGCAGCAGCAGCAGCAGCAGCAGCAGCAGTTCTAATTCTAGTAGTAGTTGCAGTGAAGCGGGTACACCCTCTGAATACCATTTTGGAGGTGATGATCATTGGTTTGTTCCGCCTAGTTCTGCTAACGTCTTTCTTTGGAATAACAACACGACTCTATTCAATCATCCTCCTTATTGTACTTCTTCCTCTCTTTCATTGTCCTTGACACCCGATGTTGAACCTTCTGCTGTTTGTGCACAAGAACTTCCAGAGTTTAACTTTTGGGAGACTTCTTTTTAAAAAAGGCAACTTTTTTTTAACTTCTCAACTTTTGTATCATATTTCGCCCTCTTTAAAAAAAACAAAAAAAAAATTCCTCCTTTGTATATTTTTTCAACCCCCCTGTTCTCTTTTTTCTACACTCACACATGCACACACACACACACACAAAAAAAATCCCCCCCCCCTTTAACCCCCTTTTTTTTTTTCCACTTTTTTTTTTTTTTTGTTCGCTCTCCAAAAAAAAAAAAAAATAAAAAATAAAAAAAAGTAAATGTAAATAACATGACAGATATGTCACTTCTGTAAAACAATAGGACCAATAAGGCTTGACAACGCACTTGCCCATAGCGCAAAACTCTTTCTCTTTTTTTTTTTTCAATCTCTCTCTCATGCGGACTTTTTTTTTTTGTTTGTTTGTATCATCGGATGCCTTTCCGTTCTTGTGCAACAATTCTTTGTTCACTTTTTGTATATAAAAAAAAAAAAAAAATTGGGGGGAGCTGCTATAAAAAGTTTCATAAATGTCATCTAATAATAATAATAATAAAAAAAAGGTTTGAGGAATGGGGGGAAAGGTTATTAAGGGGGGGATTATGCTGAACAAAAAAAAAAAATAATAATAATAAATAATAAAATAATGTACAAAGAAGGGAAATTAAATGGGGGGGGTAGGAGAGAGAGTTCTATTACTAATTTTACAATGTGATGACACTTGGATCACCATTCTATACAAGAAAGAAATGAGTACACACATACATGTATATATCTTAAAAGACTTACAAAGGGGTGACGCCATCCACATTGGAATTCATCCTTTTTATAGGTACGATCATCACTGGTGGAAGTATTATATCCAATATGATACATGAGCAAGGTTTTACTGGTCACAAGTGAATCTTTACATGCAGCACATTGCGGCAACTGTCCCATCAAGCATTTCTGAATAATAATGTCCGGTGGCATATCCACATAGTGCAACAATAACTGCGATGTCAAACGTGCCATCTCCGGTTTCAGAAACAGTCCACTACGCATCAATTAGTCTCTCTCTCTCTTACATTTAACTCTTTTTTTTTTTTAGCTTTTTTTACCTGCCACCTGTACCGACAAAGACGCCACAATGGTTAGGCACTGTCTTCTCTGCCTTGAAAATCACTGTTTCAATCTCATGCCATTCACGTTGACCACATACAGGGAAATCATCTTCCATCAAGGCATAATAGGTGCTCTGGAAGGTTTCTGTCACATAATCCAAGGCCTTGGACACATGTAACCTCTGATTCAATGTCTCACCTTGCTGATGGACCCATTTCAAGTACCTTTGTCCTTTCACTGTACCCGAGAAATGTTCTTTTGCTTCCTCAAATTGTGTATGGTTGGTGAAATGCGTATAGATAATTGCCTGCATACGTGCATAAGGTGAATCCACTGTTGGATTTTCAGGCCAGTTCTCTAAATAGGATTCGATCGTTCGTGTCAAATAGGCTGGATCTCCTCGACGTGGTGCAGTCATAAATACAAATGTAAATAGGTATCGATCATGGGATATCGTGTTTAATTGGTGGCCACTCACTACAAATGAACGAGTATAATAGGTATTCCAAGCCAACAAGATGGGTAAACTCAGTAGGACGACCCAACCTGATCTTTTGGTGGCAGACCACAATAATCGCCATAAAGGTGTACGTCGATAATGTTCCAAAGTCATAAATTCTGTTTGATCCTTCACCTCTCTTTTCTCAAAGGCAAGCCAAGCTTGCATCACCAAGGTCGTGATAAAGCCCGTGAATAGTCCCGAGAGTGACCACCAGAGAATGGTCTGCGTCGTATAGTTGACAAGACACATGATGAACTGCAAAGTCACTTTAGCAACTGTGATCTGGTGATGTTCTCCTTGTCCGTATATCAAGATGTACTTGTCACCGATGCACAGCGATTGCACTACCAACAATGCAAACAAGAATGGTGCCAGTCCTGTTATATGAGTTAGTTTTATACTGTGTGATAAGTAGTTATATATTACCTTGACTGCACTCATGCATGGAATTACTAAAGAAGAGAGAAGGAAAGGCCCAGCCTGTAGATTTTGAAAAGATGAAACCTAGACCGACTCGAATGGTAGACAAGGAAAGAAAGACAAAGAAGAGACAATGAATGAAACGTCGAGTTCCCCCTCCCAACATGAGAGTTAAAGATTCTTCAAATAAGCCGAGAATTAAGAGATTCCAACCATAGAGCATCATACCTTGTAAAGTCCAGTCAAAGAGAAAGGGAGCTAAACACATATTTTTAAAATCCAATCGATAAATGATAAAGGAAGGTGCAGAACAAGCGATCGATAGTACACCTAACCAATTTAGGATAGACATGAGAGTGGCAATCAGAATCATGTAGCGTGTGACAGTAGGTAAAGGCCATAAACAGAGTAACTTTTGTGATTTACTCTTTTCTTCGTTTATATATGGAGTGAAAGGCTTATTATAATGACGTACAGTAAACTTTTGTGTGGGTTGATAACAATACAAGTTAAGTGTAGGTATTTCGATCGTCTGTAACATGATTGGCTTGTCATTGGAGTTGCGTTTCTCCATGGATGAGGAAGGATCCTCGGCATCTGTCCTATTAGTGTCATTACTTCTCGTTACTTCTTGTACGAGTCGAACTGACCCAAATAATTTAGATAGAAATTGTCGCATAATTTCTAATATATTTTCTTTATATATAATCGAATTTCCCTCCTTCACCAAACTAAAACAATACAAAAAAAGAAAAGGTGTCCCCAAATAATAAAAAGTGGGGAGTTTTTGTTAAAAAAAAAAAAAAAAAAAAAAAGGGGGGTTCCAAAAAAAAAACCCTTTTTTTTATTTTCCAGCTAAAATTTTCGCAGCCCTCTCTCTCTCTTCATTCCCCGGATGGAACCAAATCATGTTGTATCGGGGACTGGAAAATCATAATCCTAAAAAATCAAAACAATACATTTTTTAAGCAGCAAAACTAGAGAAAAGGGTTCATTCTTTTATCAAAATCACTTATACGCAGTGTAACCATTATCTACCCAAAAAAAAAAACACATGCAATCCATCTGCTGTATGGACTATCTATTTCTTGAGGGACTGGACAATAACATAAATGATCGCCCTTCCTTCTCTAAAAAAAAAATATCAGCCCAAATTTGGTAACCATCAGCCCCAAACCCGCCTTGGCATTTATAAAATGGGTTTTTGTCAATTAAAAAAAAAAAAAAAAAAAAATTGATTTCATGTAATACTAGATACAAGAGGGAAAGAAGGGGAGTGGAGGGGGGGGGGTATAGTGTTAATTAATCGAGTGATAATGTACGACCACCATTTTCTTGAGAAGAGGCAGATGGTTCATCTAAATCTCGCAATACTAAGCATACACACATATAAAAATTAGCCACCTTTTTTTTTTCTCAGATTATTTATCCCCCCAGTCACTTACAATGGGCTTTTAAGCCTTTATCGAAATTATACCAGCAAATAGAGGCATTGACAATCGTCAGTAGCAATAAAACCAAGGTTACACATGCTAAATTCAAAATTAATTTATTTTTTTCTTTTTTGTGTGTATGTAGTATACTTACCGAAAAAAGACAGGAAATTCGACACATATAAAAACTTGTCATGCTGTGTTGAATCATACATGCGACAGATCTTGAAAATAAAATAGGCTACACCAGCAGCCAAGCCAACAAAGAACAGAAACATCAGCTGTCTGGATTCATGTCGTACGGCATACACAGCCAAAATCAAGACGATACAGGTCAATGGTAAGGCTACAATGGTTAATGGATATTCTACATCACCACGGTGTAATATCAGTACCAAATATTGAATCGAAAAACCTAAAAAGAAGAAAATATCCAGCTTGATGATGGTCAAAAAGATTTGATACCAACGATACATGCTACGAATATCTGGATCGGCCCCAATCTTTTTATAAATTCGCCACCCAAACTCCAAATACAATCGTGCACCCAAGTAGAAATAGGCCAACTGACATACCCCCATCACCACTGGATTGGCAATCATGAGTTTTTGTAATTCAAAGAAAAAGGGATCATCACCTAAAGTTGCTTGAATCGCTTTTTGAATCTGTGAGAACTGGAATACCGCGTAACTGAAACAACATAAATTAAATAGTATAAATGCAATGACTTGAATCGTATTCTTCTTGTGCACCTTTTTTAATCATAGTTAGTTTCCTCTTTCTTTTAGCTCTGTTGCTTTCACACTTACGGCATCCCATGCAAGGGCCACTTGAAAGATGAGGGAAAAAATAAAGATGATAAGATACACGGGAATTCCCTTTAATAATCCAACTCCAGTCTTAGAATCTGACAGTAAATCCATCCTGATTGTTCCAAATAAAAAAAAAATAACAAAGAAATTAATTTTTTTTTTTTTCACATGAGTCTAAACACCCCTTTTTCCATACTTTTGCTTAAATTTAGCAAATAAAACTGCTTCCAATATAATCACCACTAATGCCTCAAATATTGTTAACAGCACCACATAGAGTGAATTTCGTGTTCTCCATAAAGACTAACAAACAAGATAAGAAACACTTTTTTCCTCTCATTCATAAAAAAAAAATATATAAAAAAAAAATAAAAAAAAAAAAGGGCGTCCTTACTCTCAGTGCTGTATCTTTGGTCTCCCGTTTAAACTCGTTTCCTTTATCATTATTATCGCTTAAAAAACTCGTCGATGAATTGTTATATACTGGCATATACAAATATTAAGAAAATTAAATTATTTATTTTATTTTTTTAGGTTTATTTTTTTTTTTTTTTACTTAAAAAAAAAAAAAAGAAAAAGAAGAAGAAGAGAAAAAAAAAATTTCACATTTTCCCCCTTCCCTCTTTTTTTTTTTTTTTCTTTTCTTTCTCCCCACACACACACACACACACACACACAACCCCTCCTTTTTTTTTATTGATTATAAATAGAAAATAGAGTGTCACCAAAAAAGTAAATTTTTTTTATTAAGAATTAACCTTTTATTTAAAAAAGAAAAAAAAATCATCCTCCAATTATTTTTAACATCTCGCAGTAACGCAAACCCACATAAACACCTCTTTTCAAAAGAAAGTCGTATCCATCAAGAGAGAAAAGACAAAGACTTTTTTTTTTTTGTCTGTGACTATCTTACCCCCCTGACCTCTAACATAGAATGACTACTATACATTTTCCAATCGCAAAATACTTTTCGTTCAGTCATTTAAGCATCAAGTAAACAAAAAAGTTTGAGTGTTTCTTTATACATATAAAAAAAAGGTTATTTTTTTTTCAGGGGGGGAGGGAAGGTTTGATAGAAATCACTCTTTCCCCCGAAAGACTGCAAAAACAAAAAAAAGTTTGACGTACTTTTTTTTTTTTTTTCAAACATATTGAGTTTCCTCTCCCATCACTAAACCGTTAGAAGGGCACGCACAATAACAACAACAACAAAAAGAGGCGGGAAACTTGCATGAATAGAATCAAAATGTCTGTTATTAGATACATCTCATCGCTGAGACAAGAAAAGGGAACGGGGGGATACAGGATCTCCATCGCAACCTCTTTTACGTCTCAACATCTATTATCAATGCCATGGTTTCCCTTTTTTAACAACAAAAATATTCCTGCGGTTGTTCCCTTGAGTATGTCTCTACTCCCAAAAAAAGGTTAGTTGATTTTCTCAGCAATGATTCGTTTGGGATTTTAAAGTGCGAAAAAAAAAACTGGTAATCATTTATCGTCATATTAAAAAAAAAAGGGGGGGTGAGATAAAAAAGATAGAAAAAAATGAGAGAGAGAGAGAGAGAATTAGAGAAGCATGGGGGCATTTGTTTGTTGTTTTCTGTATGAAACAAATAACTAGAAAAAAAAAACTTATATAAACCCAACATTTCACGAAAAAAATGAAAAAAAAATAAAATCTTTTTTAATTTTTCCTGTATTATTTTTTTTTTTCAAACCTCTTTTTTTTAAAAAAAAAAAAAAAAATAATAATAATACAGAAATCTCCAGACTTTTTTTTTCTCTTTCTTTTTTTATATCTGTAATAAGAAAAAGAAAAAAGTAGTAGCTATGGCACGTGAGACTGGTGGTGCCGTTCCTCATAAAGGGTGTAACTCCTCCAGTTGTTGCTCTCCAGCAAAACTATGGCGTACTATGCAAACACTGATCAAGGAGAATGATAAACGCGGCCTCATCCATTTCTTTAAGGACGCCAGACTCGAACATATCGTTCGTGTCGCCCTCACTTCTCGAATCACCAATGACGCAAGTATGTTACCCGCTTCACAGCAACACAAAATCGTCAAATTATCCCATCCTAAATCTTCACTCTATCTTGGAAAATCCTTTTCGGACCTCAATTCGCTTCAGTTGGCTCTCATCTCTGCAGAGGAACAAACTGTCCTTCTTTTCCTATCCCTCTTGAGATCCCACGCTACCCAGGATGAACTCAAGATCTTTGTCAATCATATCTACGGTCAAGGAAATACTTCTTTGCATCTCGCCGTCTTTCTTCGTCGCTATGCCGTAGTCAAAGTTCTCATCGAATTAGGTTCCAAACTCCATCATTCTAACGCCAGGCACAAGATACCCGTGGACTGCTGTTATGATGGGGATCAACAAATGATCGCTCTGTTAAATCCTCCTCCGCCTACTTTGGCTGATCCTGCTCCTCCTGCTCCTCCTGTTCCTGCCGCTGTTAATGCTAATGCTAATGCTGATGCTGTTTCTGTAGTTTCTACTACTTGTGATGCTGATGCTGCTGCTGCTGCTGATAATGTTCTTGAAACAATAGAACAGGTGGTCATGCCCAAAGAAGGAGAGGAAAATCCCATTGTTGTTGTTATGGACACGGTGATTGCTAAGGACACGCCAGTACAGACTGTTGTCAATCCCCTTATCGAGGACATGACCCTGTGGGTGGCATCTATCATGAAACATGTAAACAAGATAGATTTCAATCTGATCATTCAACAAATAATACAAGAAAAACAATACATGGATGCACATTATGTATCTTTGCCTCAACTCAAGAAGCCTCCTGATATACCATCCTGTTTGTTACTTGCTTACTAAACATGATTACCTTTTTTTCTCTTTTTTTTACCCTTCCATTCATTTTGATTTTTATCAGATGTATCTGTTATATTATTTTTTTTTTCCCCTCCCACCCCCTTTTTTATTATTATTATCCCTGTGTGTGATTATTATGCTACCAATTATTATTTATTTATATATATACATATATACATAATTTTTTTTTTATGAATGGAACTTTGTAGACAAAAAAAAAAAAAAAAAAAAACAATCTTCCACTCTTTTTTTAACAACAAAAAAAAAAAATATCAAATCTCTGGAACTGTAGATATTATTTCATTTAAAAAAAAAAAAAAAAAAAAAAAAAAACAATATGTTCAAAAAAAAATAAAATTTTTTACCTAACCGCTTCGTCTAAAAGCACAAAATCACTTTTTTTTAATTTAAATCATGTTTATTTTTTGTTTTTTTCAAAAAAAAGGGGAGGCGTGTTTTTTAAAGAAAGAAATGAGTGTGAACTCTACTATATTCATGCACCTGCATTTCATGCAATTTATATGCATTTAATTCTTCCTTTATTTGTTGAGCCATGGTAGGAGTCAATCGTGTACACACCGCTTCGGGATCTGAAGCGCGATCATAATCCATCTTGGAAAATGTATCTCGCACCGACACTAATTTTGTAAATCGTACTACACTGTTCTTCTTTTTCGTCGTCTGTAAATGAGGATCCCCTCGCATCGAATCATTTGGGTTCACCGCTCGTAACGGTTGTCGTGGTCGACTCTCCCCTTGTGTCGTCGCGGTCTTATACAATCGATGCGACGAAATCGATTTCGTCAGTGTCAAACTCTGAGCCATCTTGACCGATTCCGTCACTGACTCCTTTGAGCTCGTCGTCGAGCATGTACTCGTCGGAAACGACGTCACCGAATTCGATTTCACCATCCTCTTATTACCGTTTGCTTGTGTAGACCAATGTCGGATAGAAGAAAATGAAGATGAACGTGGCATGCTCGTTGTCATCTTTTTCTTTTCATTTTCCTTCTTTTTCGGCTGGAATTTATTCTTGATCTTATCCGCTAATGAACTTTTAGACGCACATGGTTTAATAACATCTACTGGTACCACATGGTTGCCACTCCGTTGTGACGTCTTTTTTAATCGCTGGAAAGCATTCATCAATCGTGATGTCGACTGCGATGGTTGTGGTGTGGGTGGCGAGCGTAGATCCATTTTATTCATTTGGGAGGATGAAAAGGAATCTAAAGGACTTTTTTTCCCCGTTGCATTTTGGACTGCTCTGGATGGTTCTTTGTGGAAGGGGGAAAGGGGAGTTCGTGAAGGTGCATGCGCTCTAGTGGTTGTGGTTGCAGCTTTAGTGTTATCAGCAGCAGCAGCAGCAGCAGCAGCAGCAGCAGAAGCAGAAGCAGCAGCAGCAGTACCTGTAGACGCAGCAGTAGCAGCAGCAGATAAGAAACGACTGGTTTGAATTGAGGCGACAGAAGGTGAATACAAACTAAGATTGAGCTGTGGTGAATAGGTCTGGATGGCGGGGGGAGGAGACGATTTAAAACCAACAGGTGGCGTGTCTTCGTCATCCTCATCTTCTGTATCTTCTTCTACTGCACTACCACCTTCTAGATTGACTACCGCATTAGGCTCGTGGTGATACAACTTGCTTTCCTCTTCGTTGTTGCCTGAATACATCTTGTATTGTCCCTCTTCATTTACAAGCATGTCTTTTGATACAATAAAGGCCATATTATGTGATTATGTAGAATTGTGTGTTGTTGATTTTTTTTTTATTTTTTTAAATTATTTCTTTAGTAAAAAGAAATATATATATAAATTATTAATTTAATGATACAAAATGAGAAAAAGACTAAAGGAAAGAAAAGGAAAAAAAAAAAAAAGAAGTAGAAACAAAAAAAAACCCGTTATATTTATCTTTGAATGATAAACACAACCGATTACATAGGAGAGAGAACCTCAAAAGCAATTAATTGGGCGCTTGTACAAGTTTCCCCTTCTCATCACTAAAAGAAGGGGGATGATTTTGTGCGTGTTTTATAAATAGTGGGCAGAAGAGGAGTTAAACAACTATTTTTAATTCCTTTTTTTTTGGGGGGGGGGGGCTTATTTTATTATTCAGGGCCATTCACAAGAATCCACAATGACTTTAGCAATTGCCTCCAATCCTTCCTTATCATCGTCACAAAAACCCTCGATCTTTTCACAATCGATATCTAAAACACCCAACACACGCTATATATATATAAGAAAGAAGCGTTTCTATTATTATCCATTAACTATAAATAAAAAAAAATATAAGCACTTACACTATCCTTGATCAATGGAATCACGACTTCCGAATTTGAGGCTGAATCACAAGCAATATGACCAGGGAATTGATGTACGTCAGCAACAACTTGACTTTCTCCCGTACTAGCAGCTGCTCCACATACCCCTTTACCAAAAGGAATCACAGTACAAGCAACCTTTTCTCTTTCTCTTCTTTAGCTTCTTTTTTTTTTCTTTCTTTTTCTTTTTTTCTTTTACCTTGCCTTGGAAAGGACCTAAAATCAATTGTTGGTTGTTCTTGGGGTTAGTAATATAAAACCCACACCAATTGATGGGCTTTTCTTGGAAATGTTGCAAGGAAATTAACCCATGGTAAATAACCGTGGAGGCATTCGACAAATTCGTCACCTATTTTTAGAGAGAGATGAGTAAAACACACACACACACACACACACACAAAACGTGTTGTTTTTCTTCTTACCCAGAAAGTTTGGTCCTCACAAATACTTTGTACTTGTTCCAATAACTCTGCATAGAATTCCTTACGAGAAAGTGTAGGATCCGTGTTCACTTGAATGTCTTTCATCTTTTTTTTTAAACAGAGTAAAAAAAGAACCCGACCCCCCGCCTGTCAAAAAAGTTAGACATCAACTAAAAAAAAAAAATCTTTCCCGCTCAGTGTAACGATAAGGAGTTGTCCACACCCCTCATCCCTTTTTGGCTTAGGTAAGTTTCACCTATTACAAAAATGAAGCAGGGAGTACATCATGTCTCTAAATCATGACTATAAAAGCTAATGCGTATTACATCAACCGGGGAAGTTTTCATTAAAAATAGAAATGTTTCTACTTTAAATTCAAGCCAGGTTTCCTTTTACTTTGGACGAATCACAAGTAAAAATCGGGAAAAAACAGGTAAAGCCCGAAAAAAAAAAAAAAAAAAAAAAAGAAACTATTATTGCATAGATATATAAAGGACCTTTTTAAATAGTCCTCTTTAAGTTAACTGACAGCCTTTTCATTGTTCTTTTATATTAACATAATACATATTTGTGTACAATAGAGTAGCTTGGTTAAAGCCTAAATATATGTCTTGTTACTTCCCCTTTTAAAGTAAAGCACCCAATTCTCAGTGTTTCAACACTATCTTGTTATTCCCCTGTGTACACTGTCTTGAACTTGTTTAGAACTCCCCCCTGACAGCCGATCCCCAAGTTGTATTTATCGGTATCCGTCCTCTCTACTGAGACTGATCCTTGGTCTAAAGTGACGAATATCGGTATTTGGCTCTGTCTGCCTTTTTTATGAGTCTTTTTATAAGTTCACTTAATCTAAATGCATTCATATGAGCTTATTAAACACCTTATTAAAAAATTTCCACCAATTGAACTTTTTTTAAGTTTTATTCCTCGTTTCCAGCACATCTCTTTTTTTTTCTCTTTCTCTTTCTTTATCTCAGTTCTTCTTATTTCATCATAGCTTAGCGTAGCTCAATACTGTTCATCGACTTATAAAGCATGTAAAGAGTAAGGTATAACTAGAGATAAATCGGATCATCATCCTATAAAACAAATCACGGTAAAGTATCAGTCATAATAATACGTATAAATGCCACAATATTTTTTTTTGATGTGGTAGACGCACATAAAGAGGGTGATGGGATAAGCTATCTCAGCCTATATAATCCGTAGAAAGATTTATAGAGTATGTTCTACTAAACATTTATGTACACTCATTGACAATGAAACAACCCCATCCTAAGGTAACAGAGAATGATGCAAAGTTTCATCTACAAACTTCAAATGTTGCCTTCCAACCCAAGCTTTATCTTTTATTAAAACCCCCAAGCTACTCACTGCAGATTTACGCAAAAAAAAAAGAGTGTCATCAGAATTAAAACAACTGAGAATGATATTTGGCATCCAAACTAATAATCTGCGACTTTTTTGTATATAACTTGGTTGACAAACTGAATACAGACTTAGTCTTACATACACTTTCATTCTCTAATAATACATATTTCTAAAGGAGATGAACAATTCTACCACTTGTATCATTAAATGCTCAACAACTCGCGCTTTTACAAAAGCACAAAGAAGCAAACATCAGCTTTTTGACATATAAAAAAGTAAGCTGACCGAGGTATTTGCTGGGAGGAAAATGATGGAACAGAGATTTGGCAGGAATTCTTCATTTCAAGCAATAAATATTGGAAGGCCTTAGAAAAGGCAATCGCCATCCACTGTTTACAAGTCAAGCAAGAACAACTACAACAATAAACAGAAACTTATCCGCCCAAGTTATCGCTTAGATTTTTTTTGTTTTAAATGCAGGTAAAGATTAGCCTTGAATTGACCATCATCTTTCAGAAATTATTATAAAGCTAGTCCAAAAAAAACTAAATTCTACTTTGTCTAAAAAAGGTAAGTTACATGTAAACCCTTATGAACCCTATAGTCATTAGCAACAACACTTTTTGGAGCGATCTTACAGTCAAAAATTGGTATATAATGATATTCGTTAACAACCCTCCCCCCCAAAAATAAAAAATAAAAGCAGTAATGCATCATGCTTTCTTGAAGAAATACAATGGAGTCTGTTCACGACAGCAAGTGGATACAAGTAAAATTATGGGCGTGACTTTATGGATAATTTTTAGTGAAGAATACCACGATGTGAAATGCTAAAAAAGTATTTCTTTTGGTGGGAATTCGTCTCACACAAAAATGTCAAAGATCTCTGCGGGGTAGTAGTAAAAGAGTGTGTGTATGGGGGGAGGGTAGGGAAAAAGGGGGGGGGGGGTAAAGCACGGTACATTGTTTAAAAAAGACGGGTAAGATGTACAAAGAAAGGTTTGGGGTAAAATATATATGTATAAAAGAGATTAGAAGCCATTCAAATAGGATTTACTATCAGGAGTATTGTTGGCTATTGCAGTACTCCCAGAAGATTCGGAATAGTGTTCCTCTTGCATGAGTCGAAGGGGATCCTGCAAGCCATTTGAATAACCCAACCTACGAGGACCAAAAGTAGCATGCATAGAAGCTGTTCTTTGTGGAGGAACACTGGGGTCTCCTGCATTCATCATTAGGTTGTGCGAAAGTGGTGAAATAGACGAAGACGCTGCACACAGGTATTGGAAATTATTTTCCCCTTTCGTTGCCTGCTGCTGCTTCTCTCGATACGTGACCGTACGTCGCAAGTTCTGTAATCGAATTGTGCCTTTGGGATCAAGCCCATATTCCACTCCCGTAGAGAAATGTCGAATCGAGCTGTAATACTCTCCACTCTCTTCTTCATCCCCCTCTGGTAATTCAGACAGGTAAATCAACTCTTGCACTTCTTCCGCAGTCAAATTCACCACACAAAGAATAGGAAATAATCCTCTTAATCCTGAACCAAAGTTATCGCCTTACATTATAAAATAAAGGGTGAGTCATTCATTGCTTTTTAGTTTTTATAGCATCTACTTACCAAACGCCCAGCCGTCATCAAAATAATAGTACATGCGAATAATATCACCTTTAATCAACTCTAATTCATCCGGATTCTCTGGCGCATTCAATTGATAAATGACTCGTACAAATTGTTTATCTAATGAATTCACTTTAAAGACATGACCCTTGACAGCTTCTAAATCACAGCCAATGTTAATATCAGGCACCAGTTCCATATAATCTTCGTCTTCAATCGGATAGACATGTTTCATCATATGTTGCTCAGGCGTACTCATCATCAAGGTTGAATTTGAAGGTGGCATGCGTTCTAATTCCTTCTTGATATTGTACATGGAGCCTCCGGGATGAGTCGACTGTTTCTTTTGACTTTTGCGAATCATGCAAAACCCAATAAAGCCGCAGATACAGAGACCAGACGTCACTCCCACCACAATTCCAGCAATAGCACCGCCCGTCATAAGCATCTCCTTGTTCTTGAGACAGTTATATTCCTTGCAGCAGGACAAGGTAGAATCATAGTCGTTACAATAATGACAGAGCGTATCCAAGTCCTGTCCGAAGCCTAAACAGTAAAGAAAAAATAGATAAGAAACAAAGAAAAAGGATACTCTCTCAAGATTATTATTATTTTTACCGCACATGTCCAACTCATTATCTGCACCGGATATACAGCCAGTGGAGGGAATGCCCTTCAAGGCGTCATTGGTGCTACACTGCTGTGATAAACTATTGACACCAGCCGTGATTAAATTTCCGCCGCTTAAATTACAAATGGCATCTGATTTAGCGGAGGAGACGATGGATTGAATGGATTTCGAGTAGGATTCGCAGGTGGACTGACAGAGCGGAATGACCGTGTTATTTTCTGGATTACACAGACTGGTTGATTTCGGGCTAAAAATGATGGTTGCACAAGTGAGGCTGACTGCATAACGAGCCCGATTATGGATGCTCGAAGACGATTTACAGCCTAGTTCCATGTTCCAGAAGCTGCTCGAGTTGACATAGTTTAATAATTGATGGTCGAAATCATTGACGGTAGACACATTCACTAGCCATGGTAACGATACGAATTTGGCATCTCGTATACTCACATGCGCTGAACTGAACATGCCGCACGTACTAGACCCATTTAGACTGAGACATTGTTGGCAATGAATAGCAAGTATATGAAAGTAACAAAAAAGGAATATATAATATGCTTTCATCACAACGTAAACAACAACAACAACAAAAAAAAAGGATAAAAAAAAAAAAGAAAAAAAAGAAGAAAGGGAAAGGGGGTTACTATGACTTATTGTCGTCTTTTTTTTTTTTTTTGTTTAAAGGAGTAAATAAAAGGGATTGACTTACTGCTTCTTTCATACAATTAAATGGGCTGAGGGGACTTACAGCTAAGATTTATAGGGGCCTCCTCTTGCCTTCTTTTTTCCTGCAAGCTGCAATTTCAAGTTTTTTTTTTTTTTTTTTTTTTTTTTTTAAATCACTTTTGGCTTGGTGTGTACGTGACTGGTGCCCATGACGGAGGCTTAGGCTTAGTAAAAAAAAAAAAAAAAAGAATCACACAAAAAACAAAAACAAACAGGGTATTTTTTTTAACGCAGGTACAAAAAGCTCAAAGATTCTGATTACCATATCGAAACACTAAAATAAAAAATTATACTGTATAAAAAATCTACCGTGTTTTTTTTATTTTCAAAAAAAAAACATGGAATTTCAAATCACCAAAAACTTTTTTTTTTTTAGTTAAAAAAAAAAATTTATTGTTGGTAAGAGAAGACGTTCTTCAAGTCTACACATATAAAAAAAAAAATCCATCAGTTTCCCTTTCCTTATATCCATTGTTTCTGCTTCTCCCCCTTTCCCCAAATAATAATAATAAAAAAAATACTTACAACCATCTTGTTGAGAGAGACGGTTAAGAGCATCATCGACCTCAGCTTCCTTACGGATGAAACCACAGAAAGCATAAGTGGCGAAAGAGTTGGTAGCACGACCCTCAGCATCAACATCAGCAATGTTGATTTGGACGGAAGCGTGGTCCTTGGCAGTGATGAGACGGTTGGTGGCGGAACTATTTTTTATTCAAACAAAAAAAACTTATTTTTTAATTCTCTCATTCTCTTCTGATTCCCGCAAACGTTTCGTTATTATAAAAGGTCTCTGTCGCTTACCACTTGCGAGGAATGTAAAGATCGATGACTTGGCCTTCAGAGTTCTCCATTGTGATGTATAGTGGGAAAGAGAAGGATTCAATACGATGCCCTCGCCTGCAAATTTTTTATTCGTTCTAAGCCACGCATCGTTCAACCTCCGCCTCTCCCTCTCTCTCTCTCTCTCTCTCTTTTCTCTCTCTTCGTGGTCCGGAGTGACTGGTCTTTTTTCTTGTTTTTTCATCCCCAACCCAGAAATTTGGCTTGTGTCACATATCTCGGGGGATAGTCACTCGCCCTAAATTTAGTTACCGTGATTCTTACAGGAGTTTTCAACATCGCCCAGACTACACTGGATAAGTTGAACAAATGTTTATTTAAAAAAGTTTTGGGGTCAATGCTCAACTTACAGTACTTCCAAAAGGAGGATAATAACATATAATAATTTCAAATGATGGTATATTCTAATTGATAATTGTTCAGATGAACTATATGACTTTGGGTAGATATACGGAGATATGGGATTAAGGTACCAGCAACATATAAAACAGTAGATGTATCGGTACTCAGTTAAATGGGATAAATAATATCTCTCACATAAGGGCCGGATATTCTTTATCATCTACTGAAATAACTAACTGTTCAATTAACTCGTAAAAAGCAACAATAACGATGGATCATTTTACTATTACTCAATTTTATTTTTAGTATCTACATCTTGGCATCCATTGTGTAGATTTACACTCTTACATAAAGATGTAGAAAAATGACAGTAAGATAATGTGAAAACATTACAGCAAATCCCTATCCATGCTGTACGTCCCCCAGAATAAACTAAAACAAAAAAAAGGCTGTAGACTCAACAAAGAAAAATGATGAAAGATAGCGTCTGATTATCCATTACATATTGAATGCCTTTATGCCATGCCACCATTTAAAACTCGGAGATATTTGGGTAGCCATGTATATAAATGGAATTCTGACATCCACCCGTTTCTTCCATAGTCACGCGCACGAGCAAACCCGCACCCGAAAAAAAAAGTGCCACAAGGTAAAAAACGGGTCCTACATGACTCAATCAAGCTATCTGACTCTATGAATCATATTCTCTAACGTAATAACCCACTTGAGTAAATACTTATATATGGCTGCTCCCCTCCCCATTTTTTTTTTTTTTTTTTTTTTTTGTGTTCTTTTCATTATCATTTTATAAAATGTCTTTTTCTACAAACCAACTTGTGTCGGTGTATAACCACCATGTACTTCCAAAGCTTACCTTTAAAAACAAAGCGATAGCAATCACAGCAGCTATTACCATGTCTATGACCTATCTCATCCTAAAGACATTAAGACCGCCCAAACATCTTCGACATATTCCTCATATTAGCCCCCTTAGTCTCATTCGGTCTCTTTTTATTGGAGAGCCCTATTGGAATCGTGCTTATCGGGTCTATCTTCCAATCATTGATGATCCTCAAAACCACAACGGACTCTACTTGGTAAGAAACCCCACCTTTTTTTTGTGATTGTTCTACGACCACTGTTTAACCAGAAAAAAAAATGTTTAGGAATATGGCAGAGCGGGGTGGGAAATCTTTATTTGCAATCCTCAGGTTGCCAAAGAAATGCTAATGAAACAAGGTAAAATTTATAAAAAAAAAAAAACCTTCACCGGTATGGCTCTACCAAGAACTAATTCGAGGGAAAAAAAAAATCAGAAACTTTTCCTAAATTAACAGGGACGGACATCTACTCGGATACACTTTTTGATAAATTTATCGGAGGCCCCAATATAGGCCTACTGGACGGTGAAGCCTGGAAAACACAACGAAAAATGGCTAATCCAGCCTTTCATCGTGCGATGCCTGTTCGATTATTTGGTGAGTTGGCTATAGACATGTTTCAGGTGATGGAGACCATGGGTGATACTATCAATGTTTCAAACATGATGGAAGGTTGGACCTTGCAAGTCATTGGCAAAGCTGGATTCGGTAATTTAGATAAGAGTTGTTTATAAGCTTTCCCCTGTACTAAAAAAAAAAAACTTGCTTATAGGCTTCGATTTCAACGCAATCAAGGATCCAAATAGTCCTTGGGTGCGCACCTATAATATTTGCAACAAGGGAATCCGGAATACCTTCTTCTTTGTCTTCCCCGCCTTTGATAAAAAGTACCTCTGGATGTTCCCCAAACGTGTCTACATTCATCAAGAAATGGATCGCTTTCGGCATATGCTACAAGATGTCATTGATCATAAACGTCTTGTCTTGAAAGATAAAAACTACCAAAATGACGCCTTGGAAGAAAATGAACGAGATCTGCTTACCTTATTGATCGAAAGTGAAATTAGAGGTGAAGGTGTTATGACAGACGAAGAGTTAATGGTATGAATGAAAAAAAGGTCTACTACGCAAATTTCTTATTAATTGTTCCTCTCCCGTCCTTAAAAAAAGAGCAACCTACGGTTCTTCTTTGTAGCAGGTTTATACATAGTCCTACTTCCTTCCCAAACTAGAAAAATCTGACACTCGTTTTTTAAACATTTAGGCCACGATACAACATCGAGTACACTCTCCTTCGCCATTCATTATTTAGCAAAACATCCTGTAAGCCGTGAAAGAATTATCGCCAAAAGTTAATCGCAATTAAATTAACCCTCTTTTTTTTTATTTCTTATCAGGAAATCCAACAAAAGGCAAGGGAAGAAGCCATCAGAATTTTAGGAGACGAGCCAGTGGACATCTTGCCTATAATCGAAGAAACAAAACAAATGACCTATATCAGCCAAATTATGTTGGAGGTAAAATTGAGAAACATGTATTGCCAATAATAAGCATCTGTTTAAAACCTTTTAACATTTTTAGACGCTACGTATCAATGGGCCTCTTCTTACTCTAGTCCCTCGCTGTGCTAGCAAAGATGTAGAGCTATTCGGCACATTTATTCCTAAAGGCACACCCATCAATGCCAACATATTTAATATTCATCACAGCGAGAAGCTTTGGAAAGACAGCCATGTATTTAACCCAGATAGATTTGAAAATGAAGAAAGTAAAACCTTGATGATGGCATTTGGCTACGGCGGAAGACAATGTATTGGCATGACCTTTAGTTTGATAGAGCAGCGTGTGATGCTGTCTATGCTTTGTAAGATTTTATTGATTTACATGAGGGGCGTTTTTATAATACTCACCATTTCTTTCTTGTGTAGTGCGGAAATTTACTTGGTCAACACCCGAGAATTCAATTCATAAAGATGGTGTCATCACATATGGTTATTTAACTCTGAGCCCTCAGGACTTGGATATCACTTTTAAAAAGCGTTATTAAAAAAAAATATTTATTTTCTTTTTCTGCGTTCCTAATAAACATTTTCTTACCGGGCTGTACGCATAATGTGCAATGTTTATTTTTTTTTAGTACACAAACTCACAAAAAAAAAAAAGCTGTAAATCTTAATTTTAATTTCTGTATTTCCTTCACGATCACCAGTGACTCCGGGAAAACACAGATCTTTGTAACCAGTCATGCGTGAGAAACGTGCGATTTTGACTCAGATATTATTTTACGGTTCTAGTGATGCTTCTCATGACACACGGTTTTTTCGTTATTGCTATTTAAGTCAATTATATTCGGTTATAATTTATCCTCGACCAGAAGTCTTTGTTCTTTTCTTGAGACACAAACATTGAATTAGTGAATGTGGTTCACAATACATTGGTTTCACAAAAACAAAGTAATAAAGCGTTTTTGTAAATCTTTATCGCGATGTATACTACAATAGGTTTCTTGAAGCAATAATGTCATAGAGAATATCTTTATCGTGCTAACAATTAGCATGTAGATCCATAATTTTGATGTTTTTTGTTTGCAAGTAAATTTCTGTTAACGGGTTTATCTTGTATGTACTAAATTTAGCAACATGATTTACTATCCTAAAATGTAGTTGAAATCTATCGCGAAGTTGGGCAAGAGCATGCTGTCCATTCAAAAAACAAGGCAATTTCTAATCCTTGGACATCATTTCTGTTCATAGTAAGATAAATAATCGCTGTGTTTCCTGAGTGAGCTATGAAAGTAGTTTTTGTGATGGCCTTGAATTCAGCAAACTTTTCATTATTGACGCCACCCAGTATATCATTGTATCCCTGTGGTAATTTAAAAGAGTCTGCCATTTCAAAGCCAACAGTGATCCTGATGAATTAGATGAATAATATAACCACAAAAATCAGTTAAAAGGTTGCCGTTATGTCTGTTTTTGATATACATAAAGGTAAGATGAAGCAATGGAATACTCAGCTAAAGCTTCTCCAGAATGCGTCTTGTGCTTTTTTTAAAGCTGGAACTCGAAGGCATACCCTATCGTTTTTAATAATAATCGTACAGTGTGAATACTTGACCTTCTTTGTTCCATTTTCTCATATTTAGTTATTTATAGAAGATATATCAACGTTTTACAGGTTTTAGTAAATCATATCTTACCGTACTTGCTATGTGTTAATCTTGTAAAAAAGGGCTATTACTGGTTCCAGGGATATATCCTGTTACGAGATGTATTGACAGGATGAACATAATGATATAATATCACCCTTTGTGCTTGATGAAAAAAATTACCTACTAATTTTCTCTCTCTCTCTCTCTCTCAATCACTTTTGATCTTTTACGATCCTTTAAAATAGATGAAGACCGTCACTGTCGCATCAAATTTTACTTTTGATTTCTTATATGATGTGTGTATGATGCAATTGATCTTGATACAAACTTGTTACTGTGAATAAGTGATGAGCTTTTATACGGTCGTTTATATAAAGCCCAGTAACCTTATCTTTGCACGAGTCTTTTACTAGTTAAATCATGATTAAAACAGGAGATTACAGCAGTTTAATAATTGATGATTATTCTATTTTATGTAGCACATTCTTCTTTCGTCCTTCTATCTTCTAAAAAAAAATCGTTATGATAAAAGAAAATGACTTTGACGAGCCTACTCCAGGCACAGTTGTTTCTTCCCGTCGTAGATTCAATTATGAGCAGACACAGAAATTGTTGGATGAATTCCATTGCAATCGCAACCCTAGTAAAGTAGAGATGGAGTCGATTGCATTCGGTGTTCTACAACGCAAGAATGATTCGGACGTGAGACGAGTCAATCAGTGGTATCAAAATAGAAGGGCACGAGAAAACAAAAAGCGATGGCTTAGGATAAAAAATTTGGTGACAGAAGAAGACTGCAGTGATACAAGTCTATCTTGTCATTTTAGTCCAACACTGAATGCAGAACAAAGTGTTAGCAGCTCGCAATCCTCAACACCGCAACTTTTGACAAAACAAGATATTACCACCGCTCTGAAAACAGTAACTGAAGCATTTAGTATGGTATACGATGACACTACCACGGATATATTGAAAGAGTTCCAGCAGGAGTTTTTATACTCACTGCCGTATTAGCGAAAATCCTTAGACACACATGAACAATAAATTAATAAAAAAAAAAATACCCCCTTTTTTCTACATTCTACATTGTTATTTATTGTCATTAAAAGCGATCATAGATGATTTCAATAAGCCTTCATGCTTGAATCCGACCTTTTCATACATACGATGTGCATGATACAAATCATCGTACGTTTCCAGGTAAAACTTTTGGCCCGCTTTACAAGTACGTTGAAGCGCATAACTTAAGCACACTGAAGCCATCCCCTTACGTTGATAATCGGGGGATGTGTGGCAACAGAATTAACGTGTCCTAAATGTGGTAATCCAAGGGGCATATGAAGAATGACCACTGAAGCAATGACGCCTTGATCCTCTGTAACAAAGAGCTGGAAGGTATCAGACATCAATAATTGAGTTTTTAGTTTATATTTGAGCCAATTCGAATCGTCATATCCAAACGATGCTGAAAATACTCTTAGTCATGCGATCTAAATCATTTATCGTTGCTTTTCGGCAGCATCCATCATGGTTGTTTAAGTCTGTATCAATACCAATATTTTTGTATCCCAGACTCAGGAACTCGGTACAAATTCGTTCTAAAAAAGGTGTAGAAAGTTCATCAACATGATACCTGGGTTAACATGACACCGTCTTGAAAGCAGCAGCGGTCTCATCTATGAACGACCCGAGATCCTTTTCGTCTGAAAGCCTGATGCGGAAGCAAAGATTCGACTGCTGATGAACTGGGTTTTGAGGATTCAATGCAATGGCACAATCATCGCGAAATAAAACACTGCTTCCTAGACTAAAGTAAAGGCAGTAATTGAGATCTAGAATGTATTTTTTTGTAATTGGACATTGAAAGCAAAAAAAGGAGTGTCATGTCAAAGTTAAAAATAGCGGCTTCAGCTGTCCTACTTTTACACAAAATTATTACGTAATAAAGAAATTCTAAAGAATTACACAGGCCCAAGGTTGGTAGTGAGGAGTTCAAGTCTGATGTAGCGATTTAATATGCTATGAAACTCTATTGCTTTATTTAAAAAGAATATGACTCATTCTAGTCTTAAGATATCGTTATTGTTTACGGCTGAGTAATTGTTGTAATGAAAAAGAAGGAACCAAATTTGCAGAAGTTGGCCAGAGGAAGGCCTTCATGCGAAGATATATGTAACATGCATTCAACCTGAACTTCTTCCAACTTGCTGTATTGTTCAGTTGGTTGGCAGCCGACCATTGCCAAGTTCATGTTGGGCGGTTGAAGCTTGTAACGCTGAATGCAGACAACTCCATTGCTTTCCACCACCTTTCCAACAAATAACCGTTTAACATCATGAGCGTAGGAAAACGCAAGTGTGGCGGTTAAAAAAGATGTGAAGGATATTTCCTTATCAGCCAAGTTTCGTGCCGTACATAGTGATTAACATTTGACTGTGGTATTGCAATAAGAGTAAGCATTAGTAGCCTTTTCGCATTGAAATTATGAATTAAATGTGCTACTTGAAAGAGCATCGTAAGGTTTATATAGTGTTAACTCTTTACGTAATAAGTTAAATATATCATAAAAGTAATTAGGTACATTGTCAGAGTCATTTAAAAACATCCGTTTATCCCAAACAAATACAAAAGCAGTTTTTTGATATACAGTCGTTCCAACGCCAAAGGGCGGTTTTTCACAACTCAAAAGGTGGCTTTTTTTAAATCAAAGTTCGTATTATTATTAAGAAAGCTTAGAGCTATTTTTCAATAGACAACCCTTACAAAGCTTCACTACGTAAGCAAATATCAAAACAATTAATGGAGTGCTGGGCAAACGCTTGCAGCTGCTTCGGAGGGACATTATTACAAGCTTCAGCAATGCGAGTAGCTAGGTCTTCAACATCTACAAACGAACTTCGTTTGACCTTACTCGTGACAATAGTCTAGACCAAAAATTCTCTATCGGATTAAGCTCAGGGGTGTATGGAGGAAGATAGATACTCCTGTATCCTCTTGCAGTTATCATCTCATCAATTTGGTCAGCGGTATGAATAGGCGCATTGTCCATTACGATATAATGGCCTTTTAGTTCTGGATACTGATCCATCTCATCCATGCTCTTCTTGAGAAACTTCATATAGTGACCAGTGACTTTTTCTTTTCAGTGGGTGGTGCTTTTCTTTTACGACCACTGTGATCGATTTTAATTCTTTTTGAGGATTTTGAAGTTCCATGGAGACAACAAACTTTGTTAATATGGCATCTAATTCAGTATGAGATACGGCTCTGGTGGTTGGAGTAATTGTAACAGCGGAAGTTCCTTTCACAGACCATCCACTGGGAGGCCTCATGTTAATATCAAACGCAGACTCATCCACAAACACACAACTCTCTAGATAATCATGTCCGTAGCACACCACTTGGTTACCTTATCCTTGCGAGCTTGGATCTTAATTGGACTATTTCTAGCAATCGGCATTTGCGTTATCGTTTTAAACGAAAGATTGCACTCATTTTTCAGGAAGCTGTAAACAGTGCTTTTCTTCACAGTCAGGTCAAAGAATTTTTGAGTAAGGGAGTCCATTGCATCGAGCACTCGTGCTTGTGGTCAATTGTCGCAAAACTCTAGAAGATGAACTTTATGTCTATCATTCAATTGTGGTTTTGACCTGTTGACCAAATTAGTTTGCTTTTTAAAAATATTCCAATCTTTGTCCTCTTTTAATCTCTTGGCCCATTTTTGCGCTGTTCGCTCGCATGTACCGCCTTCTAAGCGTCCGGAATTTAGCTGATCTCAGCAGTTTGGTTCGGTTGTAATACACAAACAATAGCTTTTGTTCGTTAGAGTACTTATTGTATACCTTTATCTGTTTTTTTTTATTACGTCTATAACGTCCTCCATATCAACATCGAGGTTTACGAATCGTCCTCAAAAATCGGCCCTCATTCCTCCTTCCTCCTGCTTCCTGCAATAATCCATTATACGAGTCAAAGTTCTCAACTGAAAAGGTGTAACTTCGTCATCCCAGTCCATAGCATTATTTCCTTGCTCATCGATTATTTTACCTTGACCATCTTCATAAAAAAAAAGAGTAGTCATTTTATTTTTCGTATGAAATAACGAACTTACATATAAAAAAAAAGCCGCCATCTGAGTTATGAAAAACGGAAATGTCTAGAACTCCGTATTTTTTTTAAACGTATTTTTTTCAAATAAACGTATTTTTTAGAATCACGCGATGGTCTACACGTCGATTGACATGCCATATCATCTAAACTTCATGGGATGATCGATTTCTGTTTTCCATAAAATCTGCTTCACTGTCATTACAAGCTACTACTGGAGCACAGATAGACAACTACCAAGTTCTGATTTGCTTGGGAGGTTTTTGCCAATGTTTCTAATTTAAGTAAAGGCCCAAACATTATGAAAGATGAAACAAGTAATTAAATCATCCTGACATAAGCTTGTTTATCAGCCTACAAATAAAGCTGGTTCACGCACTTTATTCTTCTCCTTTTTCTTTTCCCTTAACATACTTCTTTATCGTATAAAAATGACCGATCTCGTAAAAAGGTTAGTTTAGTAGTGACTCTTGTTTCTTTGAAAAGAAGCTAAAATGAAAAAAAGACATATTGTGACATTGCGGCTGCGGCTAGTCTTTGCTATAGGAGGGGTGACCTCCTATAGGAGGGTTCTTGAGTTTTCGGAAACTCAGAGGCTGTGAATGGCTGTGATTGCACTGTTAATAGTTTTATTTATACTGGCCTTCTGGTCTTGGCCAGACTTGCTGTAAGTGGTATAAAAAAAAATACGTTTGAAAAAAATACGGAGGTCTAAACATTTCCATGAAAAAGCGCCCTTTGGCATTAGAACGACTGTACTCGAAATATCATCTTTCTTCTTTTTTTTTCGTTGTAATGCCGTGCCCTAAAGATTATCTATCAAAGAAAGCAACAATTGATCCCGTGGTTCAGGATTATGGTTTTTTTAATAGTAAACCTGTAAATGAATGGACATTTGAAGAATATATTACAGGAACAAATCCGGAAAATCTAGAAGAAGTATACTTACTTCTCAGACAATTCAAACAAAGTTTACAATCATTAAGACGAATGAGAAGTCTGGATAGAAATTTAAAATCATATATAGGCAACCTTAAGAAAAGAGACGTATGATAAAATGTTATGTATATATTTATTTCTTTTTATTTAACGTCTTCTATTATTTAAGTATACAAAAGCTGAATTGCAAGGTTTTTTACCACAGAAGAATAATAAGACAAATAGTAGTGTTACTATAAATATGAACAAATCCACGATACTAAGTGCGAATGGCAACTCAAAAGTTGTAATAAATCAGGCCAATAGTGTATGTATCTTAACACTCAGAAAAGTATGATTTAAACACTTACAAATATATACATATGTAATATCTACTGTAGAAGAAGAGAAACAGAAAGGAGAGGGATGAAGGTATGTTAATAAATATGTTATCATGTAAATAGTTTCTTAACCATTTTCATATTTTCGTATCAAATTTAGATGGAGGCGACCCTACAACTAATGTGTTCTGTGAGATCGATACGAATTATACGGCAAAGTTTATGATTAACAACGTAGATATTCTACCATCATGGAACCAATACAAGATCCACTGTCAGAATAATTTGTCGCGTGGAGCATCCACAGTCGAGACTGATATAGCAAAACTCTTGTAAATATTTCTTTTGCTATTTTTATTATCCTGATCATTAGATTAATTTTCTTTTAGGTCGCAAGCCCATATCATGTTATTGAAAAGAGATGCAGTAGACTCTGATTTACAAGAAATGCTTGGTAGTGGAGTTGTTCAGGAGATAAGCAACAAAGTAAAGGAATGTTTTGGAATAGAGGATGAGGAGTTGTTTCAAGAAACAGAGAGAGGTTTAAGGGATGCTATCAAAGTAAGCCATTCTCTTTTCTTTTTTATATAAGATTACTAAACAGTACTTTTATAGGATGCCATTGATAAAAAAATCAACTCGAGAGAAGCCTCATCAAAGATAATGTCTTTTTGCTCCGAGAAAATGAATACTCCCCTTGATGATGTTCTTCATATAATCAGAAATTTGTTAGTATATACTTTTATTTTGATTGTTCATTTTTAACTTATTTTATATGGTATTATATAGCATTGAACGCATTCCACAAAAAAAGTATAATCAGCAGATCCAAGAAAGCGATCTTTCATACACATATGTTGATGCTCTGATTCGGTCCTTAATTGAATGCCCTGATGATAATATTTTTTTAATCTGGTAAGTCAGCGTCTGTCAGCTCATTTTAGGTATTACATATTTAATATCAATTGTATTATATTATAGGTCAAACTTGAAAGTACAAGATGATTGTGCAGAAAGACCAGATATCTCTGGGGTGGCTTTAGTAGATACGCAATTTAAAAACATCATTTGTGTGGGTGAGGTGAAAGGAGAAGACAAGATCAGTGACAATCATGCCACATTGTGCGACTTGATCAAGATAGGGTGCTTCAGCAAGGAGGCTATCGATACATATTCCAATTATGGGATTCTTGGAATCCATGTTGTTGGTAAATACTTGGTTTAAGATAAAATAAATGGATTGGTTGATTAACTTATATTAAACAGGTTTTCAGGTTACCATTTATGTAACAATCTTACTTACTGAAGGCCTTTATGTGATGCAAGAAATCTGTTCAATAAGGTTACCAACATCTATATATGATATGAAGTCGTTTATTGCCAACATTGATGATCTGCTACCAATTAAAACCGTGTACAAAAAATGCATGAAAAATCATGAAAAAGTACTCCGATACAAAAAAAAAGGTGCTGCATATAAAGAAATGCTTCAGTATTAAAGTAGGAAAAAACCGAAAACGTCCTTGTCCCCTGGTGTTAAATCATTAATATTACACAGCCGCGCACGGTTTTGTGAAAAGACACACTCAGCTGATATTTTACACTGTAAGATCCGGTGATCTAACGTGATTCCGTTTCATCGTACTGACTATCAGCCTCAACTCCTCTAATTCTAAACCCATATAAATAACCCCCTTTTTTCTCTATTTAATAAAAACTTCAGCAATCTTTTTAGCTCAACTAAAAACAACCAACAAAATCTAAAAACCAAAACCCTCAACCCCAACTTCTTAAAACTTTTATTTTATTTTATTTTATTTTATTTTTCTTTTATTTTTCTTCACTACTTTATACGAGATCATCCTTTTCCTTTGGAAACGGAATAATTCATATAAAACTCACTTCTTTGTCACGGAATCATCTTACAGCTGTCAAGCCATAAGAATACCTCCTTTCAAACCCCATTGTCTATTTATTAAGATCATCTTTAAGCTTACAGCCTAAAGAATAGTTTAATTTATAACCTAACTCTTAAAGATATCATCCCCATAACGGAATACCATCTTTAAGTGACTCTGTCAAATATAATATTGTTATCATCCTTTCTTTTTGAACGGAATATCGACTTATTATCTATCCAACTTCGTATATAAGATCATCCTTTTGAATTCATTCAATCCATAAGGAATAGTTTATTTACTCTGTTAATTTTACACATTCGATATCATCTAATGACTCTGTCCTTAAGAATACCATCGTCTTGTCTTTAATTACACTCAATAATCACATACTCTTCATCATCTTGTACGATAAGTACCAAGAATATCGAAAGTATATAAGTTAAATCTACTCCATTTATCTTCCATTCTGCTCTTATACTAAGATCAGAACCCCATATCGCTTAGTTAAAAGCCTTATTTTATTACACACTCGGATCGCAACCTACTACGTGGTGCTCACTTAAACTACTTATTAAATCGCCGTCTATAAACCCCATTACTCTACAACACATACAAATGTAAAATTACTCAATTGACTGTAAAAACACAGAATCAAAAAAAAAAAAAAAAAAAAAAAAATTAAATCCTTTTTTTTTCCTTAATTTGAATACAAGAATAAATTCGGTTACAAATATAGTAATTTTGGGAACTGAACTAGTTTATTTAATTAAATACTTATTTTCTTTATTAGTAACATGTAAACCGTAACACAAATAGGCGAGAGTGTTGGTAATCCTGTCATAAGTAGTAATAACTTATAAAGTGCTGGTACTCAGCACTTTAAATATCTTAGAGGTTCATTAAGATAAGCTGCTTTTAATTCAAACGTCGGAAACATTTTTCTTTTAGGCACCATCCATTTTTGAAGTATCCAAATTGTTGGTTGGAAGGATAGTACCATACGTGACATAAGATTCGTCACATAAGGAGGTCTATAAAAAAAAAACAATATCATCAGAATAAACTTTCTGACATAATCTGTATGACACTTACCTCATTGGGTAAAGAGGATGATTTTGAATTTGTTTTAGTGAGCGTCCGTGTGGCAAAAGATCCCAAGAAAAATATAGGTATTGTGATACCATGGATGACCACAGAAGATAATATAATGAAATAAATAATCGGTTCAATAACGAGTCTGGCATACGCATTTTCTCCGTCTGTTTCAAAAAACTGGATAGCAATTGTGTAATAAAATAATGCGCCTACACCCATGGGACCAAACCACCCCATAAATATGGCCTGTCGCCAGTTTGAAATCGCGGGTATATATTTGTACAATCCTAGGATGATGGGTAACCTTCTAAATAATAATACAGCGGCTGCGAGTCCCAGTAATTTCCAAATAGTCAAATTTGTCTCGAGACTATTGAATGCAGACCAAGGCTACAATAGAAAAAAAAATTAATAATTGCGTTGTAAGAGAGGACTTTGGGTATCTACCATGGTTAGACCAATATAGACAAATATACTAAGATTTAAAAGCATGTCGATCACTTCTGTCAAGTGTGCATTTTCTGTTTCAGTTCTAAACCAATCATCCCATGTAAATGAGTTTCCTGCAATAAAGCAAGCCAAAAGATCATCACTTCCTAACAGCCCGACAGAACCCATCAAAAATAACTACAAAATTATTATAAGTGTGATTATTCATGTTCATGGGATTGCATGATAACTTACAGATAAGGCAATTGCATAAACCAAAAACGATTCCTTATCAATCCAGTTTCTATAAATGATTTGTGAGCCCAAAAAAGACTTGCACAGGTTTACTGAAGGTCAATCCTTACCTTTCTTCGGAAAACCGCAAGGTTTTTCTGGCGACATATCCCACGGCAAATCCAATAACAATGGAGAAACCAATTTCGTATCCCATAATATACCAGGACCATTTAAGAACTGCGTCGCCAGCTGTAGCCATCTGAATAAGATAAATGGCCAAAAATAAGAACGGATATCCCAGGCCGTCATTAGCACCGCTAATATTCAAACAGTTATTAATAAAATATATTTATGTATTGCTGCGAAAAAAAAAAGAGCTTACCTCTCTGCAACGATTAAATGGCGAATATTAGGCGGCACATGCTGCTCTGCAAAATAGCCTTGAACAATAGAGTTCGCCAAAACCTAAACAAAAAAAAGTTTAATAACATGTAATGATATAAATGTGACTGAAAGACTAACAGGGTCCGTAGGCGTAAAGCAAGACGCAATCATGAGTGCCTCCAGCTAAAATAGCGCAAAAAAAACAAAATAAGGTTTAAAACAAGGGAAAAAAATAAAACTTTGAATTGATCCAATTACCGCCACTTACAAAACTTAAACCGGGAATGAAATACCAAACGCAAAGGCCACTCACAACCCACATAAAGACCATAACAGGTCCCAATAAAATCAGCAACGACTTGTATTCCTTTCGTAAGTAAGCCTTGGGTAAAGAAACACCAGCAGCCATGACTTGGATGGCTATTACAATTCGTGTAAATTGTCGTGACACATCCTCTTTATAAACCCAGTCATCAATGTTGATAAGGTTGAATCCTACCGGTCCACATAAAATGCCGCATAAAATAGCAACAGCTTAAAAAAGAAAAAATGAGCTATTTAAATCACTTTGTTAAAGAAAGACATTCATTACATGCTTCTGATATATAAAGCTTCTCTTTAATTACAAGAGAGCACACTCCATATAATAAAATAAAGCCTCCTAATACAGCTGCTACAGTCGAAACTGTTGTGTCAATATCCATCCTCTTTATAAAATTGAAATTGTTATTTAGACAAAACTATCACAATTTAATAAGAAAAGAGAGGAAAAGGTGTATTATATACTAAAGATCGGTAGTCATTTGATTGTTGACTATCAGCATACCAATCAATGTAATTGACAAACGTTCCCTAATTCCCCTGCATAAGGAAGAAGATGAGAGTGCGCCATTTGTGCGAGACGTCGAGAATATGAGAGACCTTGTGTCTTTTTATTTCTAGGAATAGATCATGCGCTATTTTCTGTATTAAAAATTATGAAAATGACGTTTATTATTACATTGATTATATGTTTATGCGGGTCTCGTTTCACTAGTTGCGCCTGTAATAGGGTTATAATAATATATATCTCCCTCATCCGACATCTTCACTTTCCATGGTGGTAACAGTCTTGCCACCTTCCTCCTGGTACCACCCAAACTATCGCTAGCAGAATCTTTTTCTACAGATTGCACTGAAGCTGACGCTATTGGCACTTTGCCGCTGCCGCTGTTGATTTCGTTATTTTTAAGTGATGGTTCATTTCCATATCCCTTATTTCTACTGTCAGTATGATTCTGTAAGTAACTAAACATACTTACCACTGGTTTAGGTGTATACAATACGACTGGCAGAATTTCATCTGCGACTGCTGGATTGGTGGTTTTTGTAAGTACGGGTTTAGACGACTCTGTCGCTATTGGCGTAGGCAACTCTACAGCTTCTGGTGTATTTTCTCTCATAGCTGACATGTCTTTACCGATGACATTATCATCCCTGTCTGTTTCAATTAGAGTGTTATCAGTCATACCTGTTTGTCCACCTTCTTTAGCTTCGAAATGAATTGTGTCCTGACCGGCTGGCAATGTCTTATTCATATGTCCAAAGTTTTCCATAACCTTTATCGGTAAAGCGTCCATCGATTTAATAATAGATATGTAATTAGGAGTGAAGCGGTCGTAGGCTGAGTGGCGCATGGCTGATGATGAACGATTGGATTCTGGTTGAGGCGTTGGCATGACGGGCTCTGTGTTAGATGCAGGCATCCTGGGTGGTGGCATACTGGATTCTGCTTGGGGCGCTGGAATACTGGGTTTTTGGTTGGATACTGGCGTCGTAGGTGGCGAATCTGATACTAGAATAACTATAAAGCATATGTATAAATATGTTTCAGTAAAGGGTTAATCGCTTCAGATATCAACATGTTAACAAAAAAAAACAGAAAAAAACAAAACAAAAAAAGGGTTAATCCTACTACTGGCTTCACCAATATGTTTCTTAGTAGTATGTTTGGTTGCACTTCTCTGTTGGTCTTGTTTTTCCGATAACTTGGGTTTACGTTCTTGCTTCGATCGGCTACGACTGCGTCTTGGAGGTGAACGACTAAGACGTCTTGGTGAAGATAAACGATTACTACGTCTTGGTGAAGGTAAATGATCACGGCGTAGGGGAGAACGCGAACGATCACGGCGTAGGGGAGAACGCGAACGACCACGGCGTAGGGGAGAACGCGAACGACCACGGCGTAGGGGAGAGCGTGAACGACCACGGCGTGGGGGAGAGCGTGAACGACCACGGCGTAGGGGAGAGCGTGAACGACCACGGTAAGTTGGAGAAGTTGAGCAACCATGGTGTGTGGGAGATGGTAAACGGTGTGTATAAAAAGGTGATGGTAATCGTGGTCGTGTATATCCAGATGGAGGGGAGTCACTGGACCTTGGCCTACGGTATGGTATAGATGGTGATCGGCTTCTATACCGGGATGGAGGAGATCGATCATACCGATAATAAAACGCTGCGTCGTTTTGCTGTTGGTAATAGAGAGGTGAAGACGATCTGCTACTGCGACGGTAGATTGGCGAAATTGATCGACTTGAGTGATAATAATTCGGTGGAGGTGACCTATCTTGATAACGGTAATAAAGAGAATAATCGGGAATATAGGAAGATGATGCTAACCTATTCATGTTATAGGGCGAAGGTGATCGACGATAGAGTGCTGAAGGGGACCGTGAACGATAACGGCGCAGGGAAGGACTTCGGCAAGAAAAACGATCCCTATTATCAGCTCTATAATCCACTCTTGTATCCGTATTATGGTTACGCGGTGGTGAAGTATTGCATCCATGGGCACCAATCTGGCGAGCGACAGGAGATATTGACTGTCTGGGTTTGATGGCTTTGTCATCGTTATTACTTTGCTTTTTCGTGGCTTTATCCTCTGCAGAGACCGTCACTTTTCTTGATGCTTTATCTGAGTTCTTATAGTCACTTGTATTACTCTTACCTTTTCCTATGTTAGTCGTCAATTGTATCTCCTTAGTTCGAGTGCCACGATCTTCCTTTGCTTGACTACTTTCGTGAATGGGTGAACCAGGTGGCGTGTCATCAATAACTATAACCACTCTGTTATCTGCATTGCTTGTTGGCCTAGTGTTTCTGCGTTCATTGTGCCTTATTTCGCGGACATCAGCTCCTTCTTTGGATGTCTTTTGGTGTGGTGAACTGATTTCTGACATTTTGCTGCGGAAGGAAAGAAAAGTTAAGAAATAAAAAAACGGCCTTTCTTTTATTTTTCGCGGCACGTGATTGTTTCAACAGTCAAATAAATTGCATGACGCATAGTTGAGACCTGATATCTGATCATCACTGGCTCCATTGGGGGTTAAGAAATAATTGTTTGGCAATGTCAATCGGAGTTCCTTGTTTTGCCAGCTTAATATCGTCAATATACATATTGTTGTTAACCACTGCCTGACACGAACATTGTCAAGCCTTCGGGTAATGAAATTTTGGTAGTTTACTTCGTCCTGCAATATATTTTTTTAAAGACACTACCTTTGTTTATTTCCTACACAGACTAGATTTTGTTTAGAACTATTTGTTTGTACATTACAAAATATTGAAAAGAGGAAGAAAAAAAAATCGCCCGAAAAACATTTGGGGGTTCTTTACATACCTGCTAAACCAAGCAAAATCTACACAATTTAAACTTTAGTGATTTAGCACAAAACTTTTTTTTTTTTGCCTCACTTTCATTTTATCTTTGTCCAAGAAGTGGCTGTAATCCCCCCCCCCACTAGATTGGCCTGAAATTACAAGTACCTCAAAGAATGATCGTATAAAAAAATACTACATATCATCTCAAATAAAATTATGTGTCCCAATTTCAAGTGAAATCACTGTATTATTGGCCTCCTTGAATCAAATGGCAAATTTCAAGTGCGCAAGGTGTTTATAAAGGCGCCATTTGGCACTTGGGCACTATATGCATAGCACTAAAACTCCAAAATAAATATTGTATTCAATGACATAAATTACTCTAGTTCTTAAGCGTAGCGCGATAAACCTCTTTATCTGGAATCAAACATATAAACCACTTCTTTTACTTTTTTAAATAAATATGACAATAATTATTGTTGACTCTACAATGTTTTTTTATTATGATTATTATTTTCCAAAAACTATCTACTTTTATGACACAATCGAAAGTGATTGTCTTACGAGTGTAATATGTGTAAAAGTGTATGATTTAGCTTTACAAATTTTGAATTATCTTACGAAGGGTCGATTAATTTGGTTGCAAAATTGATTTTTACACTACTAATGTAAAGGTATCATCCCCCCTCTGGATCGAACAAATATTTATTATACAGTTTTTTTTTCATTGAAAAAGGTAAATTACAATTCTTGCGACTTCTATGCGACAGGTCTTTCTAAACTTTTTTCACCTGTAACTGAATTGAGATAATAAATATCTCCAGATTCTGTCATAATTGTTTTCCAAGGCCGTGGTACTCTTCCTCTCTTCTTCGTGGTATTTAATTCTGACAATTCTGAATTTTTAGGTATAGTCGGTAAAGTTGGCGATGACCCTTCTGTATGAGAAGAAGCAGGTGGTGATGCCAACTGTTGTGGCGCGTTAAAAAAAGTGTTGAGCACGGCCTCTTCTGTCACGATGGATGGTAAGTTTTTAGCTGATTTATTCACAACGTCTTCCATTTGTGTGTCTTCGTCAGGCAAAACAGAAGATTTATATAAGGAATCAGAGGTAAACTCGAAACTGTTATTAACAGCGGACTCAATTATGTCATTGACAGCAGATTCAATGGTGCTGGTCACGGAGGAATCGGCAGTAGGCTTGTTTGTGTCATTGGTAATAGACTCAATAGCACTATCAGCGACAGACTGTGTAGCATCATTCATGGCAGAGTTGATAATGTTATCCAGGGCAGTTACAATCGTATTATCAATGGTATATTCAGTCGCGCTGTTGACGGTATTATTGACTATAGATTCGATTGTACTATTGGTAGAAGATTCTGTTGTGTGATTGACTGCAGATTCGCAGGCCTTGTTTTCAAGAATTTCTGTACTATCATTAGGTGGATCTACACGAGAGACTGCTTCAGTGCATTCATCCATGGGCTCTTCCTTCAGAATTATGGGGGCATTGGATGGCTTTTTACAAATATTATGAAAGGCCATGATTGGACTACTAATAATATTTTGTCTGGGTAAGGGAGCAATATCCATAACAACATCATCACGTTCATCAATCGCCAGTTGACGTAATTTTTCTTTGGCTTTTCGGTCCCTCTCCTCTAATGCCTCTTTGGCCTTCCTCTCCTTGTCCAATTGTTGCTCTTTGGCCTTCCTCTCCTTCTCCAATTGTTGCTCTTTAGCCTTTCTCTGGTCCTCTAGAAATTTCTCTTTGGCTATTCTCTCATTTTCCAAAATCGCTTCTCTTGACTTTGTTTCCTCATACTTTCTCTCCTTCTCTAATGCTGCGTCTTTTTGCAATTCTTTTTGTTTCTTCTTTTCTTGATCATCGTTATCTTGAGTTGGACCATCTGTAAATACACGTCTTGTTTTCCTAACAGCAGTATCTTTTGACTTGTCATCTTGAATAGCAGAAGAATTTGCTCGTAGAATATGGTTACCGCTGTTCTCGATACCATGCTTGACTGTTACAGGAACAGAGGTATGCATAGAACTGGTAATATTCTTTATAGCAGAATTTTCTTGATTCATGACAAGTTGAGTAGTGTCAGATGGTTTGCTGGTATCGGGTGATGCTGGTATCGCATGCACGGTATTAGATGCAGTCGCTGTATTGTGACTCGTATGTACAGATTTATGATGAACAATCACAGGATGTGCAGATGTTGTATCTAAATCGACCATGTTATCAAGCTCAGTATGATCTTTGGGATCTACGTTAGGCTCAGATTTGACTTGGGGCTCATGTTTCTCTTTAGAGTACATATGCTCAGAAGCATGGAAATTTGCAGGAGCAGTTGGAATGGATTGAACAGATTCTCGATTAAACACAGATTCTTTGTAGGTAGCAGGGTTAGTATGAATCAAGGATTTCTTGAAAGACATCGAGACCTTCTTGGGAGTTACCACAGGAATATCATCTTTAGCAGTAGAAACTTTTGTGGCGTCATGTCTAGGCATCGTAGAAGTTTTTTGGGCGGTTTGGGCGGTTTGGGCGATGTCCTTTGACGTAGAAACGGACGCATTGGCAGTATGAGAAGTATGTTCTTTAATTGCTTTGACGGGAGGAGTAACATCTTTAGCAGAGGAGCTGGTAGCTTTTACAGAACTGGCATCTTTAACAGACGAACTGGTAGCTTTAAAAGAAGAACTGGCATCTTTAACAGACGAACTGGTAGCTTTAAAAGAAGAACTGGCATCTTTAACAGACGAACTGGTAGCTTTAAAAGAAGAACTGGCATCTTTGACAGAAGGACTGGTAGCTTTAACAGAAGAACTGTTAGCTTTGACAGAAGAACTATTAGCTTTGACAGAAGAGCTGTTAGCTTTAACAGAAGGACTGGTAGCTTTAGTGGAAGGGCTATTAGCCTTGACCTTGGTAGAAGTACTAGTAGCTCTGGCAGAAGGATCGGAAGTTCTAGTAAAATGGGCAGAGCTTTTAACAGAAGAAGGGGCGGCTTTGCCTTCAGAGTCTGGAGCGACATTAGAAGTACCCTTTTTCGGCCCGATAACAGGAGAATTAAGCTTTTTAGTCACAACAGAGGACGAAACAGGTTTTTTCGGCACAGGATGAGTCGATGACGAGAATTTTTTCGAGGGAGGTAAAGATTCAGAATTATTGACCCATACTTTATTGTGGTGAGTAGATGCGTATGCATTAGCCCCAAGCCTAGGGGCAGCAGACGGATCCAAAGAACCCAAGGGAGGACATGACCTCAGATCCTTGTACTTTTTCACGCCAGATAATCGATGATTGATGTTTCCTTCGTCTTCATTGACATAATTAGGTTTATAGGCATCTGCTTTAAGACTGAAAAATGGAGCTTCCTCGTCACTATCAAAATCCGACGAAGCCCGATGAGGTCGACGAGTGGGAGAAGGCGACCTTCTTCGTTTACTTGTGGTACGTGGTGAAGGAGGAAGAGGAGGTGGAGAAATGGCCTTGAACCTTTTATTGGTGGTAGTGGTAGAGGGTGAACTTTCTCGTGGAGCGACTGTCACCTTTCTTTTATTATGATTGGGCTGAGTATCAGACGAATCTTCGTTATGGGCGTTTGTCGGTAAAGAAGTGGTAATTTGGATTTTTTTGGCGATACTAAATTTACGCTGATGTTGGTGTTGGTGTTGCACTTGCTCTTCCTCATCCGCAGTTTCGTCTTGATGAACAATTTTGTTATTATTGGACCATTGTTGTTGTTGTGGACTGAAATAAGTAGGAGCTATAGGCGGATCACGCAGAAAGGAAATGATAGGTCTCTCAACAATAGGTGTATCATTGTTTCTGACAAACCTAAAGCTGTTTGGTCTGGGATAATTGTTATTATTATTTCCTCCATAGTAAGGGTTGTTGATGTTATTGACATTCGTATTAGGAGAATAGTATACGGCCTCATCTTGCAATTGACTGATTTTGGAATAATCTGGATAGCCTCGATGTTGATGGTCAGGATCACTGTAACGAGCAATTCTTAAACCATGGCTGTCATTGTTATGGTTGCCTGTTCCTTTACGGTAAGCAGGCTTAGAAGAGTTTCCTAGTCTTTGAAAGACTTGCGGTAAATCATCCTTTTGGTGCCGTTTATTATATGACATTTCGTATATGTATGTGCGCAGAAAAATAAAATAAAAAGGCGGATTTTTTGAACGACGAAAAAATATTTTCTTTTTATATGGTATCAGATAGACGGGGTAAAAATATGCACGTTATTTTATTTTAAAAAATAATTTTACAACATCAGCAGTTATAAATTATGCGCGCTGTAAATGACGAATTGAAAAACAATCCGTCTTCTATATATCTATACCTGATAATACATGTTTCGGATACGTAAAAATGAGGGGCATGATAGAATGACACCTGTTTTGCATGTGTGAGAAACATGTACTGGATTGGCATGTGAAAGTACAACGTTGCGAAAAAGTCACGCATATATTAACATCATCCCCTACATTTCCTTTCTCTCTCTCTCTCTCTTTTCTTCTTTCTTCTCTCAATAATGGCCTCATCTCAAGTCGCAGGATACTCAGTCTCAAAGGTATATCAAGAAAACAAGGCTTAAACATTGACATCAAACTCACCTTTATGTCTTAGACAACTCCTTTAAATATTAGTGTTGAGGAGGCAGTGATCAATTCGAAAAGATCAAGTTCTTTTCTATTACATATGATGGTCATGATGGATCCACAACAAATTAAGAGCAACGAAACTGCCAAAGTAAGTTATAAAATGTGCCCTGTTTGATCATATCCAGTACCAACGCCACCAAAATTAGGATGCATACAAGGAATGTTTGGAGTTAAAGGATTATCTTTCTGAGCAATTATGGTCCGAATTTGATACAGATGGCATCTCTGCTGTTCAAACAGCTCTGGAAGACCTTTCACAAGTTCTAAGCAAGTATGAGATGACAAAAGAAATGATTGAAAATGAATGGTAAAAAAGAGTTATATGCATCAACCCCTCCCCCCTTAACTAACGCGTGAACACTAAAAAAGGGAATTTGTAGATTCTTCCTGCTGTGTCCCCACTTGTTGAAATTTAATAAAAAAATATACCTTAAACCTATAAACAGTACGTTTTGTTCTCCGCTGTAGACTATACATAAAATCCTGATGACACTGTTTGTCAGACTTACTATTAATAATTCACAGGTGTCGGCCATCAGCCCCGTCACAAATAAAAAGGTTTACGTTGCTATTTGTACAAATGCACAACATCGTAACAATACACGCAGGTTGACTGCAATTCAAAAGTGGCGAGATAAATCCAGCTATTTAACCAGATTTTGATCTTAAATCGACTGATTCCTTATACAAAGCTAGCTGTAAATGATTAGGGATACTTTTTTTTGTAAGTTTGGTGTAAGAAATCAACGGAAAGTCCATGTATAATTAATAAAGTATAATGTATGACGCATCGATCCACACTTTGCATAGGACGCGATAGATGGTTAATAACATCTTGAGGTTATTTTTTTTATACTTGCTATAACTCAATGTAATTAAAAGCGTCAGATTAAATCTTAAGGTTTAGCTGAACGAGGCATACTTTCTGATCTATAACAATTGAAAATTGACCTCATCAAAACTGGCAAAGGTATCAATTAAAAGTCTCTTCGTAACATTTCTTATCACTAAATTTTGAAGTTTTAAAGAAAAAGTGCTTTCACGCATTTTTAGGAAAACTCAAACGAACTTCAAGTGCACGCTGCGTTGCACACAAATCCCATGTTTTATGAGAGAGGAGATTGAATTAGTGCGATTTTACATGACTTTGCATCGCCTCCGGCTTTCTTTTATAACAATAATTTTATAAACGACGTTCAAAATAGTGCCTAGTCTCCCGAAGGTCATAAAGCTGACAGTATAAGATATAAACGAAACTAGTTGGAACAGATTTAACAAAAGTGAGGATACTATCTGTTATTCATATAATACCACCTCATTTAATAGGTGATATTTTTTATCTCAATTTTATAATTAGGCTGGATGTTCCTTGGAATTCTAATATAAAATTATAAGAGGATAAGGGAGACTTGGAGGCATGAGCGGTAGGTATACATACTTGGGATATGTAACCAAATTTTATTGGTATATTGACATGGATACAATCAGCGGTTGTGGTCATACTGTACTCTTCCAAAAGTCTATCAGATAAAGGAATCACCCCCAAATTCTTCGTTTGATGGGTTTCCGGAAAAGTTGATGTAGTCACAATTAGGATCATGATATGATCTCCGAGTAACCATACCGAGAGTAAGGAGAAAGTAGTTGATTTTCTGTGTCATTCAAGGATTGTAGTGGCCTTTATGAGCACTGTTGTATCTGTTGATACTGCCGACATCAGTGTTGTGACGCAATCTATAGTCACAGAGAGCATAGTAAATGAATTCCACAGAACAGTTCATGAATCCGAATTTCTAATGATGTTTGTATGGACGCCTTCCTCAACTACGTTTGTTCCACGGACACATCTGTAAACATGTAGACCATTTTTTGTTAATCCGGACGTTGTGACATATACTAGTATGGGTTACGTCGGATATATAACCAAGTTGTATAGCTCGTAAGGCACCGATAGCCTTGCTTCTTGCCACCCTGTCAAACAAAGGAAGACCTGTTCTTGAATATTTAACGTTGTGAAAATCCCAAAACAGTTTTTTGACCACAGAATACGCGATTTTAGGGGTAGGAAAACGATAAACACGTGCCAAAATCCAGTCCGAGTTGTACTTCCATGTATCGTCCTAATTCTTCCCCATTTAAGATAACTTGGTCTCTACGTTTGCCCTATCACCAGAATCAAAAATAAAGATAGCCTCACTAAATCTTTTGTAAAATTCTTTTGATGCTCCGTGCTTTCTGCTAATTGGAATAATATCCATGATATGAAAAATATCTTTCAGAACTCGACTTGCATGCGTTATTTCTTCATCCCTGAAGTCTACCCGTTCTTCATTTTCTTACAGCCTAACATCCTCAATAAAATCGGACTACCAAAGACAGAATCATAAACTGTCTGACCCATTTCGAATGATTCGTTGTCTGAAGAGTCATAATCATCATCCGAAATAATGTCATCATTGCCTGTCTCTTCAATAAATTCGAAATTGGAAATATTGTTTCCATTTATTCGCTGGTATTCATTGATGCCATTGTTACCCCCAGGATGATTTAAGGCCCTTTCAGGAGATACCACCACCAGAGGAAACACTTTTTCAGCAGGGAGAACGGCAGTCTTCAAGGTTTGAGCTGGAAGGTTCAGGTGAAAAGGTGGATCACCGAACCTTTTGAGCTTTTTTCTATCGCCATGGTTACATGGACTAGTAAACGCGCTATTAATAACGTTTGTTATTTTAATCACAACAGCCTTCTAAAAATCCCCAGAATGGTCTTCAGTGCAATTTTCAGCATGCGAGCTTGTCAATTGTTGATGATCATCAATGGCAGAGCTTTCAAATAACGCTATTCCAAACTCAACAGGATTTCCTCTACATGCAGAGCTGAAATATATTGCGACATTCACGTCCGACAACGAGTTTCCATCAATTGACTTGTTAACGGTTGGAAGCAAATTTAATCGATTACGCAGATCCAAAGAAATCCAACCATCCAAAGCAGCGTAATTGATCTGTTCAGGACTCAATTGAATAGAATCTCAATTACTGAGTCGAACATCAAGGGATTTGTTCATTCTGAATCCAAGGACTGATTGAACCAAATAATCCAGGATCACATTTTTACGGCATACAGCTCCTTTTTCTACGCACAAATCCAAAACGTCTTGATCACCTCGACAATTGATGTGGAAATCACCATCCAAATGGCCCAAGTCACTTTTAACCGATCTTCCGAGTTTTATGACATTTTCGCTTTCGGGAATTTGCTTTACTTGAGTAAATAATGGACATCCGGGTCTCAAAGAGCAGAATCCAAACAGATACACACAGTCTCGATAAGCTATCTAAATAAGGCCAGTTTTTCTCAGTACCCGTCTTCGATTGCTATCAAACACTCTCCATTCAATGTCAAATCCAACATAGACGCGATCGTTATCGGTTAGTATTCCACTGGCTGGTAATTGCATATCCTCAATAATATCTTAACAAACCGAATTCATTTAAGGGAGTGTCGTAAGTACATGTGCCGAAATATTTGCTGGTAGCAGTAAAAGTGGCAATAATTCGTCAGATTCGATAACAAAAGTATCATCCTCGCCACCATCAACAATTGGAACAACTCTATCTTTTAAGGATAGAATTACACGTTCCAAAAAATGCCGATCGCCATCAACGTTGTCCGTAAAAAAAAATTAGAGGTAACGGGTTACTATTAATCTCATAGGACACGATCAACTTTTTAAACGAGTCTTTTAAATGTTCCAATAATTGTGTTGGATCCAGTATCATCATTCGAATATCGCCATATTCATTACACACAGTATATAAGGCTGGAAATGCAGCTTGGCCTCCAGGGATTTTCATAATTTTTTTAGATAACTTAAAACTGTGATCGCCAGAAAGAATTCTTCCACCAAGCTCTGTTATTTGTGCATCAATGACTGGTTGTATTTGCTTCATAGCATCATTATATACATAGCTTATATAGCCAGGAGAAGGTATACCACCGGATTATCTACTTCCATCCCTAAAAGAGGAAAAAAGCTTCAGGCTTTTTTACGTTGTTTCTACCCCACATATTGGAGAGAGTAAGCTGACCTGATTTATTCTTTTTATTTTCAACGGCAGCGCTCAGATACATGTACTTCACTGTATCGTATTGAAACATATGAAGCTCTCGTAAAATCTTGGAAATTCTACCCGGCCCAACGGAATTTTGAACCAAAGGACGCAATAAATTAAGAAAAGTCTTGGATAGACCAGATCGGTGAGTCAAAGCAGCAGGAAATGCTATCTGGAATCTTTCGGGTAACTGCTTGATGATTCCATCCGAGTAGCCGTTGAAATTATAGACCGAGTATTTATTGACTGGCTTTCCTTCGATCATTTTAGTTTTTAGCAAGTGGGATGCTTTCTGGGAACAAGTATAACGAGATGTCATCATATAAAAGGTGCTTTTCAGAATATTAGTGTCTAAGAATAAATGTACCTGCTTTTTTTTTTTAACAATTACTTCACGACTACGTGCACTTTGGCTGTCAATAAGAAAAGCGACTATGAAATACTGACGAATTATGCTTTTCAAATATATCACTGATTGACTTCAGTTCTATGGCAAGCACAGGCGGATTACCTCTTCCTCCCTTTCATCCGGTTCATTGATTCGAAGTTTTTTAACCAACGTTACCGTTGTTACCTCTGTTACCGCTGTTACTGATGTTAACAATATTCCCGATGTTAACGATGCTACTGATGAATTGACACCTCTTCGGAATGCCTTTAGACTACATTCTACAAGTATTTTATTCTTCTTGTAAGTAGTGAGAGAATTGAAAAAATAAGAGGATAATTAACGAAAAGATTATGAAAGGGGAAAAAGACAAAAAAGTATGGATTATATAGATACCAACGGAATGTGCAGCAGGACTGTTTGATTACTAACAACAATGCTACAAACAAACTGTTGTGGTTATTCTCGACCAATGTTTTGACAGTCGATTATGGAGTATACATGGTAACTTTCAATGTTATAGGTCTTGTCCAATCATGAAGGATATATCGAGCTCACTAGAATTATCCTCATCCATTTTAACTCCATGAATGCAAAGACTTTGTCTAAACTTACACTCACACTAAATAATCAGATTAAGTCCGACCTCACAGAATCCACAATTAGGATTCCAGCTACTATTTAGCAATTGTATTGAAACCAATAAAAACTTTATCTACATTTATGTTACGCACATTGGATATTCTACTTTATCTACCACCTATAATCATCACATTGCATGACGGATAACCAGCCAGCAATTATTACAAGATTAATACGTTTAAATCTCACGTAACATCAGACTGAAGTGGAACATGAACTCTATCGTAATGCTGAATCTCAGCATAATCTGGATATATGTGCACTAATTATGACATGCAAATAAAGAAGCAAGTTCTCCTTTACTATCAGGATAACTGATCCTATATCAATCTTTTATCCTTTGTTATCGTTATTGTGTCTTTTTGTCTTCAGTTACATCAGATACAACAATCTTATTATTCGGACCTGCCTGTTTAATTTAAAAAAGTCTTATATTTTAACACATAACATCTTTCAGATTTAACAGTATGTACAAATAAAATAATTTCGTTCATCTTCCGAAAAAAGATTGGTTCAAGACCGTAAAAAAAAAATGGAGCTTACCACTTAAGTGTAAATATGCTTAGCCTGCGATAACATGCCTGGAAAATTCTAGTTTGGACATTGACGAACATTTCTTTCATAAAGATAGTGTACTTGGTAATTTTCTATCAGTATTTCAGTAGTAGCATGTATCAAGAATTTCAAAAAAAAACATTGACGTATACATCAAGTTTGATAGATTGAAGTTTAAAAATCATCATAAACATTTTTGCATATTATTACCACACATGCAAACTGACATTTTATGTTGTTGCACAAGCGATTAGAAAAGCATAAATTTGAAGTACCGAATTCTATTCCAAAAGTCAAAAGTGGGGCCTTTTGCTAAAGGATAAAAAAGTTATTTTGTATGGAGCTGACCCATCAACGTATAATTATATTTATATATCAAGTCGTATAATTGATTCTTCTCGCCCGTTGTACCGACGACTCCTAGTAACAGTCATGTTGGATATAATACATTGTGAAGTTCTCTAATTTTGATCCATACATGATTTTAATTTCCTAAACTTGTATAATTACACCCCGTGATTAAAAGAAAAGGAAGACCGATTTCAGTCTTTGTAACAGTGCCACGTATTTAAAGAATACGTGTACATCGTGTCGGATTGATGGCCCGTACTTTAACAATCACGGATTTTTGTATTTTTTTTTTTGTTGCTGCTATTATAAAACAATCTGCTTTCTATCCATGATGCACGTAATTTACACCACCATGCGTACATGCATTGATTTTGGAGTCTGTAGAAAGGCTGGTGGGGGTGAGGGGGAGCAACTCCGAGGCGTGACTTTCAAAGTGACTTTGAATTCATGTGCGAGATTCGCGTTTCTGTCCAATTGTAACTGGACAAGTTCAGCGTTAAATAGGGACCTAAAATAATTAAATTACTGTAAAGCAAACACCTCATTTTTTTAGTTCTCTAACTTACTTTATCACAGAAAATGACTTTACGTTGGCTGTGCTTTATTTACACAGTTGCGCTATTATGTATGATGGCACCAGTGCATGCAGCTGTCATGTCCATTGATTATGGCACGGACTGGTTCAAAGTGGGCCTTATCAAACCCGGCATGCCTTTAGATGTTGCATTGAACAAGGACTCTAAGAGAAAGACACAATCAGTGGTGACTATTCGCCATGATGAGCGTATTTATGGTAGTGATGCTATTAGTTTAGTAAGTTTGCTTGTTCGATAGAATAATAGAGAGAAAGAGAGAGAGGAGAGAGAGAGAGGGGGAACCTTTGATATATTTACTAACATCACTGTTAGGCTGGTCGATTCCCCCACTTGACTTATTCCAATTTGAAGAGTATTGTTGCGAAGCGTTTTGATGACCCTCTCACAGAAGAATTCCGTCACCGATATGTAAACAATATGGTGCTTGATTCTACTCGAAATATGCCAGCATTTCTTCATAATGAAACTCAACAATTATCGATCGAAGAATTAATTGCTTATCAATTCCAGAATGCTAAACAACAAGCTTCTGCTACTGCTGGTGAGAAAGTTAAGGATGTTGTCATCACTGTAAGTGTTTTTTTATGAAATTCTTGTGTCTTTATGCTTTTTAAATTAAAAAATCGTGATTTTCAAGGTTACACCATTTGCCAATCAATACGAACGTCAATCTATTTTGGACGCAGCCGAACTTGCAGGTTTAAATGTCTTGTCTTTAATGCACGATGAAACTGCTGGTAACAAAAAAAAAAAAAAAAAAATAGAGAAAGAAACAAAAAGAAAAAAAAACCATTTATCTAATCTTCTGTTTTGTTCCAGTGGCGCTTAATTTTGCAGTCAACCGCGAGATTGGAAAGACAGCCGAGAACCATATTTTCTATGACATGGGTGCAGGTTCCACTGTTGCCTCTATCGTAACTTTCTCAAATGTAGAAACAAAGGAAGGAAAAAAGACACGTACCGCTCCTCAATTAGAAGTTAGAGGTGTGGGTTTCGATCGTACTTTGGGTGGTCACGAATTGGATGTACGTCTTCAAACTTTGTTGGCAGATGGTTTCATGAAGATCAATAAAGCTAGTGTGAAGGGAGACATTAAATCTTCGGATAGTGCCATGACCAGATTGTTAAAGGAAGCAAACAGAGTTAAGCAAATCTTGAGTGCCAATACCGAGACAACCGCATCTGTAAGTTTTACTTCATTCCAAGTCCTCAAAAAAATGCCTAATTTCTTTGCTTTAGATTGAAAACTTGCATGAAGGCCTTGATTTCAAGCTCAAGGTGACTAGAGCTGAATTGGAAAATATCTGTAAAGATTTGATTGCTCGCGTTAGAAGTCCTATCGAGGATGCATTGAAGGCTGCTAATATGACTGTGGTATGATTTTATTATATAGTGTGTTGTAATAAGTTGTTTATATATATATATGCTAGGATGACATCGACTCTGTTGTCCTTGTTGGTGGTGGTGTTCGTGTCCCATCTGTCCAAGGTCAATTGGTTGATCTTGTTGGAGCGTAAGTGTAGTGGTAGCTATAAACGAAAAAAAGTGTGAAGACTGATTTTTTCCTGTTAATAATAGTCAAAAAATCGCAAAGAATGTTAATGCAGATGAAGCTGCTGTTTTGGGTGCCGCTTTCCGTGGTGCCTCTCTCAGCAACCAATTCAGATTGAGCAAGCAAATCAGTATCAAGGATGTTACCCTTTTCCCTATTCAAGTTGCCTACACTCCCGAAAACAAGGGCAAGGAAGCTAAAGCAGCTGTTCACACCACCCTCTTTGAAAAGTTTGGTACCATTGGCACTCGCAAGATCATGACATTTAACCGTGTCAGTGACTTTGAATTCGAGCTTGCTTATGGAAAGGATGCTAATGCTGGTATGGATGATATTGCTAAAGTCAAGATCTCTGGTTTGACAGAAGCCATGAAGAAACATAAGGACGATATCAAGGCCTCTGAGATTCCACCCAAGGTCCGTGTCACCTTTGAATTGTCTAACTCCGGTATGATTTCTGTGCCTGAAGCAACCCTTCAACTCGGAAAATTGACTTTCAAGGAAAAGGTAAAGTCATTCTTTGGTGGAAAGGATGGCAATGCCGAAGAAAAGAAAACGGAGGGTGATGCAAAGCAAAACGAAACCGCTACAGAAGATGCTAAAACCAAGACTGCTACAACCGAGGAGCCCAAAGAAAGTGTTTCTATTACAAAGGTTCCTTTGGTCATTGAATACACTCCTACTGGTATTATTCCTCTTAGCGAGAAAGATAAGGCTATCGCTAAGCAAAGGTAAAACAAGCAAAAATATATATATATATATATAAGGAAGCATAACTAACACGAGCTTAGAATTAATGAACTCGATATCATGGATAACAAAAAGAAACTTCGTGAAGAGTCTCGTAACGCTTTAGAAACTTTTGTTTATCGTGTTCAAGACTTTTTGTACAATGATGTTGTTGAAATTGTTGCTGCAGAACAGGAAGTCGAGAAATTTAGAGAGCTTCTTTCCGAGATTTCTGAATGGATCTATGACGAGGGAGAACATGCTGATACACACGTTTATACCAGCAAGCTTAAGGAACTTCAATCCATTGAAAATCCTATCCAACATCGTGTTAGGGAATACAATCAACGTCAAAACAACATTGATCATGTTTCTACTACAGCTAAGCTCGCTCGTGATTTTGTCAATAGCATCCGCGCCAAAGAAGAAGAGGCTCGCTACCACACTGAAGAAGAGCTTGAGGGCTTGATGGATGCAACTGAAAAGGTTGAGAAATGGATGGCTGAACAAGTGGAAGCCCAAAAGAAGCTTGCTGAAACCGAGGATCCTGTTATTGTTACCTCCAAGGTGGCCGAAAAGGTTAAGGCAGTTGAAGAGCATTTAATGAAATTGCTTAGTAAGAAGAAGCCCAAGAAGGTTGTTCAACCCAAGAAGGAAGAAGAACCTGTTGAAACCAACGAGACCCAAGAGGAAATCGTTAAAGACAGCGAACCCAAGACTGAGGAGCATCAACATGATGAACTTTAAAAAAAATATCGTAGACATTCACCATCCCTTTTCCCCCCTCTTACCTATATATATAAATAAATCGCGTTTTTTTTTTATCAATTTTTATTTCATAATTAAGGTTTTGAATCACATCTTCATTTGTTTATTCATCAAATGGCGCACTGACATCACTTGGTCAGAGGAAAACAGTAATCGGGTGCTAAATAACGCGTGGCTTGTTCTGCTGGGAAATCTCCTTGACCGGGATAAAGGAATATTTTTTTTAAGGTTACATTTAATGCAATTGGGTGTGTGTGCGTGAGAGAGTGTCTAAAATACTATATAAACCTTGTTTTTTATTTGTCCTTCCATCTCATTTTATTTATTAACCCCTTTTTTTTTCTTAATAAACATACACAAATATGACTTCTCTCGGACGCGGTGTTTTTGTTCCTGTACCTACTTTTTTCAAGCAAAATGAAGACCTTGACTTGGAAGCCTTCGATAAGCATATTGAATACTTGTCCAAGTCTGGTATTGCTGGTGTTGTAGTTTTAGGTTCTATGGGAGAAGCTGTTAGCTTATCCGAACATGAAAGAGATCTTGTCATCGAGCAAGCCGCCAAATCTATCAAGAAGCACAATCCTGCATTGAAATTAATTGCAGGTACCTCTGCTCAAAGTGCCAGAACCACCATCCTCTATACCAAGCAAGCCGCCCAACAAGGAGCTGAGTTCACCTTAATTTTACCTCCTTCTTTCTATCGTGGAGCTATTGACCATGATGCTATTGTCCGATTCTTCACAGCAGTAGCAGATGCATCTCCCTTGCCTGTCATTATCTACAACTACCCTGGTGTCTGTCAAGGTCTTGACTTAAGTGTTCAGGTCCTTGTGGAATTATCGCGTCATCCTAATATTATTGGTGTCAAGGGAACAGATGGTAACGTGGGTAAAATGGCAAATTTAGTCAGAAAGACAGATCCCAAAGGTAAGATATTGAATTTGTTTTTGTTTTGTTTTTTTTTAAAAATTACTAATGCAGAATTTGGAAATAATAGAGGTCACTTTATTGGCTGGATCTGCTGATTTCTTCTTACCCGAGTTAGTGATTGGAGCTGTTGGATTAATTCCTGGAGCAGGTAATATCTTCCCTAGTCTCTGTGTTCAAGTGCAGACATTATATGAAGATGGTAAATTAAAAGAGGCAACTGAGTTACAACATAAGCTTGTGGAGGCCGATGATGCACTCTGTAGATGGCACGGTATTCCAGGCATCAAGAGCTTTATTCAAACCAGATTAGGCTATGGTCATGGTGTCTGTCGTAATCCTCTTGGTTTAGCCTCTAAAGCCAATGCACAAGCGATTGAAGAAGCTGTAAACGAGGTCTGGCATCTTGAGCAAACTTATCATTAAATTATTACGTAATAAAATGACGAATGAATTCTGATTGGTTCGTAAAATACTTCACTGTAAAAATTTTTTTTCCGTTTTCTTTTTTTTTTTTTTTTTATGTCCGGGAGGAGTATTTTGGGGTATTCGTTCTAGGATACACTCTTTTCTTTACGTTTTTCTATACTTTTTTTTTTTTTTGCGCTTCGTCCGGACTGGAACTTTTTTTTTCAAAAAGCACCGAACACTCTATATAAAAAATAAAAATTTGACTTTTAAAAATTACATAATGGATACAGGCAGTTCAACACCTGGCGATGGTTATGTTCCTTCTCCCACCTCGTCAGCCCCTAATCAACAAGAAGATTGTAGTATTCTGTCACCCACTTTGGCTGATATTTTGAGTGACGATCGTATTCTACGATTCTACCAATGTGTTAAAGACATCAAGACACAAGGATCTCCCAAGCAAACCTCTGCCATGTTCTTTGCTCTGTGTCATGCCTTGGGTGACACCGTGTCGTTTTTAAAAGTGCCCAACATGTCCAAAATTATGTTCCGTCAAGAACAGCAGATTTTCGCTGTAAACGTATCAGGAACCCAACATGATACCGTACAACTGTTCCAACAGCCTACTAATGAAATGCCAATGGATCCTATCAAAATGACCGGCTCTAATACCGCTGGTTTGATGCACGATGTGGATTCCACCCATACCTCTAACCTCTTTTCCGCTGCTGCTGCCGACGGTTCTCCTCAACATTTATTACAAGCCGCCCTATCCTCTGTAGCACACGCTATGCCTGATCAGCAACAACAACAACAGCAACAACAAATTGCGCCTCCTCCTACACTTCCTGTTGCTGCTAATAAGAGAAAGACGCTCAAGAATGAAGACGGTACTGTTGTAAAGCGAGCTAAGAAGGCCTCTCCCAGAGATAAAGAGTATGCAGTCAGACGTAAGTTAGCCCCAATATTTTATGTAGCTGGAATGATATATTAAATATACTTGATATTTTTAGGTAACGAGGTGATCCAAGACTTATTAAAAGTATCTGAAGCCGACTTATTACATCAAGCAAATATTGTAGATAGTGAAGTCAAGTTAATTATTCAAGGACACGAAAGATCAACCAAGTTTGGTGTACTTGCACCCATTCATCGTTTCGCTGCTTTTGCTAATTTACCTGCTCATTATGATTGTGATTTTGCGCCCAAGAATGCAGGTGTTTACTACAATTACGAATACTTTCAGTTGTACTTGGCATACCGTGATTTAGAAGTCGAACGTCAACAACAGCAACAAATGGATGGAAGTGATTCCAGACCCATCTTAGTGCAATGTCGTGCTGATATTGAAAAGGTACTTGTGAGTACGAATTGGGAAGCCATTCGACGTCGGTTGACGATTGGCGAGCGTATTTGTCAAGTATGTGGTGTAGTTGGACGTGGCTTTTTATTATTGAGTAAACAAGTGTCTGGTCGCAAGTTGTTACATAATTTCAATACGGGTGAGTGGGGAGAATTCATGCGTGAATTTCAAAGGATCGAAAATCAACCTTTGCTTCAGACATTACAAACCAAGTATTCTCCTGAACGTTTCTATGGTCCTCGTCAAGAGATGATGATTGCTCAACCCGATACCATGGATAACAATTCTAACCCTAATTCCACCCCTGGTACACCAACTACAACCCAATGCCCTGTTGCTGCTGCTGTAGCCATTGTTGTAGGAAACTCAGAAGCTCATACTCCAACTGACAATATGAGCCTCAAACAGGACTAACTTTATTTTCCTCTTCTCTTTCATCATACGCGCATCATTTCGTAATTATGTCTTTACATTATTTACCCCACACACTCACTCATGGAAACAATAAAAAGAAAAAAAAATTGTTTATTTTAAATAGTAGGAAAAAAAAAGGGGGATATAAGAATGGAATGCAATTATACATAATATTTAATTTTAGATGTGTTTGTGTTGTGTCTAGGATGATCTCTATGTCTTTTTTTTTTAACTCCAAATATCTTCTTGATAACGACTGGTAGTTCTTAAACCCTTGACGTATTCATGGGCTTTAGCATCCGTCATGCCACCAAACTCCATAGCACAATTGATGAAAGTTTGGTTGACATCGCGCGCCATATTCTTAGCATCACCACAGACAAAGATATATCCACCCTTTTGTAACAACTCCCAGACTTGTTGGCCTTGTTCCTGGAGACGGTGTTGAACATAGACCTTTTGTGCCTGATCGCGAGAGAATGCGGTAATGATACGAGAATCACCTCCCAATGTTTCAAATAGTTCGGGCCATTCTTCAGCATATAAAAAGTCTTGATCTCTGTTACGACTACCGTAGAACAATAAGGTGGTACCGACAGGTTTACCATCACGCTTAGCAAGAGCTCTTTCACGTACAAAAGCACGGAAGGGAGCTACACCTGTACCAGGTCCGACCATAATGATGGGGACAGAAGGGTTACGAGGTAATTTGAATTGGGAGTGACGTACATGCACAGGTAACTTATGACAGAGTCCGTCTTCACCGAGATATGATTGACGAGGACCGGACAAATCATACACAGGATGCTCTTGGCCGTCGTTTGGCATACCTTGTTGCATTTGGATACGGTATAAGAAGTTGGAGTTGACACCGTACACAGTTTCGTGAGCGGCAGCAATAGGATGGTAGGAAAGTACAACAATAGTAGCTGTAATTACCTTGGGACTTTCTTTAGCAGAACTAGAGATAGAATAGAATCGGGGTTGCATACGAGCAATGTTTTCCACCACAAGATCAAAAGGAACATTGGCAAAAAGGCCAGATTGGTTACTGTGACCACAGGCGTATTCAAGCACTTGAGCTAAATTGCGACAAGCATCAGTGACTTGCAAGCGATATTCATCTTTATCTGTAGCTAATCTGATCAAAGCGGCCTTGGATTCTTCTGTAGGGGCATATTCAGCAAATGAATTGAGGATTTGACGAGAGATGGGTGCACAAATTTCCATATAATATCTGAAAATGGAACGGTAGGTGGTGGGTACAGGGAAAGGATGTTTCTTGGGTGCAGTAGGATCAATGGCCTTGATATCGACAACAGTATCTAATTTGTCAGTCAAGCCTAATACGGAAGCCAAACGGTCGACTTCAATCTCACTGTTGGTAGGCCAGATAGCGACATGGTCACCAGTGTTGTAACGGAGGTTTGTACCACTGATATCAATCTCGACATGTAAGCAGTGACGGTCTGCTCCATGAAATAATTCACGCATAGTGACGGGAGCAACAAAGGGACGCTTGGCATCAAAAATGACTTTAGCACCTTGTTTAGGTCTTTCAGCCAATTCACCTAAATAGACATCCTCCTTTTCATATTCGATTAATTCTTGTACGGCATAAACGGGTTGTCTTGGTCCGGATCTGGCGGAGCTTTCATCAACACCCAAAGTTTGACAAAAATCAGGCCATAAAGTGTCAATCCAAGCGAGATAATCTTCCTCCAATGAACCATCATCGTCACCTTCACCAGCTACACCTACCAAATGAGCACCGAGTTGGGACAAGCTCTTATTGACTCTTCTGGATACTTCATTGTATTGATCATATGTCTTATTACCAAGACCAAACATCACATAGTTGAGGTTGCTTAAGGGTTTTTCTTCCATATTTTGAGAAAAGGTTGGTTCTTCTTCTGTGACAAGATCCCAAAATTCAATCGCATTGTCTGTGGGGTCACCCTCACCATAAGTAGCCAAGACGAAAATCACAAGGTTATCCTTGGGCACTCTGTCCAAGTAGGACAAGTCGTACAATTCGAGATCTGCTGTCATACAATTGACACCGAATTTTTGGGAGCACTCCTTTGCGATACGAGCAGCATAGCCTTCTGCTGTACCCGTTTGCGAACCATAAAAGACGATGACTCGACGACCCTAATCATACAAAAGATTGAGATGATGCTCTTTACTCATTCCCCCCGCATGGTTCAACTTACTTGTTCTTGCATGACTTTAACAAAGTTGGTTTCTTTCTTGCCGACAGCCGAACCAGAACCGGCGGTAGGTGCAGCTATTTTCTTCTTACCAAAAATCAATTCCTTCAGTTGTTGTCTTTTAAACCAAGCTACGGTGGTGAGTCCAATAGCACCAACCAAGAGTAGGTCTGAAGTGTCGAATAAAACAGGATTTTCCTCGTTTGTTTCCATTGCTGTAATGATGATGAAGAAAGAAAAAAAAAAGATAGGTTAGGCTTTTTCATTGTTTTAAAAAAAAAAGAAGGGGTGTCGGCATCCTAAATATGACTTGGTATTTCACCGTGTGCCACTCTCATTTAAAAAGGAGCACTCAATTGATTTATGTGGCGATATTGTACCTAGTAGAACTCTGTCACCCCAGAGTACACTTATGATTAGTTTACATGTGAAATAAGAGAGAGAGATAGAGAGAGAGAGAAAATAACGTTTGGTCTGCAGTAACTATATCAAACAATCTACAATGTTGTTTTTGACATTCTTATTGGCTGCTTTCAACTGCTGTGTACATAATATTACTGTTCCTTCTGTGTTTCCTACTTCAGCTCCAAACAAATCCTAAAATTACTGGCGACTTGGTCTTCTAAAGGGCTTATTTAAAACGCTGTTTACTCTAATAGATTGCCGAGGAGCAAGTTATTTCTGTTTGTCAATCTCATTTTATTTAAAAGCTTCCGTCTCTCTTTTTGTTTATCGTTTTGGCATAATTTAATAATTAAGTCTTCTGTTACTATTGTAAGTATTTGATGGATTTCAAACTACCATGACTACGCAAACTACGTCTTACACGCCAAAAAATGAAAAAAGAGGAATTGAGCTTAAAAACTTGGGTTATGCAAAGTTATTTTTCAAGCTCTTTTAATTGGATTTGAGTGAAAATCGGAAGACACATATTAAAACAGCCCACGAGTGTCAAACATGCTTGATTTTTTGGGCCAATGCGTAATACGACCAAAATCCAATGACAGGAACAACATAAAAATCATTCCTGTACGCACTCTCACTCTATCTCGGTCTCTAACTAAATCCATGTTCCATCTCAGCTTCGAAATTGCTTAGGTTAAAAAGAAAGGGTAAGAATTCAAAGAAGAAAAAAAAAAGAAGAGATTGTATTTAAAATAAGATGAATAATTTAAATGAAACCAATCTTGTTGGCAACATCAAGAGCATCAACATCAGCGGTTAAGCGGACGAAAGCCTTCTTGTAACCATCGGGTCTGATAAGAGTGTTGACTTGAGCAGCCTCAACGTCATAGAGTCTCTTGACAGCATCCTTGATTTGGTTCTTGTTGGCCTTGACATCAACGAGGAAAGTTAAGGTGTTGTGTTCCTCAATCTTCTTCATGGCGGTCTCGGTGTTGAGAGGTTGACGGATGACACGGTATTGATCCATACGGGGAGCATGAGCAATGGACTTACGAGCGTACTTGGGAGCACGGTTCAAAACCAAAGTCTTGGGGATATGGAAATGGGTGGAGGTGCGGATCTTGCGAACAGCTTTACCGTGAACACCCTTGAGAGCGGACTTCTTGGCGTTAAGAGCCTTGACTGAAGCTATTAATTACAAAAGGGTCAGCATGAATTAAAGCACACTACTCGTTGCATGGATTAGATTTAAGCAGAAAAATACAGTGTAATCTATGCATAGAGTTGTTATGTTGTGTAAAAATTGTGGTGCTCTTTCCTGACAAACTGACAAATGCTGAATAACTGTTGTAATAATTGCTGTCAAAAATCGAAACATGGCTGTGAGCCACACCATTCCATACATTTTTTTTGTGGGGGTTATCCAGTTAAAAAAAAATCGTAGTCTATCATCCATCAATCTGCATCTATCTCTAATTTTCCATCTGCTTGAATCTAAACCATAGCAAGTAAACTTATTTACCTTGGTTGGCCATTGTTATATCGTCTACCACGTTTCTCTAAAGAGGAGGATTAATAGCTTGCATCGGGCTCTATCGTGTTTATTTCCATTTTTTTTCTGCCACTCACGCGCACACGCACCCAAAAATCACTCTATTGTTCAGAGAATCTCCGGTCCGGACAAAAATAAATTGAGTTTGAATTAGGATCTTTCAATGCAAGGCTCAGGCACATGGAAACGGTAGCAAGCTTACCATAGATTTGCATCGTTTCAAGCTTTATTTTGGGGAAAAAAAGAATATGTACTAATGCTATGATAAACTTGTAGGCTTTTTGAGCTTTAAAAATATCAGGCTATGAACACATGTTCGACTACAATGTTTTACACTTTCCCCATTTATACTTGAAATTGGACACAAAACGTCAGATCAGCAGAATAGCTATTATAAGCCAAAACCGCTTCAAGCAAAAGTTAACGTTAAAAAAAAAGTAAAAAAAGTTTAACACTCTGATAAATATGTCACATTATTTTAAAATTTTGTTTCGATTGATTTCTGTAGTACGATCCTAGTGAAACACTACGCTGAAGACTATCAAATCACTTCACCTGTCTACTATTTTACTAGCTCATTGCTGTGAGTAGTGTATCTGAATGAAAACGCATGAAAAAAGTAGGCATAAAGAGAAAAGCCATAAACCCGTCACACGTGTGACGTATTGTTTTTTTTTGAAGTTTTGGGCAGCAGCACCCCGCACATTAAATAAAAGATAATTGTTTTGATTTTTTTTTGCTCTTTTAACCCTACTCTTCCGTTATAATAAAAATGTCTCTCGTCTTCAGACCCAACACCGTCCAAGCCAAGCAAAGATACTTCCAAGTGAGTGATACTCTTTTTTTTTTTCAATAAAAAATTGGTGGCATGTCGGAACTTTGTGAATTAACCAACTTAAAACAGGCTCCTTCCAACACTCTTTTGTTCCTCCGTGGTCCCAGAGATAAGCTCTTTGTTTACACCACCTTCCTCGTTCTCGGTACTGGTGTTGCTGGTTCTCTTTGGGGTGCTATCAACATGGCTCGTGTATGTGTTAGCTAATGTCAAATGAAGTTGCATTGTTTTCTAACACTTTTTTTTTCCTACTAGGGCAACAAATAAATTCATCAAATAACTACTAGAAACCAACAGCCGATAGACATTATGGACTCTTTCATGAGAATCATTCAATAAGCATGTATAGCAAGAAATATTTTTTTAATTAAAAAATGCTTTGTTTGTCAAAATTGTCAGGGTCCTTTTTCTTTTCTTTTTTTTTTCTTTTATTGAACATGTGTGTAATGATCTAAAATAGGAACAACTACCATATTTCAAATTGATCTTTGGGCCATTTACCAGACTCACGTGTGGGCCAGTATTGACCAGTGTATTCCCAATCACTACCACCATTATTAGCGAACCATCTTGGCTTCCATTCGATCCCTGCTGCCTCCAATTCTGCACGCTTTGCGCGTTGCTTTTGTTCAACACGATCCTTTTGGACTTGTGCTTCGTCAGTCAAACCTAATTTTTTTTTTTCGATTCAAAAACGTTAAATCACTTTGTGACCAAAATCAGAAAAAAAAACAATTACCCTTTTCGAATAACAATTGATCAGGTCTTAATCGAGTGTCTGTGATCGGTAATTTGCCCTCTTCTAATTCAGTCATCTCATTTAGTTCTGTAGCAAACTTTGTAAAACCAAAATATTTTTCACTATTTGGATTAGGAGGATGTGCTTTCCATAAGACATTTAACTTTTTCTTGTCCAGTCCAACTTCTTCTGCCAAACTATCACTCCATTTACCAACCACGCGTCGACATTTTTTACCTTGTGCGTTGTAAAGTGTAGCAATGACATCATGACGCTTTGTGGGCACACCAAACAATCCACCGCCTGTACCCTCCTTGTATGTAACCATGGCATATTCGCCCGTAGTTGTATTGGTTACTTTACACTCACCCGCATGTTCCAAGTACTTTGGTCCAGTATACAAGTTTTTCAACCAACTGGATGGTTTGCAATACGTGTAATGATCGTCATGTCCAGTTAAAGTAACATGGAAAGTTCCTTGAGTCATCACTTCCATGGTTCTACCCCAAAATTGCGTACCAAGCTTTGTACTTTGCCAAAACTTGAATCCCCTAGCTTCAGCATGAGCAGCAATAATGAGTGGTTTATGGTTGACCTTTTCGGCCACAAATCGAAAGCCTTTATCAGGTCGAATATTTTCATATGTTTCGTTCATGAGGGGTGTAAATGGTTTTCGGGTCGTACGGTACTGTGTGGAATCGTGAGCAGAAATGGAGAACACCGTGACCAGCATAAGTCTTTCCATCGAATCTGTCATGGTAGAAGCGGTTTCTAATAATTCACAATATTCAAGCTCTTCACAAGCTATCTGAAGTGCATTCAAGGGTTCATTTAAAGTGACCGGCATAGAAATAGAAGATAAATCTTTACCGACATTTTTGGACACAGTGGAGAAATTGGATGGGATGTCAACAAGACAAGGCGAAGGTAATTTTGTACGACGTTTGCAATCACCTGCTGAAGTTAAATCCAGCACATCTATTTTTAATATTTTTAATTTCCATGCAAAAAAAAAAAATAGAGTATATATGTAATACTTGTGATTACCTGAATCTTCGTCTGTACTTTCCTCGTCATCGATACTAGAATCACGGTCATTATCGTCATCAAAGAACTCTTCGCCACCACTTAAATTAATATCTTCTGCATCAAAGAACTGATCTGAATAACCCGAGACGTGGGAATAGATACTGCTTGTACGATGTACAGGATCATATTCGGGTATGGATCCATCCTGCTGTTGAAATACCACTGGTGAATTTGACCCCGAACGGCGTTGACTATTGAGGCAATTTTGCACATTTTGCCATTGTGATATTTGTTCTTGCATCCCCGATAGAATTTGAAGTTTCTGCTGTTCTAACTTATTGAAAAGGTCTGTGTTGCCATGGCCGGGTAAAAGTGCAACCAATTCATTAATTGAATTGAGTAAATAGTCTAAATTTTGTTGTTGAATAGCACAGGATTCGATACCATGGTCAATTTCTGCTCTCATTTTTTTATTGTCAGATTGAATACCACCGAAACCACGAGAAGAAAGGCGCTTATTCATACTGATGTTTGACTTATTAAACTCTTCTTGAAGAGGCGAATCGTCATCTATATTTGTTCGGATATCCTTTAATGCAGAACACCACTTGTCGTAATCCTCTTCGGTTAATGTCTTTAAATGATAAATCATGGTGCCCGAGTCGATATGAATTTGTCGCATTTTTGTGTTGTACGAAATAGTGGCGACTAGAATTTGAATTGAACCTCGAGTTACACTACCCTGTGAAGTAGAGTAAGAGAGAACTCCACTCGGTAAAAGGCTAAACCATCGTTTTGCCCAACCTTGCATTCTCTTACGTTTCTTTTTCAATAACCAACCTGAAACTTCCCCCTTTGAAACAGGTTGGACATCCTCTGGTCCTCCCAATGCAACCGAATAAGTCAACATTTTAGGTGTGTTTCTCGAGAATGTATTATCTATTTTTCACCCTGTTATTTTTCCTGTATATGCATATATATATATTATATATGTATATTACCAAAGACAAGGACATAGTTTCCTGGTTCTTCTACACAATAAGTTCCTTCCACTTTATGGTCACATGATTGAGTGTGTTGTATAGGGATAATCTCATCAAGACCATGTTCCTTTAACTTGATAGTCGCAACTGATTTCGAGCGAGGCCGACTAGCGCTAATTCCATTTTGCTGACTATGAATGGATTGAGCTGAAGAATTAAGGTAACTGGATTCATTATCATCCTCTACTGCTGCTTCGTCTAATTTAATAATAAGAAAAAAATTAAGCAAAGTGAGTAGAGAATAGGGTTTTAATATTCACCTTGCTCATGTTTAGGGGTAAGTCCCAAATCAGAAGGAATTGACATTTGTCTCTTTTGCATTTGCTGTTGAGCACGGAACACAATGTCAGATGAGTTGGGCAAAGGCTCTTTTCCTTTTCTTCGGTAAAGACCAAAAGAGATATTATTCCGTTTCGTAGTAAAAGACCATCGTATGACAGTGCCTCTTGTAGGCACATAAATATTATGTAAATAAGAATCTCTTGGTTGAACTTGTACTACTTCCATTATTAAAAAAGAGGGAAAAGAAAGGGTTAAAAAAAGAAAAATTGAGGAGGAACAAAAAAAATATTCGTTTTTTTTTTTATAGTCGAGAGTTTTAATTAATTGTCATCTAAAAAGGACCTTTTTTGGCGTGGAACAACCAATTCACATGCCCAAAAATCAGTGTGCACTTTTTTTACACACACAGACACACAAATAAGGCAGGTTGGGGTAAAAACAGTGACAATTGATGAACGGGTTACTTTTTTTTTAAAAAAAAAAAAAAAATAGCGGCTATTTTATTGCCGGATGTTTTATTTTTTATGTAATGTTATGTATTTTTTACACGAACGAAAACATGAAGTTGGAAACAATGCAATTGTTTTGGACAAGGAGGTCAAATTATACTGTCTAGAATTATCAACTAACACTAGACATTGCTGTGGGTTCTAGCGAAACATCTAAACACTTGAATGGAAGCGGAATAGCTTTGGGCAAAAGTTGTGATGCACTAAAAAGACAAACTTGTAGTAGCGTGCAAAAGCTACTTTTTGTATGCAACAGCAGAATTAGGCTTTAGAACACTTCAAAATCTAACTTACTAGCACAAAAACGAGCGCAAATTCTCAATTAATAGAAATAAGCAAATAGGAAGACAAGTCTAAAGCGAAACCCACGATGGATTTTTTTTTTTTTTTTTGCAACGTGCAATTGCAAGCCCGACTGAGTGATGCAGTTGAGTGCAATATGATCTTTGTAGGCTATTTTCATAGGCATAACAACTATGAGATATAATGTTCTAGGGTACACTCTACGAGGATTTTTCATTTTTGAAATAGTTAATATTCTCTTCCTTTGTAACTCATAGCCTATCGAAACTTGGACTTATAAAAGTCATGAATGGTCTGTCGTCTATGGAAACCTTCATATTTGGTGATGACAATTTGTTTTTCTGAGCTCCTGATAGATCAAGCTGAAACAAGTCTATGAATCCTACAAAGTAGATAATTCTAATGCTAAATGACAAGGATTCTCACTTGCAATAGCATTAAGAGAAAGAGATTGATGAGTAGTCGCATAACAGCTGTCATGGAAACAAGGAGAATAAGTTGGACGATGACGACGTGATGGTCTGACATACTTGTCAATAAATCATGGTCAGAAAATAACATCATACACATTTACATCATCAATGACATGATATGCTTTTGGCAATAAGTAAAATCTGAGCATTGAGGAAAAAAAAAGGTTCGTCCTGTGTAGTTATTTTATTTCAAAATCCGTCCTTGGCGCGGTTTTACACTGCATGTAAACAAGAAATGGCATTTTTTTTAGGCACGTTGGCGAACGACAAGATCCAAAAACTAGATAAACAAAACGAGTTAGACTAACCTTTAGCTCATCTCGCATTTTTTTTACGTTACCTGTTCGTAATTGATTTGAATCCAGCCATCTTGGTCATTATCGAATTGTCTGAAAGAGTCAGTCAAGGTCTTCATGGTAACACAAGCTTGCACAAAGTTATCGAAAGAAACGTCTCCCTTTCCTGTGTTTTTAATAGTAGCTGTTAATATACGGGGTTAATTCATCACGTTTTAAGCATAGTTTTCTATGATAAACCTACCATATCTGTCGAACTTTTGGATCAAAGTAGCAATAAACTTTGGAGAAACATTGAAACCAAACGATCTTAAAGCATTACCCATTTCAGATTGGTTAATGCTACCAGAACGATCAGCATCAAATGCTTGGAAACATCTCTTCCAATCTTCAATATACTTCCATAAACCAGAGAACTCATTAAAGTTGATAGTACCACTGTTATCTGTATAAACACATTTTTAGTAAGCCGAACATTGTTTATAACCCCACACAAGATTTTCTCTCTTTACCAGCATCAAACATATTGACCATTAAACGGACTGTTTCGATATTAAAGGGACTCCAGTCACCGTTAATTAAAGCTCTTTGGAGTTCATCGGCAGAAAGTTGTCCTGAACCATCAGTATCAACTGCCTTGAACCAAGACCAGAGTTGTTGATCAACACCGGGAGGAGGTCCTTGTTGCTGAGCTGAGGAGGAGGAGAGGGGGGGCTGAGTGTGAGAAAAAAATCATGAGTATTTTATTTTAATCTTTGCTTACCACCACCGCCATAAGGTCTTTGACCTTGTGCTCCATATTGTCCTTGACCTTGTGGAGGAGGAGCACCGTAACCACCTTGTTGAGGAGGTGGGGCGCCATATTGGCCTGGTGGGGGTGCTCCATAGCCTTGTTGGCCTTGTACTTGAGCAGGCTTTTGACCGGGTGTACCGTAATGAGTAGGAGGAGGTGATTGATAAGCCATTTTATTTTTTTATATATAATATATTAAGAAAAAGAAAAAGAAAAAGAGAAAAGAGAGGCGAAATAAACTACGCGCTACACAAAAACTAACTTTATAGTTTTTGCTCATGAGCCCTTTTTTCTAAAATTAACTCCCCGCCTAAATTGCTCATACAGCGTTTTCTTTCAGACTTCTTAAGTTTTGGCCTGTGTGACATATCTGGGTGGTAGTCGTCCGCCTAAATTAGCTACCGGAATTCGCAACGTCGCCAGACTGTTGTGTTGAAAATGTATAGAAGTTGAATCTATTTTATAATGAGCATATTTGTATTTGAAAAGTTTCGGGGCCAATATACCCAGCTCACTTAATTGAGTTATATATTCTTCTTCGGAACGGAGGAAGGGATAGAAGCCAGTGAACTAAAGCCAATTACCGCGTTGTTTTTAGTTTCATCCTGGTCTCGAGTAGCAGTGGTAGAGCGGGTGGATACCCTCCTTTGGTATTTAGGGCTTATACCGACCATTGCTACTTTACTGTTGTTTTAAAATAACTAGAAGCACATTTTACGGTGGAGTTATTTTCATCAGCATATAAGGTGAAAGGCTTCGTTGGGTATGACCTCGTATGTATATCGAATTTCGATGACAATTTTCTGAGAATATACAAAATGATCCTTTTTTTTTTCTATGGAGACAAAAGGAAGAATCTTTGATGAAGAATGCGATAATGATATGGGATCGAAGAAGATACAAACCCATTTTACTTAGAGACTTCGACCAAGATTAGACATTTTTGTATTCCTCAGGAACCACATTAAGCATCGACGATAGTCAGAGAAGGGTACACCAGTCATTGTGACTACGCCATCGACTAGACATGTATCGTATACGGTTTTAAGGGCTATTACTGCGAAATATGTTGTGAAAATTTAAATGGAAGAAAACGATTGTTAAAACTAAAAAACACGTTAATTTACGTCTGGATCCGTATAATCCATGACATGTTCTCTTATCCAAGTGAGGCGTTTACTTTTTTCTAATTTGGACTTTCTCTGTTACTCAACTTCATTCTGAACGAGAGTTTTGAGCTGGGAAAGTGAGGCAAGGGTATTCTAAACAACGTCAAAGTCGTTCAAGTCTCGAGGAATAAAACAAGATCGAATTTTAATCATTCGGTAATTAGAGTATACTGCAAAAGAATATGGCGAAGTACCGGTACTATTGATAATAATTCATTACTCTGAAATTGTCATATAAGCGATTAACAAACGTGGCTATAAGCCTCTTTCCTACCACCTTACTCGCCGTTTCCTAATCCTATTGAAGAGTGTTTTGCAAATGTGAAGAAGACAATAATTGGGTAAGGTAGTTCATATTACACTCAGAATTACTGCTATTGCTTAATATTGGCAAGGTTGGATTAGCTATTCAAAGACATTTTGGGATAGATGTTTATCAAATATGTTAAGTCCAAATATATATTTGGATATAAAAATCTAAAAGTCCGAAAAGGTCTGAAAATGAAAGGAAAACACTGTAAACAAGAGCGCTTTGTTTATTTATATTTATTACTGCGATGCATCTTTATTTGTATCTACATCTTTGCGTTTGGGTACCATTTCTTATCGTTAATCCACGAATGAACAAGGGTAGAGGCAAGTGAGCCTTTAGGTGCCATCGAAAAGCTTGCATCTGGGTCTTTGTTTAAAGCGGCTATTACCTCCGCACGTGTATACCACACTGCGGATTCCAGCTCTTGATCAAGATCCGTGTTAATCTCGGTTGACACGGCTTCAGCCAAAAAGCCCAGCATAAGAGAGTTGGGGAAGGGCTAAAAAAAAGGGGGGGTTAAAATCTTGGCAAAAAATTACATTTTCGTATAAATTACCCATGGTTGACTACTGTGATAGGCCACTCGGTCTACAATAATACCAGTCTCCTCAAATGCTTCACGGCGAACAGCTTCTTCTAATGTTTCTGCGGCTTCTATAAAGCCTGTGTTCCTTTATGTATAAATAACGTGGGCTTTCACTTTTTTTTTGTTTTTTGTTCTTTGTTACCTGAAATGCAAGAAAACATTTTGTTAGGCCATCTCTTGTTACGGCCTAGTAGAATTTTATCACCGTTAGGATGAATTATGCAAACGATGACAACGGCATCTACGTAATTTTGGTTTAGCTAAATAAACAAAAACTCAAAAAAAAATAGTGTTACCAGTTCTAGGATAGGCAAAATTTTGAACGCCAGTGTGGCTAATGCATTTGATTGTTTGCTCAGGATCGGAGATACAACTACGTTTGTGGCCAGCTTCTTCTAACACGGTACGTTTACCGCATGCTGAGCAGTAGGCGTTACGAGTATTCCAATCCACTATACGTATAAATTCTTTACATTAGTATCATATGATCCATTGGCTCACAAATGACTTCATCGTACCCATGGCAGCTGCTTGGGCAATAATGGAGCTGACTGACTTGTCCATGATAAATGCACGTGGAAGCGTTGGGGCAAATTCGAGCGTGCTAGACTCAAATCCTATTCTTTCTGTGAGTACGTGGCTTTAACAAAAAAATGATGCTTTATTTCTTTACCTGCGATCAATTGGGTATATTCAGCCTGGTGAACTCCTGTAGGTGTCAAGTCCAAAGCCCAATAAGCTTGTCCTTCAGCACCTTGGCCCTCGCTTTCATCAATACCTAAAAAGACTAGGATTGTGTCCGTATTGGCATTGTTGAATCCACAGTCTGTATAAACTCGATCTACGGCAGAAAATACCTGGTTATACTTGATATAATGAATACCTCCTTCCGTATTATACAGAGCTTGTAATTTGTTTAAGACAATGTAATTGGATCTAGGTGAACGAGCAAGGGCAGACAAAAACTCGGGTTTTCCACGGTTCCAGCCATATCTATGATTAAATAATGCATTGGGTTATTATGTATTGTCACTTCTAAATAGTACATTGTAATTGCCTGTTCAAAGGATTCCCGGCAAATACGGCGGTATAGTTGTCAGGGAAAAGAGGGTTTGTATGGGTTGTTGCTTTTTCTTCGACATGGGGTGTAAGCAATTTCGCAATTTCGTCATTTCCCCAAAAAATAGCTACTTGGCTTGCTGTTTTTCCCTCTCCATTGGTCATGGATAGATCGGCACCATTCTTTTGCAAGAATTCAGCTGCTTCTAATTGTCCAAAACGAGCAGCGAAATGAAGCGCTGTCCAGCCTCTTTCGTTCTTGTCATTGATTTGACTCTTGTTTTTTTGGAGATAGTCTATATCGCCTGCAGCAGCGGCTTCAAACAAGTTGGAATGGTTAGAGCTCATGATGAAAAGAAAAAAAAAGTACTTCTTTAGTATCAATTCAGGCACAATTGTTTTATAATCATTTTATTTTTTCCATTTTTTTCCCTTTCCCGGACGGAATTAGTCAGCGATTAAAGCTTTGAAATTCCAACAGATGGGAAAGCTCTTACCTAATAGGAATCACTGGTGTGTGTAGGCACTGTTAGATAATAAACAATCGCTACGCTCCTCCTCCCCTCTCAAATATACTACACTATGGGGCAAAAACTCGCATATCCCAAACAATGATCTAAATGTCCCTTGTTGTTGAGTGTGTTCATTCATTCATTCATTCATTCAATTCCTATAATATACCGCCATAACGACTACTTGCTGGTACCACACTTTTGCGTTTTTATATGTATTTTTTTTTATTTTATCTATAGATTTTTTTTTGTCTTTTGTAAAAGTAATAATGAGGGGGATTGAGAGGAAAAAAAGAAGAAGGAAAATCTCTCTTTTTTGGGGGGTTTATACAGCTAGATTCTTTTTCCAAATCAAAATGAACTTACTCCATAACCTTGGTAACGACACCAGTACCAACAGTCTTACCACCTTCACGAATAGTGAAACGTTGACCATCTTCGAGGGCAATATCGTGAACAAGTTCACATTGCATCTCTACGTTATCACCGGGCATGATGAGCTTGTCATCGGGATCCTCAGTACCTTCGGGATGTGTAAGAGAAACAGTAACATCAGTGGTACGGACGAACATTTGAGGACGGTAGTTGTTAACGAAAGGAGTGTGACGACCACCTTCATCCTTGGTCAAGATATAGATTTGAGCCATGAACTTCTTGTGAGACTTGACGGTACCAGGGGCACACATAACTTGACCACGACGAATTTGTTCACGCTTGATACCACGCAAAAGGGCACCCATGTTATCACCAGCTTCACCACGATCTAATTCCTTACGGAACATCTCAATACCGGTGAGAGTGGTCTTGATGGTAGGACCCATACCGACAATCTCAACTTCATTACCCTTGTTAATGGTACCACGTTCAACACGGCCAGTAGCAACAGTACCACGACCAGAGATAGAGAAGACATCTTCAATGGGCATCAAGAAAGGCTTGTCTAAATCACGAACGGGTGTAGGAATGTGAGCATCAACAGCAGCCATCAATTCCTTGACGGGAATTTCACCAATCTCGGGATCACGACCTTCGAGGGCAGCAAGAGCAGAACCCTTGATGATGGGTGTAGCCTCACCATCGAAACCGTATTCAGCTAAAAGATCACGCATTTCCATCTCGACAAGTTCAAGCATCTCAGGGTCATCAACTTGATCAACCTTGTTAATGAAAACAACCAAGTTTTGGACACCAACTTGACGGGCCAACAATAAATGCTCACGGGTTTGAGGCATTTGACCGTCAGTAGCGGAAACTACAATAATAGCACCATCCATCTAAAATACGCATACAAAAAAAAAATATTTGTTTAGTTTTCTTTTTCTTATTTTCCACTCTCTCTGTATATAGCCTAATTTACCTGAGCAGCACCAGTAATCATGTTCTTGATGTAATCAGCATGGCCGGGACAATCAACGTGAGCATAATGACGGTTATCGGTCTCGTATTCGACGTGAGCAGTGGAAATGGTAATACCACGAGCCTTCTCCTCAGGAGCTTTATCGATTTGGTTGTAATCCATGAATTGGGCACCACCTTCAATAGCTAAAGTCTTGGTGATAGCAGCAGTCAAAGTGGTCTTACCGTGATCAACATGACCAATGGTACCAATGTTGACATGAGGCTTGCTACGGCTGAACTTGCCAGAATCGGTAGCCATAGTACGACGACCTTTTATTAATTATAAGTAAGCAGTATGAAGAGAAGGGGATAAATGAAATGCTTACCAAAGAACATGAAGCGAGAAGGAGCGGAGGAAACATAACCTTGGTTGAGGAGGTTGGCAGTCTAAAAATTCAGGTCAATATCTTATTAACGTGTATGTTTCCGTAGTAGAGTACTTACGAACTTGTTACCGGAGGCAAGGGCCATACGGGTAGAAATCAAAGCTACGTTTTATGAGTATGTGATATGAAAGAAAAAAAAAGGTACGTCTGAAATGTAGGTGTGCTTACCAGACTTGGAAGCAGAGGATGAAATGCATCTGCGAGAAGCGACACGAGTGGCAGGGAATACGACCTTGTTGGCTGCTGTCTTTAAAGAGAACATTTTTGAAGCAAAAAGAAGAAAGGGATATGTCAAAGAGGAAAAAAAATCCAGGCCCTTTATTTTTTACCCCGGTTCTCATCCTTTGAAGAGAGTCACAAAAAAAAAAAAAAAAAAAAAAAAAAAGAAAAAAGACCAAATGGGGTTTTAATGCATTGATGGGTGAAGTAGTGGTGTGATTACAGGTGATTTATTTACAATGATTGAATATGTCTATCTAAAGCTTTCCTTGCTCCTTTAATTCCTTCTTTTCTTGTTCACTCAAGGACCAGAAACCTTGCTTCTTTTTCTCAAACCATTCACGAATCTATATTCACATTAGCTACATGAAGGTGTTCTTTTTTTTATTCTACTTACAGGGGTATAACAGTTTTTCTCTGTACCAAAATCAGCAAATAATACGACATATGCACTTAGTGCTACAATAAATGTTTAGAAAGAAGACCCGAATGATTTAAATTATTAACTGGAATACTTACAAAGTGAAACTGCCCATGACAAAACTTGAATCTTTCGGGCTCTGGGTGCAGGTGCCATGGCTTTAGGTGTCTGCAATCTACGCTTCAAGCGCTCTTGAATTTCTGGTGTGGGAGTTGGGTAGATCTTGGGAATGGGATGAGGTGCCATGTTTATTGTTAGGTGATAAAGTGAAAGCAAAAATAAAATGTCTAGCGCATTTGCAGCTCCCAAAAGCCATTGCTGAGATTTAACTGATTTCATTTGTCGCCGCTTGGACTACATTGAAGTTAAAGGCCCTTAGACTAAACAGATTTCAACATATCAATCCAAAAATGTATCAAATAATGCACATACTAAAGTATGAAAATATAAATAAAGGATGTCCCACATTGATGAATAAACAGTTCTTACTTTCTTCTAAACCTGTTACAAGGAGATACAAAGCTTGGTTTAATTAATTGGAAGATAAAGATTAAGGCACTTCCCAATAATACGTCTAAACTAAGACCTGAACTCAGACTTGACTTGTCAGAAAGTAAAAGAGCACTTTTCGTTTGAGCATGAATTGTATTCTATAAATAAAAAGCGTGATAATATAGTGTATAACTCGACAAACCACAAACCACATCATACTTAAGCATTATAAGCATTGTGGACAGCAATAACAGCGGGCAATGCTAATGCTTAATTTATGATTTACTGTTTTCACATGGACTGGTTAAAAGCGTTATAAAATGGGGCTGAGTTAAAACCAAAAGATAATTACGACTCATCTCCCTAAACTTATGACAATAGTCGTAGCACCATTGAAAGTTGATGGTTCTCCAGGGATAAAATAAGAAAAAATATCAAAAGTAACTAGCATGGAAATAATCGGTTTTTAATTAAAAGCTTGTTAGTACCTGGGAGATCAGGATAGTATTCCAAAGTACTAATATTTTGGACAATCAAATTATTTTAAAGTGTCGACAATTACACATGAAAGAAACAATATGGAGCTAGTCTGTACACGTGGCTGTGACTTGGATACAAATTTTTAACAAAATGACAAACACCAGAAAGAGAAAGTTTTCATGCACAATAATTGACACGCTGAAATCTTTCTATAAATAGGCTTTTTATATATAACAATCATCATCGTTTTGTTATTAATATTTCTTTGTAGCAATAATGCATTGTTATAAAATTATATAAAAGACCAAATTTTTATTATTGGTTTTAGTTTTTAAAAAAAAAATACGAACTGAAATGCAATATAATAGATGCAATGCCTGCACAAAATCACAACGCCGTTATGGAAGGCTCAATTTTTCCACCAACAATGTTGACTTTGCAAATAGATCGCTCGTATTCAGCTGTTCGTGTCAGAGTCCCAAGGTTTATTTTGATGAGGATGATGAGGATGATGAGGATTACAGTGAAGAAGAGTGTTCGATTGTTATGCATTCATGTTCCTTTTGTGATCAAGCCTTTGATACAGCTACCGAGTTATACTTTCATACAGACAATGCGCACACAATGGCTAACTCCTTTGACAATTGGGACTTTTACTCCATGGTTGGAAACAGTATTATAGGAAATCTGGACAATTTTTACTATGATCAATGTAAATTAAACAAACTGTCAGATCTTATCGATGCGCTACAAACAAATGTTGATAAAATGAAAACAATAACCCCGATGGAAGATTAAGTTAACGATCCTCATATCTTGTACATATAGAAATTAGATATCTAAAAAAGAATACATTAAAGTTTAAAGCAACCATAAATAGAGGTTTTTTTTTAACTGAGACTGAAAGAGAGGGTTCATTTTTATTGCGAATGTCATTTATCATTGTACCTGTGTATGATTTTGTTGAAATCGAAATGTCAATATGCAAAAAAGTGAAACCCAGCTATAAGCCACTTTTGAGTAAGCGCAATGCGGAGTGAGGAAAGACTAGGTTGCCCCCAGTCTATTTAATCTTTCGTTCTTCTTTCTAACTTTTTACATCAAATGTCTCAACCTCAATTCTCAGAAAACGATCAACGTGAACTTGCTCAGGTAAATGGGAGAACAGGCAAAAGTCATTAGTGGATATTAACTATGAAATATTAGTTCCTTGAAGCTGAACAAGCCAAGGCTCGCGTTCAACAAACTGTACATTCTTTAACTGATAACTGTTGGGTAAGTCAGATTATGCATATGAGGGGAAGGAAGGGAGATTAAAGATGCGTTGTAGGACAAGTGTATTTCCAAGGTGAATAACAAATTGGATCGTAGTGAGGAAGCTTGTTTATCAAACTGTGTCGATCGCTTCCTTGACACCAGCATGTTTATTGTCAAGAGACTTGAAGAATTAAGAAATACTTCCATGTAAATTAACTATACACGCGCTTAAAAGCCAGATTACATACTGTCTCCAAAAAAAAAAATGTATTATATCAATATAGTTTATTTTCCCTCCTGTCTTAAATTATTTTTAAGTCAAGTATGTTTTTTATGTGCCTGTAAAACAATGTAACCTTGGTTGTGACACCGTGACTGGGGAGATCGCACTAGCTATTATTTACCAACCATTCCTTTCCTTTTTTTCTTTTTTCTTTTACTCTTTCTTAAGCCCCCGCTTTTTGCAGTATGTTGCAGCACCCTCTAGATTCACCGTCCTCAGAGGACGCTATGTCAACACAAGGTAGCCTTGATTCCTTTTCAAACTTTCCTCCTCTGACAGACGACGACCTTTCAAGTTTTGAGAGAAGAGTATCTTCTCCTTTTCCCCCCAACGATAATATTGTACGTGCACAAAGTCCATTTGGTCGAAGATATTTAAAACCTATAAACGGCATTCAGACAAAAGGTTTTGCTCGATCAGGTATAATCATGTGCAACCATAAAGCTAGAAAAAATAGTCCTGACAATAGTTGTAGCTCAAAGAAGATCATCCGTATTAACCCTTGGTTCTATCGAAAGATTACAAAACTTTTATGCTAAAAGGGACTTGAAAGTAAACAAGTAAGTGTTTATATCCGTTTAAAAGAACTGAAGTCCAACGTCAGCCTAATTAAAAAAAAAAGAGGAGGCACTTTAGGGTTTCATGGTCCTTTAATGGAAGAGCCAGATGATATTGATGATCAGCTACCTACACCACGCGCACCACCTCCAAGCTGGATTGATTTGGATATTGAAACAGATTTAGACGTACTGCTGAGTTTGTGTTTTGAAGATATCCAAACTACGCTTTCAACATGGGCCATGGTTACTGGACCACGCCTTTCCTCCTCATCGGCTTCCTCACACCCTTTAGCTGAATCAACTGAAAATAGCACATTCCAAATTATACCTTTATTACAAACAGTGACAAAAATGTTAAGCTCTGTAAGGAATTACACGGTCCACCGTCACGATTTATCAGATACAGCCGTAAGTAAATTAAGGCATGCATCATTAGATCTATTGGAATCTATGAAGGAATTGGAAAATCAACATCGTGTAGAGGATGATGACGAAGAGGACGAGGATGGTGACGGGTTTCTTTATCGCTCTTCCGATTTTGAATTATTGGAAAAAGAGAGGCTTGCTATTCATAAATACCTTGATGTAGTTGAGGCACACGCTTTTAATCCACCTCATCATATTGGAAGCCCTCCTGCTATGTTTACGCCCGAAATTCAAGCTTTGATGGGTAAAACCTCGATTTTAAGTTTGACAGAAAACGAGCTTGAGCAACAAACAAATTTAAAGAAGATCACAGACATCAGTACTAAAAAAACGAATGGTATACCCGAATGGCTGAAACGTGGTTCATTTGAAAATGATTTGAATGGTAATAATCGCACGAGGGAAGTACAAAAATAATTAGTTTGAGAACTTGACAAAATCCTTATGTAGGAAGATATCATGCTCTGTTAATGGATAATTTGGATGGTCATGTCGTTGATGAATTTCCCGACCCCAAAGAAGATGAGGATGCATTTTTGCAATTTTTGGCGTGAGTATACCTCTAGTCCGCTGTATACATGTTACTAACCCGTATTGCCTTTGTGAAAAAAAAAGTGACGGTATTGTTCTTTGTAATGTATATAATAGTGTCGTGAAACGTTCTAGAAGACCGTTTGGATTTATCACAAAAATACACAATGATAGCAGACGCACTTACAGAGCTATTGAAAATCTTCGGTTTTTTAATGCGTAAGTATTTATATATTTATCTTTTATTTATTTTTCACACAAACTAACTTATATGCATCTTGTAGTGCTTGCAAATTTAGATTTGAGATCGTTTTTGATGACTTTGATCCGTCGGAAATTGCACGCAAAACTGACAAAGGTTTGGTCATGATCAAGAAGACGGTCGCTTTATTCTGTGATTGCGTCATACGTGAATTACGTGAACAAGTTGATTCTCTTCAAAAAACAAAATAAATTATCATCATAGCCCAAAAAAATTGTCTTTTAACAAAACAAAAAAAAATCTCCAACATAGGGTGAATTCAATGGTATGAACATCAGGACACTTTTGCTCTACTTTTAAACACTATTGTTGCTGCCAATAATAATATGTCTTATTGTTAAACGGGATAGGATTATTCCTACAGTTACTCAGTAATAAATATTCTTTGTCTTTGTTTTCACCCAGTTTTGCGATTTATCTTGTAATTGATGCAAATAATATTTCCTCCTTTTTTTATTTCTGTCTGTTGTCTTTTGCATATCTACGATTATTTGTAACTTAATTTTCATATCAGCAGATGTAGAGCTTGATTATAGTACTAACACTTTAAATTTGGACAAAAAAAAAACAACTTTCGGACAGACTTCAAAGCGTTTTCCGAAAAGATGAAAACGGCAACAATTAGATATTCAGACGAATGTCTTTAGAAAGAATAAGAATAGTAGTCAGACTAGGTTATCTCATTAGGTTCTAAAGTTTGTATACTCCACATGCCGTTTTTAAAGAACATTAACAACAACACCGATAAAAGAGGAAACAATCTGACAGTTTTACTCGTGAACTGATTTGTGGTATATCCATTCATCTTGACCCAAAATCAGCTTGTATTTCTTAATAATTTGACTTTGACGATAGCACAGCACATTGCATAATCAAGAAGTACCCAGACGAGAAACAAACAATTTCTAAACCACATTCTGGATGACCAGAAATCACAATAAAATATAGAAAGTCCCGCCTAGAAATCTCTGTTCGTCGGGTGCTATTTTGACCATTTGTCATTTATTACGAGGACTACAACTTTTGAGAAGGTCGAGCTTCCTGCTGTCATACTAGTGAATACACGAATCGGAAGAAAGGCGAGGTCTGTTTTAGAGTTTTTGAGTACTGGCCAACCAATTCCAATTTATGCCAAATTAAAAATATTCTTTACCTCTTGTGAGACTAATCAAGTAAGCGAGACTATATTTCATCAAGAATAGCAGAAAGATAGCATCTAACTATCTACTATGTCTTGGATCACTCAGATAACGTGGAACATATCAAAAAGCATGTTTCTAATAATATCTGTGATGTTTTGAGATGTCATTTAGATTAAAGCAGAATTAATAAAAACGGGTCCATATCAATCCTTTATTAAAGCTATGTAGGGAAGGTTATCGCAAAAGAAAGGACGCTTTTTATATTAGAACGTCCGTGAAATCGAATCTGGTAAAGAGTCGACGGTACTTTGTTTCTATCTTCTGAAACATGGCATTGTCTTAGTGATTGGATCGAATTATTAAGTGACGTATTATCATTAGCTGATACCTCAGTAACAGGCTGTGATAAACTGTACTGGGTCGTTGTTGTATACACGAATATCTCTTGGTGTATACAAGCACTATTTTGTCATATACTTTAGCGAAGAAGCTCAAAAAAGATGGTTTTCACGCAGCATTTGCATTAACGAATGATAAAAGCAGTTTATAAAGAATACATTAGCCTGCAATGCACGTATGGTCCACACATTTTTACCGCAGTATATTCACATCATAAATCATTCTCTCAGCGTACTCTATTGCTTGACAAGTACTAAAAATGACTTATCAATTCCTATATAATCCATCCTCTAATTCAGTAACAAAACGATATTTAATTTTACCCAATCTCATAACTACCCTATTCTTTACCTTATAGCTATCTATCTTGTTTGACAGAATACTCGTTACCATACATACTTATCAGATAACCATATAAAACAACATGGATCTCACTAAGAACTGAATAGTCAATCATTTACTGCATTATTCCAATTATATGTAACTCTTTGTCAACTAAAATATTCCAAGAAATAAACGGTTAAATTGTTTGAGACTAAAACTAGATATCTTTTTATTAAATGGAAAAGGGGACCCTTTTTATATCAAAGGATTGAAATAGATTGTTCTCCCGGATGATCAGCTGGGAGCGTTGGGAAGAAGTAGACATTAATATCTTGATCAGTTAATGGTTTATGTTTCAGTGCTGGGTTGCTATTAAATGTCAAGTAGATTATAGGTAGGATATATAGTGTGTATGTGTCATCAACCAAAAAAACACAATCATTAACCAGATTGTATCTGCATTATAATAACCCAAGAACAGCAACCAAAACAGGTCTACACGCACCACCAAAAGTAAAAAAGAATTCCGATCTACCAGAGTCGAACTAGTGACCTAGAGATGACAATATACACTACAGTCTCCCGCTCTACCAACTGAGCTAAGATCGGATTTGATGATTTTGTCAAGACGTTATTTGGTCTTAGAGTAATTAGTCAAAATAGATCACGTGGCTGTTACGTCACTAGTTTAGTAGTAGTATATTGTAATTAGACGCGTAATCTAATAAAACAACTTTCTTCCTGTTTAAAGTTATTTATATTCCTGACTGTACGCATTAGCACATTAACCTAATTCGGGAGCGACACTTAAACAAGGATAAAGAACCTGACAACTGGTAGCACCAGCACAAAGCGATCAGACTATAGAGGGAACAGAAAAAGACGTTTTTTTTTGTTCTCTTGGGGAAGCTTATTATTTTTATACTTTTTTGTTACAAAAAGGGAGCGTTCTAAATAACTCAACGCGGGATTAAATAAGGAATCAAGGAAAACAGTGACTCTTACAAGAACAAGTAAGTCATGGGAGATTCATCAGGGAATCAGCAAGAGCGAATTGCTTACTTGGAAGGTCAAATTGCGCAGTTAACTATTCAACAACAACAGCATGCGGCAGCAATGAGCTCTCAAGCAAGACAGACAAGCGATGTACCTCACCGCCTCAAGGCCCCTCCTTGTTTCGATGGTGTACGGGATGCTATTGTTATAGATGATTGGATCACATCGGTGGAAAGTCATCAAGAATTTTATGAGTGGGATGAAGAGAGAACGTATTTGTTTGCGACGAGCTATCTCAGTGGACGTGCACTCCATTGGCACAGGCAGCTGAGGAAGACGGCACACAAACCAAAAACATGGGGCGTGTTCAAGACGCTGTTGATTGAAAAGTTTCGACCGGATAACTCTGACCTCCTCGCGCGTGATCAATTGGCTGCTCTCAAACAGGTTACAACAATTGAGGCTTATGTGGAGTCATTTACGGACGTGTGTATTCTGCTCGAAGATATAACGGAGGACGAGAAGTGTGATAGATTTATGCGGGGTCTTCTTTCGGATGAAGTAAGGGCTATTTTACGTAACATTCCTCGTAACAAGCGTACATTAGACTACTACTTCTCTACAGCACTGTCATACGAAGCTGCTCGTTCGCCCCAATCTCATGTGTTAGCTCGTCATCTGGCTACACAGTCTCATGTTAACTCATCGTCAATGGAAGTCAATGACCCCATGGAGTTGGATGTTATTCAAAACTACCGTCGTCAAAAGTCTTCGTCGGGTTACACTGGTAATGCGAACCGTGGTAATAGGAATGAAAACTCAAGACAAGGTCAAGATAGTTACACAAACAACAAGGGCTCCAACAACAGCAACAGTAATAACAGGCAATGTTATTTCTGCCGTAAGACGGGTCACTTTAAGCGTGATTGTTTCGAATTCAAGAAGGTCACGAGCGGCGAGCGTGAGTTGTTGAGAAAGATCCGAAACAGAGAGCTACATGTAATGGAAGCCAACGCCGGTGAATCACGTCAAGACAACACCAATAATAATAGTACCTCTGCGGGAAATAGTTCTAATAAAGCTGAAAGTTCTACCCATTACTTGCCAAACCAGGATAATGTCGATAAGTCTTCTCATCAGGTGCGTGAACGTAATTCTATTGTTCTCGATACATCACTGATATGCAACACGATAGATATTACAGCGTGTGATAATGACATCTGTCATCTTATTGAGCTTCATAACACCACCTCAACAAAGACAGTTCTACCTTTGTACGAGGGTAATGCTCAAGCAAACAACCAGAGTCGCAATCCGATTGTGGTGAGAGCTTTAGTAGATACAGGTGCTAGTGAGTGTTATATTTCACCGGTCATGGCGGACCGTCTGGATGGGACACTCGATGAAGCACAACGGGTGGTAGAAACAGCCGGAGGAGTGGTCGATACAATCAATCAGAAGTTCACTTTTGTCCTTAATCTTCAAGGATATCAAAGTAAAATTTGCGCGTTTGTTTATGACAGCAAATTTGATCTAATCCTAGGTCGATCGTGGTTAAAGGCACACGCACCGGCTATTCAGTGGGCAGATGATACGTTGCTAATAAAGCCTGATCAAAATCAGACTTTTCAAATTATACCTACCAAGGATACAGTGGAAAACGAGGCAGGAGTTGGAAGTGATCACCATGATTCTCTCAACTATTTGATTACATACCAACAAGCAAATAGATGGATGAGAAAAAAGGGGACGGAAGCTTGTAT